AAAGTTTCTTTATTTTTATTTTTAAAAGGAAATATATAATATTAATAATTTAATTTAAGAAAAACCATAAATAACCTTATTTTTTAAGTATTAATATAATAATTATATTATTAAAAAAAACCATTTTATTTATAATATTATTATAATATACTTAAAGTTTATTTATATTTATTAAGTAAAGCAAAAATAAGGTTTATATTTAAATAATATAAAAGTTAATATAATTAATTAAGGTAAAAACTTTTATTATACTAAGTAAATTAATAATTATTTTATTATTAAATTTAACTTTAGCTTTTTTTATAATAATTATATTAATTTAATATTTTAAGTCTTTTTATTATAATATAAAAAATTACTTATATTTAACTATAAATATTAATAATGCTTTTATATTTAATAAGATTTCTTAAAAATAAATTTAATTATATTTAATTTTTAAGATAAATTAATTAATTATAATAATTATCTTTATTTAAAAGATATTATTTTTAATAATTTAATATATAAATGCTTTATTAACTAAAAAATTAATATTTATATAATAAACTTTTTTATTAAGTTTTATCTTTATAATATAAGCATTATCATTATAATTATTATCTTAATCTTATTTATCTTTATATTTATAAAATTTATTTTTATTATTTATTTTATATTCTTTAAACTTACTTAAAAAAGTATTAAAATTATTATTATAACCTTTATATTTATATTATATTAAATAACTTCTTTTTATTAAATATTATTTATTAACTAAATATTTAATTAATTAATATCCCTACTTCTTATAAATATAATATCTTTTCTTTTAAGGTTATTCTTTTCCTTCTTTATAAGCATTATTACTTTAAGCTTTATAGTTAATACTATAAGATCTTAATTACTTAAAGCTTAAATAACTTAAGTTTAATTAATTAAACTTTTAATTTCCTTAAAACGCTTAAAATTATAATTATTATCTTTTCCTTAGCTTTTAACTATTATATTTATAATTAATATAATATTAATTTAAAATTTTATTTATAATATAAATTATAATTATATAACTAAGCTATATTTTTATTATAAATTTTAAGTTTAAAAATAATTCTTTATATAGTTAAGCTAATTTAAAAAGAATTATTTTTAACTTAAGAACTTTTTTATAAGCTTTAATTATTATTATTTTTAAATTATTTTTTTTAATATAATCTTAGCTTAATGCTTATTAATAAAGTTATAATTTATTAAATATTAAATATAAAACCTTATATAAGTTTTTATTTAAGTTTTATGCTTTTATTTTTATAAATATTATTATTATTTAATTTATATAATAATATTAATAATTAAGGTTTATATTAATATATATCTTAATTTTAAGGTATGTTATTATAAATATATTAATTTAATTTATAAAATAAAGATAATAAATCTTAGCTTAATCTTTAAGTATTTTAAGAAAAATTATATAGAATTAACTTAATTAAATTTTAATATAATAATAAATATTAAAAAATATCTTTATTTTATTATTTAATAAGTTATATAAATTCTTAATATATTTATAAAAGTTATTAAAAGTTTTTATAAATTATATTAATTTTACTAAATTTAAGTATTTATTAAAAATATATTGTAAGGAAAGAGTTTTATATAAGTTATACTTTTTATTTAATAAAGATATTCTTAAGGTAGCTTAAGGTTATGCTAAATATAATATATATTTTTAATATAAGCTTTATCTTTATCTTTTTGCTGGTAATAATAGGCCTTGCTGGCCATATTAGTTTTTAATGGATTGCATTACTAGGTTTGGGTTTTGTGATTACGCGCCTGGAGCTTGCGCGCCTGGAGCCGGCGGCGGCGGTAGAAGTTATCCCGGGGACTGCCCTCTTGGCGATTGTTGTTGTTTAAAGCCTGCCTGTGATTTTTGTGGGGGCTGTGCTTGTGGTTGCTGTTGCTGTTTCTGGAATTGCATGCAATATTTATTTATGCTTAATTCTAGGGCTAATGGGGCATTATAAAGCTTATTATTAATTTATTCCAATCTTTCTTTAGCTTAAGCCATAGCAATTAACTATAATGCTATAAGTTAATTATTGCATTTTATATAAATACTTTATATTTAAAGAAAGACTTTTAAGCATTATTAGCAAGGATTTAGTAATGCTTTAAATATTACCTATATTTACGTTATGTAATCCTTATAATAAATAATGAAAAGGTTGTTATTATAAAGGTTTTATTATATATAGCTTATTAAAGTATTTATTAAATAAATAATTAAGTATTTTATTAATGCTTTTTATATAAGGGCTGTAAATTATAATTTTAAATTAATATATTTATAATAAGCTAAGTTAATTAAAGTTTAAGCAAGCATTTTATTAATTATATACTTTTTAATAAAAGTTAATGGCTTTTTAATATTATTAGCTATGCTTATAAGTTTTTATAATAAATATTATAAGGAGTAAAATTAATGAAATAAAGAGATATTAATAAAATAGGTAATGCTTAAGAGTAAGTTAATGATGGTAGTTTGGTGGTAAGCAAGTTGTAGTTGTTAGGCTTTTAGGCCTTAAAAGCTAGGGCTTTTTCCCATTATTAAGTCCTTCCATATTAGCCGGAAGTATAGTGTATAACTTACGCTTATTTATAATATAGCATTGCATTAACTTTAATAGTTATAATAATTGCAAGCTTTATTTATTTAGTAATTATAATAATTGCAAGCTTTATTTATTAATAAAATGGAGCTTTATTGGGTTTTGTTAGGTTTTAAAAAGGATTTGAAAATAAGTTTATTTTTAATAAAGTTTTATATATAATAAATGCATATCTTTTAAATAGCAATAAATATATATATAGATATTATAGGGAATGCTACTTAATTTATTTAATTTTTATAATATTTGCTTAGGGAGTTTAATAATATAAAAAGGCTTAAAGAAGTAGTTATTACTATATAGTGCTTGCTAATAAGGAAGATATGATTTTTAGGTTAGGGAAATCCTTATGAAGTTGCTTTTTTTACCTTATTAATTTATAATACTTATAATTATTAATTAGTATTGATAGGTTTCTTATATGTATAATAATTATATGGGAAGTAATTATGTATTGGTATTGTTTTATTTAAGTTTTAAGAGGCTATGTGCCCTGGAGGGGATAACTAAAGTAGCCTTTCAAGTGCAAGGGTTGTACTTGCCAACACTAACATTGTCGTTGAGCAGTTGGTCTACATGCATTTCAGGAATGAGCAATTGGACACCGGGTGCACATGTGTACTAGTATAATGAGATTATTCCATAGGAGATTATCACATAAGAGATTATCCTACAGAAGGTTATCCCATAGGAGATTATCCTACAGAAGGTTAGGAGATCACCCCGTAGGAGGCTATCCTACAGGAGATATCTCATAGGAGGTCATATTACAGGAGTTTATCCCACTGGAATATATCCTCTCGGAGGCTATTCTATGGGAAGGTATCCTACGGGAGGCTGGTCAAGGCCCAGATGAGAATTTATTTGATGAGAACGAGGCTGTCAGAAATAGTTGTGGGTGGACCATTTCGGTCAACGGGAAGGATTCCAAGTGGACGGCGTGTGAAGCATTGCAACTTCTACTGGAAGGATACTACATGGATTGTAGTTCAAGAGATATGGGCTACCATAGTATGGGAACTTTGCATGCGAGGAGCGGAGAGGGAGATAGTTGGGGACAGTCAAAGCCTCACGTGGGAACGCCTAGCCTGGAGCTCACCTCCCAGAAGCTTAACCCAACTCGACACAACAGAGGTGCTCGGCTGTTAGGGATGACAAGCGTTGCACTAAACGAGTGATGTCACCCCATATGCAGTAGTTCACGCCCCAACATGGCATTCTGCGAATGATGCATCTTGCCATTCGGTGCGATCGCAGCGGCCATCGCCGTTTGGATCAAATCCCCTGCTTTGTTGCACTAAATCCAGCAAGGTTCTTTCTCGTTCGTAACCTTCTCTCAAGTAGATTCTCGCGGAGCAAAGGACCAATTGTCCCGGCTGCATAAGAAGCCCAGCCGCCCAACCATGCAGCTGCATCGCCCGGTTGGGCATCACATGCTGCTGTCTCCTGATATGTCGCCCTAGCTTCGCCAGCGGGTGGCAGGTGGCTGACTTGTCTCTAAGGCTGCTGACACTGACATCAGGATCAGCGTGGCCACATTCGCCGTTCGGATTTTGCTCAGGCAGAGAGAGGGTATGGAAAAGGTGATGACCTGGGTCCACGCGCACACCCGTCGAGGAATGGGCGGCCTCGAGGGTTCGGATGAGATCCGGCGTGTCTAGATCAGTTGCTCCCTGGCCATGATCATCAGCCTGTATCAGGTATCAGGAGGTTATCCATAGAAGATCACCCCATAGGAGGCTATCCTATAGGAGGTTATCCCGTAGGAGGTTATCCCATAGCAGGTTATCCCATAGGTTATCCGCGCTGGTGGCAGGTTCCGATCAGTGAGGTGACTCGCCCAGACTTGCCAGCTGCTTTCATATACAAGATCTCTACGAACCAGATAGACGGTTGGCCATAGCCAAGTCAATCTACCTGGCGTAAAGCCCATCACGTATTCCAAGGCAGAACGCTCTCCCGCTCGTGGTTGGCTTTGGCCACTGAACTCTCTCAGTAGAAGGAAGTCCCGACTTTCCACAGCTGGTCCGCTCTAGCAGTTGGACCCCAACAACCTGGTCCTCCCCCCCCCCCCGGCAGTTTGCACCACTGGCCCCACTCCAGACAGAACCCCACCGAAAGACCCATCCAGTCCTGCCTGTCAAGCTCCAGGGAGGGCAATCCAGCCATCGTCATTGTCATTCCTTGACATCACAACAACAAATCAAAACATCACACGATACCCAACACACGTCTTACAACAACACAGCGCACAACACAGGGAGGGAACCCACCGTACTCTCTCAACTCTCATCATCTCGCTCCACATACCACCGCCAAACAAGTATTTCAACAGCAACCGCAGCCATGGCCGAGGTCGTCGAGATCACGGATGCCGTCTCGCACTCCCCTCCTCCGCCCAACGCCAAGCGCCCAAAGGGCATCCTCAAGAACTCCTCGTACCAGGGCCGCTCGCCACCCATCTCCCCTGTCGCCGTCGCTTCCAACAGCCATGCCGTCGACCCCACCACGCCAGATCCCAGCCTCAGCGACAAGGAGGTCACCATCCAAAATACCCAGATCAATGCAGGCCACCGCCGTTCCTCGTCCGCGGCTAGGCCCGTCGGCTCGCGTCGCCAGAGCTCGCGCACCCCTTCTGTCACCGACCCGGCCGAAGAGGCCGACCCCCGCATCAAGTGGGACGAGGCGAACCTCTACCTCACCGAGCAGGAGCGCACCAGCACCATGAAGATCACGGAGCCCAAGACCCCCTACGCGAAGCACTACGACCCCGCCGAGGACCCCAGCGACGACGATGACATCAACGCCCCCGGCGAGGGCTCCAGTGGTATCAACATCAGGAAGCGCAAGGAAGGCAGCCACCACGGCAAGGGCCAGAACGAGGACGACATACCTGGCCTGTCGCTGGGCGAGCCCGAGGAGGCGGTCCCGGATGTCCCGGCCGACGAGGTCGAGCTGAAGCGCCAGCACCGTGGCAGCGGTAGCGCCGTCCACATCGACGGCGCCGCCCAGGACGAGGCCGGCCTGTCGCCCGAGGAGCTCGAGAAGCACCGCCGGTTTGAGGAGATGCGCAAGAAACACTACAAGATGACCTCGGTCGTCCACACACTCGGCCACCCCGAGGAGATCGACACCCTCGCGGCCGAGGACGACGACGACGACGACGAGGATGGCCCGCAGGGAGGCGCGTCTAATGGTGCAGCTGTTCCGCCTGTGCCTCCTCTGCCGTCTGGTATTAATGGCCGGTCGGCTTAGATGGAGCAGGCGCTACTGGCCCTCACTACTGATTGGTAGACGGACGAAGAAACTGGGAAATGAAGATCTTTGGGGGTGGGAGGTCGTATTGGAGACTGTTGGGATTTTCCCAAGCCAGAACAGCGATCCAAGGCTATCGACCAGCTCGTAGAGTAGGAAGGTTGTCGGACTTCCGCAGCGATACAGTCTTTACGGCTGACTTTACGACTTGCACCGTGTCACACTCGTCACGGCAAGGGGGGATACGGGGGATGCGGGGGGTTAAGAGGCACGGCGGTAACATGTCAGGGCACAGACTGGTCCAAGGCGTTTTCGAGGAGTTGTGATCACTTTTTTCGCAGCTTCAGCTCTTTGTTTCCCTTGTTTCATACATACCACGAACATCGCAGGCGCGCGCAAATGGCGGGTTGGTCTCAAGGCATAGTCAGGTCACAAGTAATCCATAGTATTTCCTACGGTGGCCTCTTTTCTCCTGTTTTCTCCAGCGCAGATATTGACGGGTAGGATCTGTGGGTACACAGCCTGAGTTACCCAGTAGGCCCCTCGTTCGACCGTTCCCCTTAACCGTGACAGATGCTGTGCTCCTCTATACCTGGCATGGCCATGTACACCATTTCACAGCAGCCCCTTCCTCGCCAGCTCGACCTTCCTAGCCGCCTCCCCGGCCTTAAACCCTCCTTTTGAAACGCAGATGCGCTGACCGTCCGCCAATTCGAACTTGTCCTCGTGGCTGGGCCAAGCGCAGGGGCAATGGTGTGGGAAGTGCACGCACGCGAGCGTGTCTGGGCAGAGGTAGTTCTCACAGTGGGCTGTCATGCCGTCGTTGTTAGCCATGGCCTTTTCTTACAGAATAACTAGAAAATGTGGCTGCTAATACCTCTGTCAACCTGTGACCTGTACCAGGATGAGTCGGAAGGAGCGTTCTGTTGTTGCTGTTGGTGGTGGTGATGTCCTCCTCCACCACCTTGTTGGCCCCCGAACATCTGCTCGAAGAAGTTGAACTGCGCCGACACCGTGCCCAGTAGGGCAAAGAGAAGCGAAAGGAGGAACTGTTGACGCATTGTGTTCTATGCAGGCAGACAAGATTCAGGAGAAAACGAGAGGCTAGAGTTGGGGCAATTTCTCAAGTGCCTCCTCGCTAATATATGGAGCTGACAAGAGGTTAATTGTCCTCGAGTTGAATCAGTGCAGCTATGCCCACTCCCGGCCGAACCCCCTTCGTCAGCGGCCAAGCTGTCCAAATTCACGGCCGGCCAACCCCTGCAACAGCCTTATCGTTATCATCAGCCAGATGACTAAGCCAATCAACGTCCGGGCAGCAATTTTCTGGATGAGCGCATCGAAAGCGGCCTCGAACGGAGCTCTATCTCGCCAGCACGGAGCTCGCAACACCCCACAGCGACCCCCAGATATGATGCGGCTCGGTCAATTGCAACGGCCATTACAAGCCGTTGCTGTGGCGGGCTCTTGCCGACCAACCCTCGCCACATTCGCCCTGCCGTCCCGGCCAGCAGTGCAGGCGACGCCGGCGCAAGCGCACCCGTCAGATGGCGGCGTGGAAGGGAGGAGGTATGCCAGTGTCAAGTCCCAGGGAGCATACAGGATACCAAACAAGAAGACGATAGCCAAGAAGCTGGGCGCAAAGAAGAGCGGTGGTAGGTTTATACCCACTGTTGCTACCGTCTAACGCCTACTGTCCTCGCATCGGGAATGGCACGCGGACGGAGGTTGTTGGAGCGAGATTTTGGAGTAATTGAGCTGACAGCCTCGTCTTACTTTGCCTCCCAGACCAACATGTCATCCCCGGGAACATCATCTTCAAACAGCGAGGCACAATGTGGCACCCCGGCGAGAATGCCCTCAAGGGCCGTGACCACACAATCCATGCCGCCGTCGAGGGCTACGTGAAGTATTACCGCGATCCCCAACTACACGCGACAAGACAATACATCGGCGTCGCATTCAACCGAGACGACACCCTCCCCTACCCGAAGGACGCACCCCGGCGGCGCAAGCTCGGCATGGTGGCCGTACCGCGCAAGGTCCACGAGAAGAAGGACGCCATCTCCGCGAGCGGTATTCCAAGACGAGTCGTGCGGCAGGCTGGAATATTCGACATCGAGGCCCTGGAGCAGCGACTCTGGTCGCGGGACAAGGCACGCGAACTAGAGGAAGCCAGGAAGGCGGCAGCATCATCAGCAACCGCGTCCGGGGCAAACGCAGCAGCCGAGGCAGCCGCGGCCGCCGGGGAGACGGAGCCGACGCCCATAACGGGCGCGGAGGAGGGCAAGGCGGAGGCGGGCGCCGCCAAGGGGAAGAAGCGGACGCGGTCGCAGCAGCGGCGGCTGGTGCACCCGCTGGCGTTCATCCAGAAGCGGTGGCTGGAGCGGCGGCGGACGCGGACGCTGCACCTGAACCCGCGCAGCTACAGCTACACCGAGACCAACGCGGCGATCGGGCGGCTGGCGTCGCGGACCATGTACACGCCGCCGTGGAAGCTGGGCGGGCGCAAGGCGCGGTTCAGGGCCCGCCGGGGCCGCCGCGAGGAGCGCATCAAGCAGATCGCCGCGAACCGCAAGCTGGTCAAGGCCGAGAAGGAGAAGGAGCGCATCGCTGAGGAGGCCAAGAGGGCGCGCATGCTTGCTAAGCAGAGGGCTAAGGGCCAGGGGCGCACGCAGAAGGAGGGGGTGAAGGAGGGGCCTAAGGAAGGGGAGAACGGCGGTGGGAAGGAGGGTGAGAAGAAGGTCGATGCGTGAGGTGGGCTGTCTGTATGATACTGAGAGGTGGTGTGTCAATACAAAAAAAACATTGGAAAGCGGGCCTGTTCAGATGTTGAGATATACCGGAAGCAACTGATATAAGCTGTGTTCGACACGTCCAGCAGGTGCAGGTGTCTCCCCTGGGTCTGGCAGTGCGTCCAGAGCATGACAAACACCAGGGCCGCTGATTGAGAAATTCAAGTGACTGCCGCGATCTAGGTACACGTCTACAGGTTCCTGGGTGCTCTACACCCATGCCCAGATAACGAGGCGTTGTCCTGTTAGTACAACGGCGCTGTCAGTCGAATCTGCCTCTGGCATGGACGCATGGAAAACAGTATCGTGGCGGTATAGGAACGCACGTTATTGGTGACAGCCGAGTGCGAGTCCTACCTGCGGATACATAAGTCAGGCTGAGCCCGCTTCGCCTCGGGCTGAGCAGCAGCTCCTACGGCATATCATGCTGGTGCTGACCTTGCTTCCATAATTTCTCATTAAGGATAGTTGTCGCGGTCGCCCGCTTTTCTAGCTCTTTCCCCCTCATGGCACCTCAACTAAGCTTCTTCGCTGCCAGCTGTCATTCTCCATGGCTGCCCCAGGCTTCGGATTTTCTGCGGGCGACTTCATCGCCGCTGTAGACCTTGTCAAGAAACTCATTCGCTCCACAATCCAGGTGTGAGTGCTACCATATGGAGACTGTATACAGCCTGCTGACTTTGCTAGGTCCGCCACCAATCTGCAAGAACAACGCCTAGACAACTGCACGCTGTTGTTGCAAGAGGTATGCGATGACACGAAGGAATCGAATTCCTGCGCCGAACAGAACAGTCAGACACTCGAGACCCATACCGGCATTATGGAAACAATTTCACGCGTTGTCTCAGGCTTGGTGTTTGGGACACAAGAGGATGGGCTCTTGTTACTTGTCCATAAGGGCCTGCAGTGGCACATCAGAATCTTCGACACCGTCACTCAGATGCAGCAGCTTTTGTGCAGTATACCACCCCGGATCGAGCGCGAACAACCCGTCCTTTTTGAGGACGCACCTAGGAGGCTTACAACGTTCCATGTTGAGTTCATAAATTCCTATAATGCCTTCCAGGCCGTTCTTGAGGCTCGCTTTGAGAACATGCCTGGACTGGCGAAAGTCCGAAATCTGGAGTACGCCATGCAGGATACACGGTTCAAGCGCATACTTGATCTTTCCGATCCTTGGGAAACATCATTCGACCCGGGAGAAAGTTTGTTATGAGCATGGTCTTTCAACTGCCTAACGCAGTGGAATCATCTTGCCCAGGCTGCTCTAAAGAAACATATAATCGCATCGTGAACGAAGGCTCAGACGTTCAGTGGTACGAAGGAGTCCCTTTTATTCCACTTTCTGAGGCAAGTGCCTCAGCACTGATCTGACAAAACGGTAGTGAGAATCCTGACTGCCGTATTTTCTATCGCTACGTCCCAGATGCCCATGATTCGAAACTAGGCAAGAGAAAACAATCAGAGCCATGCAGCAGTCCCGCCAAGAGAATGAAGCATGGGCAGAAAGATAACGGTACTGGTGAGGATGACCAGGACGAAATACGCGAGTTCCGTCGCGTACAGATTATGCATGGGGAATTCAACAGCTCTTTAGAGCGACTCCCGTTCCCCGAAGACACGACAAGAAGATGCATCAAAGAAATCTACCACAACGTCTACGATAACAGCGAGAGCGACATCACTGAACAATTCCATGCTTGTCGCCAGGATCACATATGTAGCGATCCTATCGTACGCGAGTACGACCGCAAGATCAGTCCCCGTGGATCGCAACTAATTGACTCAAGGGATCTCGGATGTCCAGATGATACAACAAATATTGAAGAGTGTACTGATTAATATTAATCTGATGTCTCTGTGCTTGGCAATTATACATTCTTCCTAGGTAGCATGATGAAGTGTGTTTCTAAAGGCACAAGGCCACGCAGGTGGGGCAGTATCTGAGCCTAGACCTGATTATAGACGGTTGAGACAACGTGTTAGCACTGGACTGTGCACCTTTGAATTACCCTAGTGGATGCTACAGCTACGGCTTTGGGCCAGGTGTTAAGGCGGCCAGATCCCCTAAAAGCTCTGTACAGGATGAGCAATAATTGAGTAACCACCTTATTAAAACAACTTAAACATTTTCTATTGCCTCTTAACTTACTAATTTAATATAAAAAGTATGAAAGCTAGAAGTTATATATATTAGCTAATTTCATCCTGATTTATACCCTTATCTTTAATGCATAGAGTGGTGATAGGCCTTAATCAGCTAGCTGTGTTTTACATCCTAGAAGGAGCTATGACAGTTTGGTTTGAGCTGCAGTTCAACCGTACCATCCCTATCGCCAGCCATCACCACCGGCCAGCTTGGCTCAACAAGGACAGCAACCATGCAGGGTCGAGCTGATGGAGATGGGGGGAGGGCAAAGGGCAACGCCAAGAAACGCGACCTGGACGACGCGCTCAAGGTTGGTCTTGGCACGCGAGACTCTGACGCGAAGCGAAGGCACACAGCCGGTGGACCAGGTCACCAACACGACGAGAGCACGCCTAACAGTTCCAGCTTCCACTCTGATGGGCGAGATGTCAAGAGAAACGGCACATCGAATTCCTTCAAGTCCCAACGCGATACACTTCCGTTCTCATCGCGCCCGTTCGGCTTGCCTGCACAACAGGCACACCGTTCCCTGAGACCGCCCAACAGTGGTGACTCAGCGCCTAAGGCTTCAAGGGCTTCAGGGGCTTCACAGGGTACCCGGGGTGCCAAACCAGGCCTGCTAGGTGGTCTCTTCAGCGGCTTTGGTCACTACAAGTCGAAGCAAAACCCCGTGCCTAATGGACCACCAACCTCGTCAAGCACGTGGTCGGACGCGTCCTCCGTTCCCGCCGGCTCGACTGAGGCCTTGAACGCCGAGATATGGAATGAAATACCTCGGACACCTTGGCACTCCTTGAGGTATGGGCACAAGCCTGCGGACCGGGCAGCTGGAGGGGAGGGCAAGCCACAGAGCTATGACAGGCCCGCCCAGGGAGCCCGATCCCGCAACGCCGACCACGCCGTCACTGGCTCGCAACGCCGGCAGTCTGATACGCAAGACAATACACTACCTGCTTCTCGACTCAAGGGGAAAAGAAGAGCTCAGTACGATGACAATCTAAGCTACGATGTTTTGTACCTCGAGGACGATGACGAGGACAGCGATGAGAAGGACGACGAGCACGCCACTGCTTTCCCCAAAACCCGGCAAGGCAGCGCTCGTCTTGGAGCTCGCGGCAGCAGTGGCAGTCTCTTGAAGGGTAATCCCGATGCTGGCTCAAACGGCGAGCGCAAACCCCGACAGCTTTCCTACGACAAGACACCGTCTGGATCTGGGCTGCGTCTTCATAGCTCGTCATCTTCTGTGGATGCTGAGCAGGACAGTACCTCCACGAATCCCTCCGATCTTGACCGCGCCATGGCCGAATCCAAAGTCTGGGCTTACGTAGCTCCGTTCGTACCGCAGAATTGGACTACATCTTTTACTGACCGCCTGGAGACGAGCGCATTCATCCAGGCCATCTCCTTGCCACTCAGGAACAAGATGGATATGGAATGGCTCTCCGGAACAAAGAAGTCCCATCAAAGAGCATACCGTGCCCTGATGAGTGTCATCTTCCAGGCCATCGGAGTTGAGGCTCGCTGTAAGCCATGCGAGTCAAAGATCCTGGAAAGACGGCGCAACTGTAAGGTCCTGCCCCCAGAAGCTGAGGGGATGCGGGAGCTCCAGGAGGTCTGCGGGTCGCAGTGCGTGAACTGCTACTTTTTTCACGCGACGAAGCCTTGCGAATTCCCGCCATCGTCAACCACGACCAAGCAGACCCCAATCCCTGTTCCAACCCCACCGGTCACGCGTCCCATGCCAATTGTTGAGCGCGCTTTGGATCCGCCTTCTGTCGTTCGTCCTCTCCCAGCAGCCATACGCCCACATGCTCCTACGTACTCGTCGTACAAGGCCACGAAAGCGGAGAAACCCATTTCAGAGAGCCCTGTTCCGATCCCATTGTTTGCAATCCGAGGTCCAAACCGTCAAGGCCAGTCGACACAAATGTCGAATGTGTCTTCAGAGATATCACCCTCGGGAGTTTTACTCAAGGTTCGTCGGTCGAATAGGGTCTCCAAGACAGACAATCAGTCCGGTGATAGCAGCATTTTCAAGGGCAGTGGCAACACGGGCGAAGCGGAATCACATTCAGCCGTATCGAACGCCGGGTCTTCGGAAGCTGCATCGGCCTCTGGCGGATTGGCGTCTGGTAGACCTAGCACCAAGGAGTCGACGGCAACCGCTTCGAATGCGTCTGCCGATGAGATCTCCAGCTCACAGCTGGCAGGGAGAGCATTCAGCTTGTTTGGCGACATGAGCCGGCTCCCTGTTGAGGAGCAGGCTGTATTGTGGAACCAGATGCAGCAGATGGCCGGGATTCTGCAGACGGGCACAGTGACGAGGATCTCCATAACCAAAAGCACACCCCCAAACCTACCTCCCGGTCCCCGGGTGGCGGCTGCGGAGTGGGAGATCGCCCCCGGCAGGCTCATCGTTGACGACAAGCACCTAGCGTTCTCCACGTCCTTCCTCAGCCGTGAGATCGTCAGCCTAAAGGCTGCGCAACAACTCAGCCCGACTCAGAGTGTCCTGAACAAGGGCATCGCGGCTCTCAACCAGCTTAGCGTGGGCCAGGAAGAGGGCTGGGACTGCACGTGCTCGGTGATCAGAGGTGTGCTCAAGATGATGGTCGGAGACTTGGAGGCGACGATCGGGCAGGGTGGCGTGATTGTCATCGAGAAGGAGTGCATCATCACGAACATATCTCACAAGGAGGCGAGAATCCAAGTGTGGTGGAGGAAGGCGGATGGCTGAATTTCCAACTCTCCGGACCTGCGTATGAGGTTGGTATGCTCTGGTGCAGCAGCGGTGGTGCCATGGATTCCGCTGCTCACTGCCAACCGCGTGGGTATGTGCTTGTTGGTTTGAAGCAGATATTCGATTCTCTCCGGCTCATACGCAAAGTAGCTAGTTGCTCCTCCCTATTTCTGTGCCAGATACCGTGCCATCAGGCGAGGTCCACGGTTTCGGTCAGCAATGACAAGGTATAGACCCTGCAGATACCAATGGCTGAATTTTGAAGGCTACATCAACATCACCGCAGTCATGATATTTGAGGCGTTTCAAACGCCGCCTTGCCACCAGAGGTATTCTCGGAGTGGACTTTCTGTCAGCACTGGGAGCTTTGCCGATCGAAGCGAGTCGTCATTCTGTTGTAGTCACTTAGAAGATGATCGGTGCAGCTTCTCCCTGTTCCAAGAAGACCCGCATTCATCTTGGCCCCAGGTCAGGGATTCTTGCGCTGGAGATTGGTATGCGAGGCTCGAGGACGGCGAAGCTGATAAAAGTCTGAGGAGACCCAATCATGACCGAACCTCTGGATCGAATCTGAGGCCGCGAATGCAGCAGAAGTAATTAATGGGTCCGGATACTGGCCGCCATATAAGGTCCAGGCCGCACATGATAACCTCAACGGCGATATTGGTCTATTCCAGAATGTTATATTGATCATTTGGTCTTTACATTTGCAAGACATCTCCGCCAATCTCGCGGTCCAACAACAGCTGACAAAGGTCAACATGCTACGCCTTCCTACATTAAGCGTAAGCAGGGCCCGAATGCGGCAACTATAGCAGGCTGTTGGTTCCAAGGTGTTATTCGCTGCACTCTTGCAATCCTGCAGTCCTTAGTGTGGGGTCCTCGTGGCTGGAAGCGGTACTGTTGGCGCTAGCTAGGTAAGCTACGTCCGTAGGATGCTATGGTGCCTGGATCTGTCGATACTTCGTAAGCAGCCCAACGACATCAGCTCATCACTTTCCAACAATCTGCTCCATCAAGCCCAACCAAATCACCATGGCGGCGGTAAGCTCAGGTTCCACTGCCGATTCTCTATCGTCGCGCGCTGCAGAGTATCTTGCACAAGACCGATTCCATCAACGGTTCACACTGCCTGCCACAGCAGAGCACGGCGAGCTCCAAGTTAGTTACGCAGACGTCGGACGCACTCCGAAACAAGGTGACGATGGCACTCATTGTCCGACGGTGCTATTCATTCCAGGAATGTTTGCATCTCGCTATCTCAGTGTCTGGATGCATGCTATCGCAGAAAAGCTGGGCGTCCGGGTTCTGATTGTGGACAGGTAGGTGTGGCCTCTCACAATGCGGCTCGTTGATCCCGATTAGCTGACGGACTTGTCTCCATCCAGGCCGGGTATGGGCCACTCGACCAGTATACCGCTTCAGCAGCGAGTCAGTGTTTGGATTGAAGTGGTGCCTCCCCTTCTGGCCCATTTACAGATAGCGCATGTCGCCTTGGCATCCCACAGTTCAGGCACCATTTACCTTCTCAACACTCTTGTTCGTTGTCGTGGTATCCTTGACCCAGATAGGCCAATGGTTGCCTTGGTAGGTACGGCCATCTTCCCATCCACGAATAACGCAAGGTGGTGAGGCACACGAATTAACTGGACGACAGCACCGTGGGTTGACCCGGCTCATTCTCATGTCATGTCCATGCAGATGGCGAAGAACCTGCCTACCAGTATATTTGGCGCTTGGCATCACATGCCCAAGATTGTATCGGCTGGTGGGACAGCGTTCAACAAAATCTCTAAACTACTGCCTTCGAGCAGCGGTGTCAACGCTGCGGAGACGCCACCGCTGGAGAGAAACCGCCAGAGGATAGAGCGCGACTATGGGCTGCCGGTGGAGCTGCAGAAGGAGCTGCAAACCCTGACACTTAAGGCTATTTTCAGCGAGAGCATGGTCGGCGCAGATAGCGAGGCACTGTGTTGCCTCCGGAAAGGGCCTGCTGGGTTGTGGGCCGACTGCGATGACTATGCGCTCTTTGTCAGGAAGCTGGCCGAGCTTGAGAGAGGCCGACGAGCAGAAGATGGCGGTGATAACAGAGAAAAGCTGAGAATAAGTGCTTACTTTGCCGAGACCGATTCTATGATTGGTAAAAGAGGCCAAAGCTACATGGAGGATTGCTGGAAAGGTAGTGGGGAAGGCGAGTTTCAGGACGTGCTGGATTTCACGACCACGACAGTCAGAGAGACAGATCACGACAGTGTCGTACAGTCCGTCGAGGTTTTGGAGCAGATATTTCTCGATGCTGGTGGTGCTGCGCCATCAAGCCTTTAATGTGGAGTTACAAACCTTCAAAACATGGGGTCTATCTCTTGGAAGCCAGCCAAAATTTCTTGCCTATCAGATGCATTCGCGGAGTGCAGTGATCTGGCAGCACCCATACTCGCATCCGTCGGCAATTTCTTGCCCAGTTCTGAAAGTTAAACAAACACTGATATGAAGGAAAAGGTTGGGCATGGTCCTAATGTCATGGCTCTCTTCACTCGCTGAACATGGGTACCCTCGCGCACCATTGGTAGATAGCCTTGAGAGCAAGTAACAACCTCAGCCACATTTCCGCATTCCTTCCTTAGATTCCCGGTCTATCCCTTTCCTACCTAGGTATCCTAAGATGAATGGGTCAGTAGCAAAATCGCGTTAGAAGTAATGAGCATGATTCGTTTATTTCTGAGCGCTATACAGGAGGCCACATTGTGAAGATGATCTGAAGTATAGTGCAATCTTTAAGAAAAATAGATACTCCCCAGAATCATAGTTACCATTTGATCACTGAGCCTCGGGAGCCAAATTCTGACATGTGGGCACTGGTGCTTTTGGACCCGGCCCACGCACGTTTACCACCCACCCGTTTGCATAAAAGTTTGTCAACCCAACAAGCTCATAATTTTAAGAAGAAGCTCAACTATCACCTGCTTCTTTTCATCAGCTTAAGCTTCCCATTCCCTTTCAATGAGCCCCCAAAGCTTAGCTACCAGCTTTCTACCAGCAACCACCTTCTTGCACACCCACTTGTTTGCACCCCCGCCCCCGCGCCCGTTTGCACAAAAGTTTGTTTCCCCAATAATCCCATACTTTGGAAGAAGCTTAACTGCCATCTACTTCTTCTCATCAGCTCAAGCTTCTTATTCCCTTTCAGCAAGCTCCCACAGTTTAGCTACCAGCTTTCTACCAGCAACCACCTCCCTGCATCACCTGCCACTGATCCAGACCTTTGCACGCTTTCTACCAGCATACGTGTTATCAAATTCCCGCTCTCCAAGATGTCCGCCTATCAATCTCCCAAGACCGGCAACAAGAGGAAGCGGCCCAGTGTGGACTCTGAGCGCCCCTACCGCCCTACTGGTCCCCAGCTGCGTCTTTCTTCGCCTCGTGGACACAGGAACGTCCAAGCCATGGCCCAGAATCAATCCATGCCCTTCCTGACTAGAGGTTCGCGCGAAGGTGCTGATGATGATAGTGTATCACTGTCAAGCGGATCAGATACTTCCATCCCACCCGGCAACTCTTTCCAGGCTCGTCGCTCTGAGTCACTGCGATTGAGGGTTGAGCTCAGGAACGATCGCTCTGGAGACTAGCAACCACAAGACGATCATTCTGGTACTCGGGCCCATTTAAACCACGGAAATAATGATCACTCACCCGGCCGTCAGGATTCCGAGGACACAATCGATGTTCACTCAACTCCGGAGCGGAGCAGAGGCAGCAAGACCAGTCGTAGACAGGTTCAGAGCGCCAACATAAAGTCTGCTAAAAGCAATGATCATGAGAAGATTTCCAATGACCAGGCATTACCACGATCACATACGGGCAGGCCTTACCTTCAATTTAAAAGTATGTTCATGTCACCACCTTCTCTATGTAAAGTTTACTTATTTTTCCAAGTCATACATCTATCTCATGTCTTCTGCTTTGTAAATTATCCTGAATTATCAGGTTAATGATCAAACTAACTAATCACAGTGCATGCGCAAGGCGCTCTGATCCCAGACAAGTGGGAGGATGCACGCCAGAATTTGCCGGGCAATGACAATCTCGACGGCACCCTCTCAATCATAGGCACACGATCGCGAGGCCAAGACGGCTGCGTTGACATTTCACGAAACCCTCGGTCCTCTGAAGACAGACCACCTGATGCGCTCCAGCCGGACACGCCGTCGATTAAGCCGTCCCAGAAAGCTGCACCAGGCGTTGCCAGCTCCTCTGGAGTTCTGAAACAGTCACACCAGATTGCGAGACCCATCGCCGAGGTTGGGGATCGACGAACAGTGGAGAGCGATATCGAGCCCGCAGAGACGACCGCGGATGCTGCATACAACGCCTATACTTGCCTGGGGAAGGCTCACCCAAAGCTCCCGTACAGCGACGTTATGGTTTTCCTCTCTGAATTGCCCTCTGCAGAAGGCGCCCTGGACATCAATTCCACGCCGCAAACACAGGTTGGGCGAACCACGCAGATGGTCTTCGAGCTCCCTAGACGCAAAGGCAAGTCCTTTCCGATCAAAAGCACTGCCAGGGGGATCGCCCGTGTGAAAGCCGCGTTGGCTCAGTCCCACGGGATCGTATCTGAGTAAGTGACATATAAAGGGGCTGTTGAGTACATGTACTAAGATGGATGCTTGCAGGTCCCCGTGTGCACATTGTGCTGCTGGAAAAGGCCTTTGGAAAACCTGTATGCGAGCGCCTGCGATGCCTGGCGACGATCAGGACGTGTTCAAGGGGGCCTGCCCTTCTTGCTACTACTTTGGCAGGGGCCATATCTGCCGGTCCGAACCAAACGTTCAACAGGGTATAGCTTCCGCTACACCGGCGATTAGATCCTCCTCTCCTCCTCTCAAAGACAGACGCGAGCGGAATCGAAGCAAAGCTGGTCAGGAGGCCTCAGGTGCTCAGGAGGACTCAGCTTCTCCCCACCGTGTGGGAGAGGACCGAGCCAAGAGTGTGTCCGCCGATGGACAGAACTCGCAGGATCCTATGCACAATTTTCAGGATCTAGCCATCAAAGTTGGCCTCCGCGCCCGAAAATTGCCTCCTGAGGAGCAGCAGGCTACGCTCGAGAGGGTTGAGTCTCTTCTTGCGATCGATGGCCTCGAGCTTGATGAATTGGACATGGCACGCTGTATCCTTGAATCACCTATTGAACAGAAGATCGAAGCCGCGCAGATGATGCTCCGGATTTTGCGGCCCATGTTGAGCCGAAAGCCCACCAGCTAAGGATTTGGTCCGAAGAAAGCTGCTCATGTTGATGCAAGTGGCATCCCTCTGGGCTATGGGCTTTGATACTTGGCGTCGCCAAACAGAACAACGAAGGGAAACGTCCTGTGGATATTCTGCGAGATAAAGTCACATGGACTCTTGGGTTCTTGTGTGAGGTTGGGGATTGGCACAAGTGAGACTGTCATTCTGGCAGGGCTGATGCTCACAAGACCAGATCGATATTGTATGGAAATTAGACCATAGTCCCTCTCTGACAGAGGCTAGATTGAATGCAAATGAAACCGCACACCTGTAACGCTCTGATATAAATAAATTTCTTCCTCTTCGTTACCATGACAGCCAGTTCATAGAGTTAATTCTTCAGGATGCGATCCTCCAAGACCTTGCCAATTGCTTCCGTCTGGGCTGGCATGACCGTAGCTCCCTGTTGTCGTCACCATCACCTTCCCTCATGAAAGCCACACCTTCTTCGTCATTTGAACCCTGCGCATTCTCCGTCGTATCTTCTCTAGACTCTTGAGGATCCTTTTCCTGTTGTATGTTGAAGCTCCGATGACACATATAATGACAATGTTCATGATAATTTTGGTGATAGTAGCAATGAGGATCAGTGTTTCATTCATTTTGTGTTAAGCATAAACTCGGCTTTAGCAATTTTTAATATTATAAACATTGGTACAGTGAGTTTTAACATCAGAAAATGTTGATTAATGCTAGTTATTAATTTACTTGCAATTCTCTATTATGGATGATTTAATACTGAATCAGCGGAAGATTTGCAAAGTACGATCTTATGAGATTAGTTGCAGTTCTCAAAAGACTCGCAAGCTTAAACCACGCCAGGAATACATAGCAGTGTCAGCCCAAATATACCTGGCCAAGATAAGGCCTGCAGGCCTACAGGGGAAGGGGTTGTTGATTCTAACCAAACGTGGCTCAACAGAGTTAAGTACATGCACAGCACTTGCAGCATGAGCCGGCATATGCGACCACATTGCGTTGTTGGTCTTGCGATGTTGCAGGAGCTTTGCCGCTGGCTGCCAGTATTGATAATGAGAACGGATAGTCACATAGAAAGAAATGGCTGGTATACAGATACATTACACCCCTAGTGCACTCACACCCAACACACCCACGCCCAACACGCCCACACCCAATTCACATACCTAAATCCAGTTCACATACCTGATTCCCACACTTATATACTTATATAATGTGCAAGTTAGGCATATAAATTAGGTATAGGTGTATGAATTAGGTGTGTGTAAATTGGGCGTGGGTGTGGGTGTGGGTGTTATGCTCTGATCAGCCGGGGGAACACTATTGAAGAGCTATCCGTGTAACATCCATTTCCTTCTGTATGAATATCCATTCTCTTGATGATACATTTGCATGTAGAAAAACGACCACGTCCGGAAGACGGCGACCTTGCAAATATCAGAGGATAATACAGATCATACCACTACCTGATTAGTTCAGAGCAGACAGAAGAAAGTCGGTGCTTGTCGCAGGGGACTGATCCCAAATGCCCCAGGGCGTGTAACTCTGGCGACCTTCCAGGCTAGCTTCGGTGCATCCCTTCGCAGTGATACCTCAATTGGTAGAAAATATTCCCGTATTAAGTAGACCTGTGGCTGGTCGAGTTCCGTGTTCATCGTTGGTGCCACCCACCCAAATTCAGCTATGCACGCTTGTGGCGCAGTGGAGGGTCAGTTGGAGGGGGCCAAATGCATGGGTCTTCCAGTACAGAAGCTGGAAAATTTCTCCGAGCCCAAGGCTCCGTGACTCTGCTACTGGTACGGGTTGCAACCCTTGCATGCAGTCCAGCTTGCTTGGGCATGGCGTGACGAGCGGAGGTGAGACTGGTTTGCTACTGGTGTCAATCCTGGCAGCCACTGACGGATCCTTCGCTATCGGAAAAGGCTTACTGCGTGTTAGCGGTGGTCAAACGCTGTCTGCTCATCACCAAAAAGCTGAGACCCGAACCGACAGGTTACATGCATGCAACCGAGTATGCATACATGGGCAGCCAGCTACTTACAGTAGCGTTCGTCGGCGCAAGTATAGACGGAGATTACCCCATGACGCCACCCCTCAGCGGAGCCTCGCCAGCTGGCGGTAGTCGACTTGCTCATTTTTCATTCACTCGAGGAAATATTCAAGCTTTTCGATACCGCCCAACCATGAAGCCCAGAGAAGTTAAGACTGTCTTCCCGCTCCGTGTCGATTCTTCTGGAAATGGCCGCAGCCGACGTCAACCATGGGCCGGCGGCACCCGTGAAATTGAGTAATATCCCACAGATCAACCTGCAAAGCGACAGCCCCGATTTATCGCGCTCCACGTCGTTTCAAGCAGACCCGGGATACGACCCAAGCAGTCATGAGGTCTCGAGCACGCCGACAACAAATGGCCTCGCCGGGACTGGCCGGCAACAAGATGGTCACCCCAGGAAACCACAGTTCGTGGCACGAGATGGTGCAATTGGCGGGAAATCTCATAATGAGACAAATGTCGAGTACGTTTGACGGTTAATGAAAGCGCAGTCGACTGCCTTAACTGACTTGGAGTGTAGTGTGGTATTGGTTCCGTGTCCAGGTGCTGATCCTCACGACACGTGGATGCGCGAGCCTCTGTCCAAAGATGTCTTCAAGAGGCCGCCAACTTTCCACCACGGCAAAGCGCCGAAGTGGACCGAGTCACAGGTTGCGAAAGAGCCTACGCCTACTACACCTTTGCCCTCCAGCCTGGGTAAAGATCAAAAGCCCGCAGCGTCATGGGCTCGAAGCGGGGTCAGGCACGAAGCCAACACGGCCCGGGTTCTGACTTACGATCATGGAGATATGACACCAGACAGGAATTTGAAAACCATGGCGGACGACCTCCTGTCCTCAATATGCACAGAGACGGCAGGAAAAATCGCGAGGAGGCCATTGTTCTTCATCTGCCACAGCATAGGTGGCCTGGTGGTGAAGTTGGCCTTGACGCAAGCCAGCCGCAGTTCCAAATATCGCCCCATCCTTGAGGACTGCTACGGCATTACTTTCTTCGCTACCCCCCACCGAGGATCCAGCTATCTATCTATCATCGACTTTGGCATGTGCATCCAGCAGCTACTCCACCTGTCTCAGCCGCTGACGCCCAAGTTGAGAGGCGAATTGAAGCTAGACCACCCACCGCTTCTGAAGATAGACGATGACTTCAAACAGCTGTCCAGTGAGTTCCGGGTGTGGAGCTTCCATGAGACAGAAGATTCAAGCCTGTCAAGGATCGGGTTCGCTGGACCAACAGACATACCATTCAAAGCCCCTGTCACATCGATGCGATCAGCGATCCTCGGAGTCAGACATGAGAAGGTCTACGCATTGCAAAGCACCCACGCAAATTGCGCCTCGTTTGGCATGAAGAACGCGCAGACTCTGAGGCTGTACCTGTCAGATCTAGGCGCTGCAATCCAAAACGCAGAACAACTGAACCAAAGCACACCCCATGTACCTCTGAGGTTAGAGCAGAAGGTCACTATTGAGGTTCACGGATTTTACGAAAGTGGGTCGATACATGAGTCTCCAGGTGAGACTAGTATCCGGCTTTTCTCAACCAAGGATCATTCACTGGAGGCATTCTGGGATGAGGGCCCAGACAGACTGCTGGAGAAAAGGCTCAATGATATTCGATCGGAGTCGCAAAATGACCCCCAGGACACCCAATTCTTCGGTCAAAAAGGTAGGGCGCCGTCTCTCAGACCGCCGGGTGAAGTGGCCACGGGCACGGACGAGCGCCCAAGGAAGGCACGACGCCCTTCAGTAACTATCGTACCTCCTGGAACCTCGAATACATCATCAGACGCGAGGCTTACCGAGTCGCCAAAACCATCCTCACTCATTCAAGATCACGCAGTACCTAAAACTGCAAATGATGGCGACCGGTCTCCAGAGACCCAGTCACAATCAAGTCCAGAAGCTGCTCAAAATGGCTCGTTGTCTACCGAAAACCCAGGGAATATTTCTCCTAGGATGCTCTCTCCTCAACAGGAAGAAGGAGTTTCATCTATGAGCCGATCCACAACAGGGAGCGAGACTCTTGTGTCTCAAACATCATTTGGCACTGGTCCTTTGCGGCCTCAACCCGTACATCGCGCCTCAAGCCAGCGAACGGTCCGCCAGTATTTGAAACCAAATGGCCCTACCGCAAGGGAACGTCGGGGGAGCGAGACAACATTCATTCAGGATTCGAGACTAGGCTCCACTGTCTCGAAGCCCAGCAGCAAGACACGCAAATTTGTTTGGATCCACACCCCTTTTAACAACCCAGTGTGGGTGAAGAAGGTTTTCGACACGATATCGTTGGAGGAGAGACAGGACTACTCTGAGCTGTTCTCCTCAGAACACTGGACTTCCAGGCATGAGAGGGGCCGCCACGCTCAACATCACGCTTGCTTCCTGAGGCCGGCTTGCGGGTATGTATCTCTCAAATCCAGACAACTATCGATGTTCGGACAACCAGCGTCCGGCGCCCGGGTTTTGCAACGCACCGACAGTTCATCGCCTCGCCAAGGCTGTCTATATTTATATTTCCCCTTCTTACATTTCGATTCATACAAGATGTTGGTGAAACGCCGCGACATTATCAAAAGGCGAGTTGCCCAGGGTCGCACCAGACCAGTGCCTTCTGAGGTTGCCAAGGAGACGTCCCTTGAATCGAGAGTCATATGGGAGTATCTGGGACACGACCCACCATTTAACTGCCGGCGAACCCTCGACCAGTACCGCTACCCTTCTCTGCACGATACACGAGCTAGAGATGATGATCAGATGTTGTACAAGATGACTAAGGAGAGGGTCTATCTGAACGGCAAGCCAACTGTCGCTTCTCTTGGCCCCGCATTGAGAGGCGAGGAAAGGACTCCCACACACTATGATCGAGGGGACGCCGCTGGTTTCGGAGACGACGATGAAGATCAGGAACATTTGGATTCAGAGAGTGAAAGCAATGAGGACGAGTTTGATGCTAAGCCAGAAGACGACGTTCTGGATGGCAACGTTCTGATGGTGGATCAGTTGTGGTTGTGGGCAGCAGACTCCAGTAAGTCTTTCAACTTTGTACTGTTCCCTCTCAATTTCAATCCAAGCTGACGCATCGTATCAGAAACACTGGTTACGTTCTTTCCATCCAGGGAAGGTAACCCAATGGAGGGTCCGTTGCATCAGCAAGCAGACCTCCGTGACAGCGTGTTCAACGAAATCAACGACGATCTCACCCGACCGTGTGAAAACGCCCTCGACCTGGCTGCGCTGACGGTTCTTCATGCGGTAACAGCTCTCATAGAGCGTTCGTCGCACCCAGATCTAGAAATATTTCGGATTTTCGAAGAAGCGATCAGCGTTCTGACCGAGAAGATGACATCTTCGCTGAAGCGATTTCGCACGACAGGTTTCAGAAACAGAAACGGAGAAGACGATGAGTTGAAGCTAAACTCGTCTTCCATACGCGCACGGCACAAGAGAGAAGACGAAAAGGCAGAAAAGGAGAACCGCGACAACACGTCAGCCCTCCTAGAGCTCCGAGACATCGAAGATGAGCTATCCACACTCAACCATTTGTTCGGAGAGCAAGAGGAGCAGATAAATCAGATGATGGCCATCTACAGCGGTAGCAGCACATTCAGCTCTCCGCCCACCAGCCCACCTCCACCGGCCTCTGCCTGGGGCCAACCAATCAACAGTCCCCCGGAGAACAACAGCACCGGCACTCTCCCCCTGTACATGTCCCCTCTCACCACCAACGGGAGGTTCTTCCTGCAGGAAGCCCTAAGCAGACTCAAGTCCTACCGCGCACAGTCCAAGGACATGATCGAGCGCGTGAAGACGACCCGGCAAGACTTCGACAAGCTCCTCGAGACGGTGCAGCGGCAGGCGCAGATCGACGAGGTGCGGCTCTCCCGGCAGCAGGCGGACCTGGCCAGCGCGCAGAACCGCTCCGTCATGATCTTCACCGTCTTCACCGTCATCTTCCTCCCGCTGTCCTTCTTCACCTCCCTCTTCGGCATGAACACGCGCGAGTGGGGCGGCGGCAACAACACCCCCCTGCGCACGATCGGGTCGATCGCGCTCCCCGCGTCGGCGCTGCTGGTGGTCAGCGCCTTGTTTGTTGCGTGGAGCACGTCCGTGCGGAAGGCGTTCAAGTCGCTAAGCAAGAGGGTGCGGCGGGCTAAGAACCGCGCCAGGCGGTGGTGGAAGAGGCAGCTGGCGGCGCTGTGGAAGAGGAATGACGACAGGCCGCGCACGAGGCTCGGTATGCGCAAGATGCGTCGGAAGCGGGAGGCGATGGAGGTGAAGAGGCAGAAGAACAGGATGAAGCGCGAGATGACGATGCACGACTTTTGGGAGCGCCACCAGCTGGACAGGGAGACCAAGTACGAAATTCCATCGAGAAATCGGAAGAGCATCAGTCTAGCCCGGGCAAAGGCCAAGGCTAGGAAAGAAGAAAAGGAGCGGAGGGGATGAGCTCGTATACACGACGGCAGAAATGGCACAAAATAACACGGTAGATACTGTGGAATCGTTGACGGATGGGTTCTTCCAATCCCTAGACAAACAGATACGTAATTATGTGATATCTTTAATCTCTTGCCCAGTACATTACACAACACAGCTCAATGATTCTGCATCGAAACAGTCGGTCTAGTACACAGCTACCCCCACTAATGTCCTTACGTGCCGTCCGGCCCGTTCCTCACCCTCTGACTCGTCGTCCCGGATCAAACTTTGAGAAGTCCGAGCGCGATCGACACCGGACCAGAAATTAGTTTCAACCTTATTTTGACGTTCATCCATTTCTACGGTTCAATAGTGTTTATAGCCAGAGCACGGGATGTTATCATATCTGGTAATTTTCTGCTTCAGAATAAAAAGCGATGGATAAGCAGACTGACCTAAATCTGGTGTCTGACATATGCTTCTTTAGAGGTACCCTTTCATAGATAACAGTTCATGATAAACCTCAGGTTTTCCTTTTCTGGTAATGCGGTTCTTGGTAATTCGGTGATTGATAATGTGCTGATTGATTGGTAACCCCAGAAATCGTCTGTGGTACCAACTCCCTCTCCTTGGGTCTGTTGGTTCCAACAAGTGAACGTGGGTCTCTCTCGAGCTAACCTTTTCGAGTTCTTCCATACTGCTGCGAGGGAGAATCGCCCGTGCAACGACGCGTAGTCGAGGCGATGGCATAAGTTCCCCCAGAATCTGCATCGGTATACTGAATTGAGTAATGCTATTAATTGGTTGAAGCTGTAAAATTGAGCTACAGATGAGGAAGATTGGTTTACCTAACGCGAAGAACAAATCGACGAAAGAAATCTGTAATCTAATATACGCGTCTTGTCCATTCCTGGCGAACATGGGTGACAAGGCTTTCGAATGAGAAATACAAACAAAATCGGACCTTCTGGCCAAATACTGGCATACAAGCCATCCAAACTGTACCACTTCTGCAGCTTAATGAGCTTGTTAACTTGAAAGAGTGTGACATTTGCTGCTCATTTACACGCATTTCAATACCATGTTTTCCACTCAGCCTGATGAAGGTCCGGAGACCATGGGAAATAGCCAAGGTCAAAACACCGAGAAGGACGAGACACGAAACGAATGGCCCCAGGGAGAATCCAGCGCCGAGTCCGAGTCGGACGAAAAGAAGAGGACAATACGTGGCTTCCGCTGGGTCCTCGTCTGCGTCTCGCTGTACGTTACGTGCTTCCTGTACGGCCTCGATACCACCATCGCCGCAGATGTCCAGGGCCTTGTGACAGAGGCTTTCGGCCAGGTCGACCAGCTCGCCTGGATCGGGGCAGGATTCCCGCTGGGATCCGTCTGTGTCATTCTGCTGCTGGGCACGCTCTACAACTCCTTCAATATCAAATGGGTCTCCATTGCAACCGTGGTGCTCTTTGAGGCCGGCTCGGCTCTCTGTGGCGGCGCTCCGAACGGTAAGCCTTCTCCAACGAATTTCTCAAAAGCCTTCGACATGACAGCCCAAAGGCCCCCCTCCCCTCCTCCCAAAAGAAAAGATGTGTTCAAATCTCTCCCTGATTTATTCGTTTCCGATTAACAACGTCTCAGTGAACGCACTCATAGTCGGTCGTGTCATCGCCGGCGCCGGCGGCAGCGGAATCTACCTTGGGTCACTGCAGTACTATGTAGTCATGACCGAGGAGAAGGAGCGCGGCTTCTACATGTCCCTCATTGGCGGCGCGTTTTCAGATTCGGCAGCAACCTGGAGATGGGCCTTCTATATCAACCTCGTCATCGGCGCCATCTCGGCTCCAGCTTTCCTCTTCTACCTCCCATCGATCCACCCAGTGCAGGGTCTTAGCATCCGTGCCCGTCTAGCCCCTATTGACTTTCTCGGCTTGCTCCTCGGTGCCGGAGTCTGGGTTAGCTTCCTCCTGGCTTTCACCGTGGCCGGTGGTCAGTGGCCGTGGGCCGATGGGCGTACCATCGCTATTTTCGTTGTGTTCGGGGTGCTTCTCATCACCTATGTCTTGCAACAGTATTTCGCCATCTTTACAACACCGTCCCGCCGCGCATTTCCGGGTCACCTGCTGCGCGATCGGACACAAGTCCTTTTGTACGTGGTGGCAGCAGCCGGCACCACGACACTGTTCGTCGTCGTCTACTACCTCCCAATCTACTTCCAGTTCGTCAACAACGACGAGGCTCTGATGGCAGCCGTGCGTCTCCTGCTATTTGTAGTCATCGCCGTCACAGTCAATCTCGTCTCGGGTTCTTGTGTATGAAGCGGGAGAGGCTCTTTGGGCGGGTCGTTGCCGTCGGTGCCTAGGACAGACGAGATGGATTATTATATTGGCCAGAAAGGTTAGACGTGTCGAGTCTCCATGGATTGGAGAGTTTTTTTATTCGATGGTGCACCACACCTTTGGGATCCCGGCCGGCCACTTTTGCATATCTCACGTACTACTCCAGGGCTGCGACTGGCTGGGGCTTAACTTGGGGAGGGCCTGCTGAGTTTCATTTTGGATCATTGGAGTCACTCATGGATGCAGCAAATCCCCGATTTCATTTCTTTTGTGCTGTCTCTTGCTCACTCATACAACGGAGCGTCTGCAACATAACATTTTAGAGTTTAGACAATCTGTCCGTATCGTCCGAAGCTCAATACTCTTGCTCTCATGAGTTGGTGTTGCTCTCGTTACGAACAGCTGTGACAATACAGTACTGCTTTCATCATCAACGCCTCATCCCGATGATTCAAACTTGAACGACCATCTTTCCGAATTTCTTCCCGGTCCACATGTCAACCAGGGCCTGGGGCGCATTCTCGATCCCAACCACCACATGCTCTTTAGTCTTAATCTTGCCCTGCGCAATCCACCCAATCATATCCCGAGCGAAAGTCGGCATGTACTTCTGGATCAAGTGAGGGTCTGAGCAAATGAACCCTTGAACCGTAAGACGCCTCAAAAAGATCTCCATGAGAGTCCGTACGCCGTATTTTTCTTCATCTGGTGTTCCATAAACAGCCACCATGCCGCTTGAAATCACCGTACCAAAGTCCTTCATGTGCTTCAAAGCTGCCTCTAGCTGCTCACCACCAACGTTGTCGTAGTAGACATCGAGACCCTCAGGGGCATATTTAGCTAGGGCTTCGCTCGTTTTCTCCGTCTTGTAGTTCCAAGCAGCGTCATCTTTGAACCGTGAAATTAGCAACTTAGCAGCACCAACAGCTGTTCTTGGGTCTTTTGCTAGCATGTAACAACCAAGCGTTTCCAGGGACGTGGCATCTTTGCGGGACTGATGACTTACACCCTAGCTCCTTTACCACAAAATCGACCTTTTCCTGGCTCCCAGTGCTGCCGATGACCTTCATGCCATGCATTTTCGCCAGCTGACCGACGAATTGGCCCACAGCACCGCTTGCCGCCGTAATAAATATAGTCTTGCCCTCGCGAGGCTCTTTGACATATTCAAAGAAGCTCTCATATGCTGACAGGCCCGGGACTCCGAGGGCGCTCTATTCGGAAAGTCAACATCGGCCTGAAGAAGTGTGTGTGGGGCTGGAGCGGGTGGGGGAGGGAGGCCAACTCACCAAGATCCTCGAAGGGGGGAGTAGCTCAGGCGGCACGCCCTCCGGAAGAGCCAAGACCTGAACCAAAGGCAACTGGTCGGCAGTAATGGTGGTGTACTCTGCAGCGGCGCCGACAGTGAAAGCCAGGATGAGGTCGCCCGGCTTGAAGCCAGCGTTATCAGACTGAATGACGCTGCCGAGTGTGGTCACTCGAGCAGGCTGGCCCAGGACCCATGGCACGGCGTAGCTGTAGGTCTCATATGGCTTGTACATCTGCCCACGATGGGAGGGATCTAGTGACAAGAACAGGTTCTTGACGCTCAGTCCACCAGCGGGAGGGGCTGCCTTGGGGTCAAATGGCCGGTCCTCCACGGTGAGATGCTCACCTGGCACCGGGAGGTAGAGCGTTTCGGCCTTGTAGATGAGGGATTTGTTGGGTTCCATGATGATTGAGCAGAGTAAGGGCAGAGTTCGAGAATTGCCTCAGAGACGAAGGATTTGATGGGGTCGAATGATCCAGGGCAGAGACAACGCTTTTAGGAACGAGCAAGTGCTTCACCATGGGTGATTGCACAGCCAGATTATGTATTCCCCTGACAATGTTACGCTTATTGGTTGGCTCGCTTCGGGTAGGAACATACACGGTACAGTAAGCACCGGTTGCAGCCGCGACGCCAAGTCTTTAGGGCACAGTGTTGGTGCCGCTGTGTTGGTACAATAAACAGGTGGGTTGCATTGCAGCTGTCTTATCTCAATTCCTTGGGGGCTGCTCTCGCCGTGTTGCAGAAGTACGTTTGGCAAGTTGATGTTGGTATGGGGCCTGGCCCAAACAGATAGCATTGATGTTCTTGAGAGAGGTCTAGGTCTCTACTTACCTCAAAAGTTCAGGTGTCCATCTAACACATTAGTTCTAGGGGCCTAAGCGTTCTTAGTAATCTATATGGCTGGTATGGCAATACGGAATAAACGCGTTAAATAGATATTTAAAATTAAAATATAAGAAAATTATAATTTAAATATTAACTTATATGGCTTGTTAAAAACACCTTTTAAATATTCCTTAATTATATTATCTTTTTAGCTAGTTATTTTAATGTAAATAAAATGCTAAATTAAAGAATTAATCAAATTTTATTTTAATGCTTTTATTTCCTAAATTTTCTTTATTTTATAAAACACAATATAATTAATTAATTAAATATAATTAAGAAGCTTTTTAAGCTTTAATAATTACTTATATTTTATTTTCCAGCTTTTTTAATATAAATAATGCAATTTATAAAGGATTAATTAACAATTAATTTTAAATTTTAAAAGGGTATTTACTTTAATTATAAATTCTTTTTTAGAAAATAAGATAAGTTAAAAAGAAAATTTATTATTAAGGAGGTAAGGGCATGTCTTAATCCTTATATATATTATAGTTTAATTATAAACTATTTTCGCTCCCTTAATATTCTTACCCTTAACTCCGCCATATTTAAGTAATTCCTCTTAAATGCGGAATCAACCCTAAAACAATCAAGGGTTTATAAGTGTTCTATGTGTTAGAGATAAGTCTCTGCCCTGTTCCAACAATTGTTACAAATACCCCGATCGTTGGTATAACACCCGTGGACACCTTCTGCCCCACACTGTCTGTGCCGCAGCCAGGTCCTTTGGTAGCCCTACCGCTCCACTGCAGCTAGAGTCGGCCCGGCCACCCAGTCGACCCACCGATCTCTTTGTTTCCGCCCACCCAGCTCTCTTTTGGCTTGGGATCAGGCTGAGCACGTTCCATCGAGGACCAGTAGCTGCCGATCTCAGTCAGTTGTAAAAGTCAATGACCCACTAGCGCGAACCAATATCACGCATAGCTCCCGTTTCTGATCTTAATCCCTGTCTTCGACCTTCATCATCCCCGTGAGTTGCTGAGGACGCGCAGTAGCTTCTTGCAGTCCAGATCTACTGCCAGCCTTGCTTATTTCTCTTTTCTTGTGACCCTTTTCTCACATCTTTTTCCAACCCGTACATTATTACATACTCTTATTACTTCCTCTGTGGATATAATCACCATAAAAAATCACAGATATTATATTTATTTTAAGTAGCTTAAGTTAATTAAAAAAAAATTATTAATATTTAGCTGTAATTATTATATTTTTAATAATTTTTATATAAAGTAAATCTTATAATAATTATTAAATAATTTAAACTTTAAGATAGTGTTAATTTTAATTCTTTTAAATAAAAATTATGTAAAGGTTTTTTTTTATATTATTATATATTTTTAAATTAAAATATAAATAATTAAAAATATAAAGTATAATTTTACATTATTTTTCTTTCTCTTTAATATAAGCTATGTAATATAATTTAAAAAATAAACAAGATTTTTATTACATGTTAGCTACTTTATACTACTAAACCACGCTAACATTAATTGGTCGGTACGAAACAAGTTAGGCTCAGTAATCAGGCTGCCGGGTCATGAGACGCATGAGACATCTCCTGGGAATCTGCAGCTTTCCAACAGTTGGAGCTTACCAACAGTGGCAACCGCCTGAAGGAATGCAGATGTCGGACGATCTATCTCCACTTCACTGCGTCAACAGCAGCAGGCTACAGGCGCAGCAGGCTGCTTCGGTCACCAACCAACCGTAGCACAGCTGTACCGGTAGGCCGTACCACGCTGATTACTCACTGCGTTCCATTCTGCAGCAAATCCGACCCGCTTCGTGTTAGGCTCCCAACGGCAAGATTACTCGGATCTCGGAAAGACCTGACAGTGACACCATCCCGCCAAGTGCCTGACTCAGGACCTGGTAGGGCTAGGACGCCCGATTGGCATCTGCATCATCGGATCTTCTCGTGCATCGAAGGATGCTGTTGTGGACTCTCATTACTCGAGCTCGTCTGCGTGAACAGCATTTCCCCGATAGGACGCACGACGGCGGCTGCGGACGAATTGAAGTGTTACGGATCGTGCACGGGGGACACGGTCTCAGTTCCGGTACAGAACAACAGTACACTGTGGTCAAACTGGACGTGACATTGGTCGCAAGCTACAATTAAGGTAATTATCGTATCCACATCTTCAGGGCTGACAGTCCTCTTCGGCCCCTTCGCGACTCCGATACAGACCCGGTGCCTCGGGCTAGACTAACTCTATGTACGCCTCGCTTTCTCCGGTGTTCTGGGCGCCGTAGCTCCCAGTGGACTTGCTTTTGGCTGAAAAGCTGGTCGTGACGAGCTTCTTCATGCTGGTGAAAAGGGGGCGGAGAGCTGGAAGGCAAGAGGCTATCAAGTAGCACCCAGGTTCGACTATTGACCAGACACAAATGTCCGCCGAAACATAAGTTCCATCACTAAGTGAATCGAACCGGAATGTGGCTGTCAGGCGAATGATGCTGGCAACCATGCCACTATAAACCGGTCAGTGGAGGCTCCCCAAGGCTGCCGCGGAGAATGGTTCAGGTCATAACCGCCACTTACAAACTGCCGAGGAGGAAGACCCCTACGAGAGCAAGCTTCTGCCGTCTCGGAAGCTGCAAACGCCACAACACCGGCCAGGGCAGCACAAGCATCAAGAGATCAGTGACGATGTTGGGGAACGCCATGCCTTGCCAGAAGTGTGCGGAATTTATACAATGGGTGTCTACCAGCGTAAAGTCCCAGCGGGCAGAGAAAGGCCGGCAGGACGCCAGAGACGTGACGACTCCTGTAAAGGCTGTAGCAACAACAACTCCACCGATTGTGTAAGCTGCTATGCGATGCTTCTTTTCGACGAAAATCCGGAGATAGCTGGCCAGGACCGATAGCTTTGGCGATGCTACGGCGATAAAATAGACCACTTCGATGGCATAGCCGCACTTAACCCAGTTGACGGCTTTCTCAGTTTCGCCACCGTACAAGAGAACTAGGAGGTGTCGGCCAATGCCCGCAATGTGCACCTCGACTGAGGGGTACGAGCCTCGTGTCAGCAGTCGGGCAAAAGCAGCGGATATTAGGGGAGTAGACTCACCTATCCCAATGACACAGACTCCGAGGCAGAAGAGCAAGGCTGGTGCCATGAAGTAGTCATCGACGCCCCATTTTCCGGCGAACCTCCATCGAGTTAGGCAGCGTAGGCCAACGATCACGATCTCAAGGGGAATGAATAAGTAAGCTGCAATGAGAACTCTTCGACTGATATCCTCCTCGACATAGCCAGGAGGAAAATCCGGTACAGTTGTTGCCATTGCTTAAATTCCTCTGGGGACTTAAGGCAGAGCCGCCGACGTGAAAAGCTTTGAGCGCGCGAGAGACCGAGAACAGTCCGCGTCGAGCTTTTCACTCCGGGCTGTCAGAGGGAGACGCCCAATGCAAATTTTCAAGGATCGTCGAGGAGCGACGAAATTACCCGAAGAATTCACGACCCGAACAGTCCAATGATGGATGCATGGATCAAATGCTACCAAAACACCCTGGGGTAATCTGATTTGACATTAATCAGGGGTGTCAGCCTACTTTCATTCTTATTCGGAAGGTTGAGGGAGCGATCTAATAAAACACACACCACCTTCACGACCTGCGGGAAGACGTTGGCTGCGATGTGTGGGACAAGGCTCGACATCTGACCCACTCTCGGTGAGGGGGTTTCCTTCTGGGCACCTCTGCTCATCACATTTCTGACAGCATGAAGTGACGCGGCTTCCTTGGAGCATCCGTTGGTGCCATGCACCTCATCCTTGCCGACATGTAATATTGGCTGTTGGCGTAAGCTGACGAGCTCTGGACTCGGTAAAGATAACCCTGAAGGAGGGTAGCACCACTTTTCTGCTGTGCCTGAGGTAGTGCAAGCCACATCAGGATTGGCGGCCCACCTTAATCCTTCTGACTGCGTCTACAGTGCTCCCCCTTGCGTCCCGCGAGTAAAGCACAATGTGCTCCGTGAAACCACTCCGTAAGCGCCCGAGGGTCGAGTTACTGCTTGCCCAGGTAGCCGCTTCGAAGGGATGTGACACATTGTGAAAATTCCAGCGGGCTGCAGATATGGTCACCGGGTGATTTTCCCTTGACTCCATAGTATTTCCGGAGGACTGTACCTGCTCACTGCTAAGATTTATCTAACCCTCTTTAGATTTAAAACCAACAAACCCCCTTATTTAAGCATGCTTAAAAAGTTAATAACCTTAAACTAGTAGTTTAAATAAGAATATTGGATTTTTTTAAAATAATAATTAAATTTTATTATTTTTATTAAAAGTAATTATTTATTATAAAGTTATTTAACTCACCGTTTAATTTTATAATATATATATTTAATCTTATTATATATAAATTAATGTTAAAAGCATTAAGTATATGTTTTTTTTTGAATAAGTTTATAGCAGTTTAATTCTAGATTCAAGTGTACTAGGTCATATAGTGTGCACACTGGTGAGGGTCTATAGCATCATCTATGGAGCGTTGGTTGTCAAGGCAAGGCCAGTGGTTCTGCATTTTTGGCCCCCATGGTGATCGGTCGAGTGTTGTTTGTCAAGGCCACTGGTTTCGCGTTTCTGGCCCCCATGGAGTTCGGTTCCCGATCAGACAAACAGTGACGAGAACTCATGATTTACGAGCCCTATCGCACCTATGACACGCTAAGCCCTTGTCTGCAGCATCTGGTCCTATAAAGCTGGCTCTGCCTCACATGTATTGGAATTTTTGCAGACTCGCAGACCCCTCTGCCTTCCAGTCTCTCTACACCAAGAAGCCAAGAAAATCAGTCGTAACTTCTGTGCTGTGAAAGCTCGCGACAATGGGCTCCCAGGCAACGTGGGATGGCCAAGAGCCAATAGCAATTGTTGGACTTGGTAAGTACTTTAACCACCGCTATCTACATTATTTCCCCGACGAAGTTATTAACTGCCCTTTAGGTTGCCGTATGCCAGGGCATGTCCGAAATCCCCGAGACTTCTGGAATCTTATGATGTCTAAAGGTATCGGTAATAGTACCAAAGTCCCGAGCTCACGGTTCAATATTGATGCATACTACCACCCGAGCAAGGAACGTCCTGGAAGCTTCAATATTTCTGGTGGCTATTTCCTGGACGATGACCTAGAGGGGTTCGACCCTGGAATGTTCAAGCTTTCGCCGCTTGAAGCCATTAACATGGATCCCCAACAGCGAAAACTTCTCGAAGTAGTGTACGAGACCTTCGAGAATGCCGGAATATCTCTGGAGCAGGTTGGCCTCAGAAAAACAGGCTGCTTCGCTGCCACCTTCTCCCAAGACTATCTGCATATGAACACAAAGGAGCCTGACTTCCGACTGGTGTATGCAGGTGTTGGGGTCGATAACGGTATGCTGGCAAATCGCATGAGCTATTGTTTTGACTTGAGAGGACCGAGGTGAGTTTCCTTCGACTCCGCCTGTCTGCCGTGTCGTGGCCTCCAGAACCCTTTCTAACACCACATACAGTGTGATGCTCAATACGGCGTGCTCCTCCAGCATGTATGCAATCCATCTTGCGTGCCAATCCATGGCCGCGGGAGACTGCGATGGTGCCATCATTGGGGCGACGAATTTGATATTGAGTGTGGACCAGCAAATGAATACAGCCAAATTGGGCACTCTCTCTCCAACGAATCAATGCCACTCATTCGACCAAGCAGCGGACGGTTACGGGAGGGCAGAGAGTGTGGGCGCCCTTTATATCAGACCTCTCAGTTCTGCTATCAGAGACGGGGACCCCATTCGAGCTGTGATTCGAGGCACTGCTGCCAATTGGTGAGTAATGTTGCATTTGAGAGACGGTGAAAGTCTTGATTGTTCTATTATGGAGTTAGAGGCCTCTTTATGACCACAAACTCTCAATTCGACAGGAATTGCGTTTCACTGACTTGAATCTGCGGATTGGCAGTAACGGGATACAGGACGACCTCATAGCACACCCTGGCGTCGATGGTCAAGTTGATGTGATCTTGTCCGCGTACCAGCGAGCGAATTTGCCTTTGAACGAGACCTCATATTTTGAATGCCATGGCACAGGCACTCCGGTCGGCGATCCGATCGAGGTCAAGGCCATTCATAAGGCTATGAATGTTTCAGGTTGTGGCAATCATCCTTTACTTGTCGGCAGCGTATGTACCGCACACACCATAGTATATTTTTGGCCTCCCTTAAGCTCAGCATTTGCTGACCTTCTCCGACAGGTGAAACCAAATATCGGGCACAGTGAGCCTGTCAGTAGCATCGCGACACTGATCAAAGCTACATTGGCATTGGAACAAGGATTGATCCCACCAACTGCTGGAATATCTGTGCTCAATCCGAAAAGTCAGTCCTCCATGCTTTCACCCAATCATGTCCATTTGGGATTATTTCTCTGGATTCTAACATAATTGTGAACTGATTCAGTTCCCTGGGAGGAGTATGGCATCAAGGTTGTTCAAGAAGCTACCTCATCGTCAATGTTGCCCGCCCCTCTGAGACGCATCAGTGTCAATGCATTCGGATACGGAGGAACCAATTCTCATACTATCTTGGAGAGCGCACATTCATTCCTTCCAGCTGCTGGGTCCTCCCATCGCTCCTTGATTTCCTTGCCCGATTCCGCTGCCGTGGCGAAGACGTCAAAGGCCGAAAGCCCCGTGCATGCAGCACACGAACAATTCGTTCTACCGCCAGAATCTCACAAAACTGATGATTCACCGCATCTCCTCGTGTTCTCGGCCCATGATGAACCGACTCTACGAAACATGGTGCAGGAATATGCCACTCTGAACTTCAAAGACTCGAAAGACTTGCTAGATTTGGCTTATACATTGGGAACTCATCGTTCAAAGTTCTCTTGGAAAGCTTTTTCCATCGGGAAAAAACGATCTTTCGACTCATCAGTCCTAGCGGCTGTCAAAGAGACCCGTTTTGTCGAGGCCGACAAAATCGCCAAACCAGCATTCGTGTTCACAGGTACGCGCTATTTCATAACCACCTCGATCGCCTTTATCCAAGACTTCTGCTAAATGAATTTGGCACCAGGCCAGGGCGCACAGTGGGCCCAAATGGGAATATCTTTATTGCAATCCTACCCGTGCATAGTGGGATCGTCTATTCAAAAACTTGAGAATCATCTCAAGGAATTGGACCCGCCACCGTCATGGGCAATAAAGTCACTATTACGACAGGCCGAATCTGCCAGTGTCGTCAACGAGGCTGAATTCTCCCAGCCTCTCTGCACAGCGGTGCAAATAGCACTCGTAGATCTGCTTTTCCATTGGGGAGTTCGTCCGCTGGCAACAGTTGGACATTCATCTGGTACGTTGTTGATCCTTCTGATTGTTGAATACGAGATTGACCCATTATTTCTCATCTCTAGGTGAAATTGCAGCAGCGGTGAGTCTTCTAGACTTTTCAGTCATCATCACTTTGCTTTCTGTTTCTTCGGCATGTCTGACCCGTTATCATTGAGCAAACGCTAATTTATGAGTACCAATTGCAGTATGCTTCAGGAAAGATCTCAGCGAAAAGTGCTATCAGGGCTGCGTACTTCCGTGGGAAGACAGCAGCGTCACTCCAAAAGGACGGAGCCATGCTTGCCGTCGGCCTTGGGTCTACAGAGATCTCTGCCAAGTATCTCGATCGTCCGGAGACTCGAGACGGAGTGGTCGTTGCGTGCCACAATTCCCCCAACTCCACAACACTTAGTGGAGACAAGAAGGCTATCGAGCGGTTGAAGGTCATCCTGGATGAGGCTCATGTCTTCAATCGTACGCTCAAGACGGACGGCAGAGCCTACCACTCGCACCACGTCAAAGAGGCTGCTAAAGAGTACCTGCAGCAGCTTCAAGATTCATCGTCGCAATCTACGGCGTCGAGCGGGCAAGGTCTGCTGCCTGAGGTGCCCATGTTTTCCACGGTTAAGAATACCGACTTGGAGGCCGATGAGGTCTCAGATTCATACTGGGCCTCTAATCTCTCAAGCCCTGTTCTATTCGATGAGGGTGTCCGTCTCTTGCTCAACAGCAAGCCTGAGGTCAACACTTTGATCGAGATTGGGCCTCACTCTGCCCTTGCTGGTCCGATCCGACAGATCCTGTCGGCAAATGGCAGGGTTCAAGATGTGACATACTTGCCAACGCTTAAACGTGGAGAGCATGACGCGGAGCAGCTTCTCAGATTGGCAGGTAACCTTTGGGCTGGGAATGGGTCAATCGATATGCAGGCTGTCCTAGAACGTGCCGATACTCTCAGGATCGACACCTCCGGTAATGCGAAGTCAGTCGATACCACGTACGCCTCGCTGTTAGTCGACCTACCACCTTACCGCTGGACGTACACCAAATCCTGGTGGGACGAGTCACGCTCGAGCAAAGAGCACCGCCAGATGCTGGAGCCACGGCATGATATCCTCGGCCGCCGGCTTCATGGAGCATCTCCACTGGAGCCTATGTGGCGGAACGTGAGTTTTGATAGTCATCCAGTCCTTTGATACTGAGAAGGTTTTATCTTCCTTTTGCTGACAAACAACCAGATTTTGAGACAGAAAGATCTACCGTGGTTATGCCATCATCGCCTTGCTGGCGAGGTCTTGTTCCCAGGCACTGGATATCTTGCGCTCGCGATCGAGGCCGTCACTCAGATTAATGACCACCTGGATGAGCCGATTGACATCAAGAGCTATACTGTCCGAGATGTTGTCTGCTCCACCGCGACGGTGATACCCGACGACGATTCCGGAACGGAGACACTCTTCCGGATGCAGCCCGTACAAGGCAAATCCACGACAGGAAATCTGTGGTACAATTGGACGGCAAGCAGCTGTTCCTACGGCACATGGAAAGAGGCGGCAAGGGGATCTGTTGCCGTCAACATCGAGAACAAGGCACGCCCGCGGCCTCTCCCCACCCACGACGCGTCGTGGCGCAAGACTAAACACCTCGATTGGATCGAGAAGCTGAGATCCGTCGGCGTGGAATATGGACCGACCTTCCGCCATACAGAAGACGTCTTCGTCTGTCCAGACCAGCGTTGCTCACAGCGATATGGTGTACAGTCGGGAATGCGGGCTCATAGAGGGTGAATCCCGCTACCTGCTGCACCCTGGCTTCATAGACGCTTGCATGCAGACCACTCAGGCTACATTCTACGACGGCAATCCGGACAACCTGCGCTGTGGTACGGTTCTCACTCATATCGACGAGGCCAGCTTCTTTGTTCCCTCTGAAGATTTGAGCCGCCCGTGCCAAATGAGAATATGGACCGACTCACCTCTAGCCAATCGTTCCTTTACGTCACACGGGCAACTTATCTCGCCAGATGGTCTGGTCTTGTTTGGATTGTCAGGCCTGAGACAGCTTCGGTACAGGACAGCGATTCCCGAGGAGCTGAAGGGTCCCATGAAACGGGATTTGTTCCTCCGAGAAGAATGGAAAGCGGACGCGGATTATCTCGACGAGACTTCACGATATACCATCCCCGCCATTGTGGACATTATGGTCCATAAAAATCCAAAGGCGGGCCGGATGCTTCTCCTGGAGCCGGCACTTCTTGCTCAGTTCTTACCTGTGCCATTTGGCTTGGTTTTAACCATCGCTGTTCCCTCGACGGCTGTCAGGCACGAGCTCGAGGAGAAATACAGAGACTACAAGACAATTGCCTTTCTCGAAATAGATCTCAATGCCTCCAGGGTTGCTGAGACTTGTGGAGAACATGAAGAGTTCGATTTGATCATTTCTGGTCTCCCTGTACACCGGCATGCCCCCAGCCTCAGGATCATTTCAGAACTGCTCAGCTCTAGCGGAGCGCTCATTTTTCAGAAACACGGCGACACCCTGCAGGATATACAGGCAGCTTTGGAACTTGAGGGAAGCATGAGTGCACCCGTCCGTCCGATCTCTGAAGATGTTTTGCTCGCTCGCACAGGTTCTCATGACAAGGTTGTGGATGTCAACGGCGAGAGCAGTGGCAGCAGCGAAGCCGCTACTCCCAAACATGTCATGTTGGTCTATCAAAATGAGGCTGAGACCGCCCTCGTTGACAGTATCTCGAGCCACCTTGCAGAACTAGGCTGGAGTGTCGAGTCGTCGTCCTTGGAAAAGGTCGACATCACCATTGCGAAGAGCGAAGAGACAAAAGTGGTTGTCCTGGACACTACCCCAGACACCGGCTCGCTCCTCACGCGTATCAATGACTTACAGTTGCAGGCTGTCATCAGACTTATGGAGTCCACATCGTCCATGACATGGGTGACATCCGGTGGCCTCTTGACCGGCGATTGCCCCGAGTTCGCTTTGATCGTCGGCGCTGCACGCACTATTCGCAAAGAAAAGCGTTCACTTGACCTGGTAACTCTTGACTACGATGCCGAGACCACTTCGAATCAGCGACTAGCCGCCATAGCTTCCGATATCCTCGAGAGACAACACACCCAAGGAGGCCGCAACGGCGAGACCGAATACTGCGTCCAAGGCGGGGTCGTACATGTTGGCCGGGTACTGCCGCACACTGAAGTCAATAGCGAGCTCGTGCCTGACTCCGGCATTACCAAGATGGCGCGACAACAAGACGGACCACCTGCTGTGGTTGCTCAGCTGGCAGGGGCAACAGGAGATCTGGTCTTCTCTCGCGATGAAGATGTCGGACGGCCCCTCCAGCCAGATGAGGTAGAGGTACAAACTCTCGCTATTGGCCTGACAGCCGAAGATGGTGCAGATGATACAACATTCCTCAGCCACCAGATGGCAGGCAAAGTGTCGCGTGCCGGTGACTCTGTGAAGGCGGAATTCCCGCCAGGTTCGCTGGTCGCGGGTCTTGTTGCATCCTTTGACGGCCATTTGAGTACGTTCCAGCGCACTACTGCGTCACTCCTGTTCGCAGTTACTGGGAAAGAACAGCAGGAGAATATGATTGCCATGGCTACCATACCTTCAGCATTCGCTACAGCCATTTATGCTCTAGAAGAGCTTGCGCAGGTGGATCATGGTCAGCATGTGGTTATTGTAGATGGGTTGGGGGCTGTTGGCATGGCTGCTTTGCAGATCTGCAAGGCACTCGGCGTCAACGTCACCGTTATAACAACGTCTGAAGCGACAGCCCACCTGCTTCAGCAGCGTGGTTTGGTTTCATCGTCGTGCAGGGTCATTCGCTGGGACCATGCAAATCAAGAGGGCGAACAGGGCCTTCGGGGCTCACTGGCTGATGAGCTCGACGGACATTGCCAAGTTGACGCAATTCTCTGCTCTGAGACAGTGGGAGACACATCCATCCTTGAAAGTCTCACCCAATGCTTTGCCAGAAACTCCAGTCTCGTCGCTATTGAGAATCCGAGTGGCAACAGCGAAGCTAGAAGCAAGCTTCTGTCCTCGATAGCATTCATCAGAGGGATGTCCTTCTTCCAGCTATCGTTGAAACAACTGGCCACCCGTCATCCACGAAAGGTCTCAAAGTAAGTCAGGATTCTTTTCAAGGGAAACTTCATTTCCTACCACATCAAGCTTCGGAAGCTGTGCTTCTGCCACTGGGCGTCCACTGACATCAAATTTGTAATTTAGAGCGGTCCGACGTTGCGAAAGCCTCTTGCGTGAAGGCAAGATCGGCCCAATTAGCCCAAAAAAGAACGTTTCACCTGGCAAAGCATTCGATCTTCCAGTCCCGGAAGACATGGGATCGGGCGTTCATGTCGTCTCCTACGCTGACGCCTCGTTCGATGTTGTTGGCCCACATTCGCGAAGACTCCCCCTTCAATTCAAAGAAAATGCAACTTACCTCCTTGTTGGCTGTTTAGGAGGACTTGGCAGAAGCGTGGCAGCGTGGATGGCAGCCAGAGGAGCCAAGCATCTTGCCTTCCTTTCACGAACCGGTACGACTGGTAGTGCAGAAGCAGCCGAATTTGTCGAGCACCTCCAAGACCGCGGGGTTAGAGTCATGGTCCTGCGCGCAGATGTCACCCGTCTCGCTGAACTAGAGGATGCGGTGGAGAAAATCAGGTCTTCCTCAAGAGGACAAAACTTCCCTCCCATTCGAGGAGTGCTCAATGCTGCCGCCATCATTCAGGATGGGCTCTTCGTGAATCAATCCTCGGAAGCTTGGCACAAGGTGGTCCAGCCGAAGTTGCAAGGCTGCTTGAATCTGGACCGCGTCTTCTCCGGCACGGGTGCCACAACTGCAGGTCTTCAGCCACAGCCTGAGCTCGACTTCTTTGTTATGACGAGCTCAGTGGCCGCTACCATGGGCTCAGCCGGTCAGTCCAGCTACGCCGCGGCGAACGCATTCCTCGACGGTCTCGCGCGACGTCGGCGAGCACGGGGGCTTCCTGGGGTCTCGATTGTACTGCCGCCAATTTTCGGCATCGGATACATCGCACAACATCGTGAGATCGAACGTGCCGTGACAGGAAAGGGCATGACGGGCATACTAGAGCCAGAAATGCTCGAGGCTTTCGAAGTCGCCATGCTGCCCCAGACGGTGCATGATGATCTAGTGGGCGATCACATCATTGCCGGCGCGCAACCAAGGCGATGGGGCGCCACTATCCGAGCCGCGGGAATCGACCCTCCGTGGGCCGACGACCCACGGTTCAGCTGGGTCCAGGTTGCGGTCGAGGAACAGAGTGGCCACAGCGACACAAACGGAAAAAGTTCGGCTTCTCAGCAGCCTATCACTCAGACCATTCGTGAGGCTTCCGATCAAGCTGCGACCGAGAATATCGTGCTGGAGTACGTGGCCACTCGTTTGTCACGGCTCTTGATGCTGGACGAGGTCAAGTACAATGCGGCACTTTCGAGTCAAGGACTCGATAGCATGATAGGTGCTGAATTCCGGAACTGGCTGTTGCGGGAATTTGGCGTGAACGTACCCTTTCAGCAACTCCTGAGTGGTAACCTGAGCGTGGCAGAGCTGGCTCAACTTTTGTGCCAACAGGTGTGGGAGCAGCAACGTGAAGCTACCACGACTACCGGAACTGGGTAATTCAGACTTCGATGAGTCATACCGAACCAGATGACGATTAGAATTGATTTTCCGATACAGACATGTGAGCAGGCCTTTTGCTGGAAAGGTGTGGGAGAGGTTTCCTAGTCTACTTAGAGAAATTTTCTGTTGGCTGCATAGTCTAGTTTTTGAGAGAGAAAGAACCTGAGAAACGCTTCCTTACGAGATAAACGAGAAACAAGAAACAAAATTACAGATGACAGTCACGCATACGTTTCTCGGTACCTGGTGTGGTTGAACAGACTAAGCGGCCTGTGGCCGCGGCCGACACGCCCCTTTCCGTCAGTGCAGCGCCGTGGAGTTGGTTCAGGCGAACATAACGATTACTGAATTAATTAGACGTGCGTATGTCCGGTCGAAGGACATCGAGTATCTCGTGGAGTTCTCTTTGGACGGCCTGCACTGTTGGGTTGGATGAAGTCTTGTCGAAGGAGACCTCGGACGAAGAGTGCACATCAACTGGGATCGCCGACTGACTCAATCCACGCAGGACTTAGGGATCGATTTCCTCTCTTCTGGCAGATGGCGATTGATCTTCTGTCTGTTCCTGCTATGTCTCCGGAATTCGAGAGGGTCTTCGGCCAGGGGAAACTCACGCGGCGTTGAGTCGTCACTTTGGATCGGCTTTCAAAGGATTCGGGTGCAATTTAGCAACCCGACCACGCGCATTCGTATTCGTGTTGCGTGCCGGCCAGCAAGCGTATTCGCGTCGACTTACACGAACAGGTCAGTATTCGGTTTCACGATATCAACGAGATGCAGTTTAAATAAAGGCATCGGCTGGCTGCGAAGACGCTCGGTCGAAATTAGATTCTCAGCCAGTCCAATAGGATATTTCCAATTCCAATCCAGTTCAACGGCTTTTCTGCTCGAAGTCTGCACGCAAGCCTCAGTTGCAATTATCCTTGACGCAATGGCACCCGGACAAGATGTTGCCCTGGCGAGGGACATGACATTCGAAAACATCATGCACAAGAAAACAGCCACAACACACGAGGGTTTCTCAGCCATGCTCAATAAAGACAAGGAAGCCCAGCAGGCGGCCGTCAACGAGTACTTCCAGCACTGGGATAATAAGGAGGCAAAGGGGGAGACGGAGGCAGACAGAGCAGTGAGTCCCGCCCTACGTTTGCCAGTCAAATTACATGATCATACACAGGCACTAAACTCCAACACAGGCACGCACAAAAGACTACGCCAGCCTGACCCGCCAGTACTACAACCTAGCGACCGACTTCTACGAGTACGGGTGGAGCCAGTCCTTCCACTTCTGCCGCTTCGGCGCCCGCGAGGCCTTCGGCGCCGCCATCGCCCGGCACGAGCACTACCTCGCGCACAGCATCGGCATCCGCAAGGGGCACAAGGTCCTGGACGTCGGGTGCGGCGTCGGCGGCCCCGCGCGCGAGATCGCAAAGTTCACGGGCGCGTACGTCACGGGCATCACCATCAACGAGTACCAGGTGCAGCGCGCGGCGCGGTACGCGGAGCAGGACGGGCTGGCGGGCAACTGCCGGTTCGTCCAGGGAGACTTTATGGACCTGCCGTTTGACGAGGGCACGTTTGATGCTGTTTATGCCATCGAGGCGACGGTGCATGCGCCCAGCCTTGAGGGGGTTTACAGCCAGGTGTTCAAGGTGCTGAAGCCGGGCGGCGTGTTTGGAGTGTACGAGTGGGTCATGACGGACGCGTATGACAACGATAACCTGCATCACCGCCGGATCCGACTCGATATCGAGCAGGGAGATGGCATCGCCAATATGGTGAAGGCTGAGGAGGCGCTGCGTGCCATCAAGGCCGCGGGCTTCGAGCTGATGGAGGCAGAGGATCTTGCTGAGCGATTCCAGGAGGGCGCAGAGGGATCCGATCCAGCGCCGTGGTACTGGCCTCTCGACGGGGCTGGCTGGAGGTATGCAAACACTATTGGCGATTTGGTTGGCACCATCAGGATGACGCGATGGGGCCGTTGGGCTGCGCATAACTTCATGGCTGCTCTTGAGATGTTGAGGCTCGCGCCGCCTGGAACGAAGAAGACGGGAGACAGCTTGTCTAAGGCCGCGGAGGCCTTAGTGTTGGGGGGAAAGGAGAGGCTTTTCACGCCAATGTTCTTGATGGTGGCTCGGAAGCCACTCGAGACGCCGGGAGCACTTATATGATCATGAACTGCAGAGAAAAGTAACGCACAGTGTATATCCAGATCTTGAACAGGGTGCTTGCTAATTATTATCAGTCCGTAGACTGGACAGTCCCTGTATTTCCCTTTTTACCCACGCATGTGGATCCAGTTCCTTGACGTCGTACGTGGTCTTGAGCTTTGACGCGAGGTGGTTAAGGAACCTTGGGCGAGCGTTGTGCGTTGCTTATGAATTTTTTATTAGAAGTTAAGCCTTTACTACTTGGAGAGAAATTAGACTAACACAAGGCTAACACGGGATGTATATTCGCTTAGGTTCCTGCTATGTAAGTGGAACATGAACATGCCAGCTATAAGCGTTATGGACAAAAGTTCCCCGAGAAAAGGAAAGGAAAGGAGAAGAGCACAAGAAAGAGACCAAGCTCGCGGCCACGTTTGTAAAATCTCCTCAACGCGCATCCTGGGTCTGACCCGTCACAAAAACTACCCAGGTAGGAACTTGTTCCGGCCAGCTTGACAATAGTGACAACGCTTAGCGTAGTTCTTCGATGACGAGCGTCGATGGCTGTTTCTTCGTGTTCTTTTGGCCCTGGCCGAGCATCTCGTCGTTCTCCCTTAGGCCGTCCGAGCCCGAGTCCGTAGCCGGGGAGCCCTTCAGACACGCGATTTCAAATGAGAGCAAAGCGCACGCAACAACTGCACTCCCAAAATATCTGAACAAGCAGTTGCGAGCATCGCCTTGGCCGGTAAGCAGAGACCCAGACAACATGATTGTTCCCAAGACAACCTGTAACGTCGGTGCAATTGACAGAATCCACGCCGTCACAAGCAGCGACAGAGCTAGCAGCGGGGGCCGTTTCCCAAGGTCCCGCTCTCTCAGTGGTAGTGAGGTGCTCTTGTTGTAAGCAGCTGGCGTTAACTCGTGATAAAGCCACCGTGGAAGCCAGGTAGGCTCTTCCCTTTTCACCTCATCATCGCTATGTCCATTGGATCCGGGCCTGTGGAATTGTAGATAAATCCCGAGGACCCCCACCATGTGAATGAAAAGCGCGTTGTACGTCCATAGGACTGGGTCGTAAATGTTGTTCGCCGACGAAAAGAACGCCCAATGGCCGAGCTGGTAAGCCAGTGACGCCACGTTCGCTGCCGCGCCCAGGGCCATCACATACTCGACCAACGAGACGACAGATGCCATGACTCCGATGGGCACATTCTGACGCTCGGTCCGGATAAACGAGACCAAGGACAGTTCCATCGCACTCTGTGGAGTTGAGTATATGGTGTTGTCCGGGTTACTCGGCCAGGGTGAGGAGATGGCGAGCAGCGACGCAAGAACAGGCCGACGCACGAACAACAGGCTTGTCTGCGAGGTGTTTGGCCCAATGCTCTGGAGAAGCATTGGAGCTAGACCAAGTGTGAGCGCAGCGGCTGCTGCTTCTGCTTTTCGCGTCTCTGAGAACTGATCAAGCACGCAGTCGACCAATTTCCATCTCTCGTCACCCATGGGACTTCTATTGTAAGCGACCATCTCTTGGGTGCAATTGTCCCTGAGGTATCCTGAAATAAGTCCATCCCATGCTGGGAAGAATTGTTGGAATTGATTCTGGGCGAGAGCTGAGGGGATGTTTGCGACGACAGCAAGGACACAACGCCAAATTCGTCCCCCGCCAACACCACTCGCAAAAGTTAAACGCTGGCGCCCAGGCGTAGAGCTATACATGTTGTAAACAGGGTATCGGTGGATAAAAAGCCGTTAGCAGCGCTGTGGAAAGGCTTCAAGCTGTGTGGGGGAGGAGCAGCTTGTTGTGCTAGAAATAAAAAGGTTCGAAGGAATGAAGAGATAATGAGACTCTGCCAAGAGTGGGGACACAATCCCAGAGGCGCTCCTGCTGAACACCTGCCAAACTAAACGAGGCGTAGGCAGTAATATTGTGAGGCAGAAAGAAAGAAGGATTCACGCCCAAGGTCGCACAGCATGTGCGCTTTCCCCATTCGAGGCTCTGGGAACTGAGCGTCTCCATATTCCCATGCACGCGTGATTCAAGTAAGCAGTATTTAAACAAATACAATAATATTAGGGATGTTTTAAGGATTCAGCTGATGTCATAACATAAATTGTTATCAGCAAAAATTTCACTATTGTGGATGCAGCAAAGAGAGAGGAGTAGTTGACACCCCTCACCCTTGAGGTCTTTATCAAAAACCGTGGCCACATCCCCTAGGAGTGCAGCGTCCCTCTCCCATTCGTCTATACGAAAATCTGTGGACGCTGTCTATAATTCGGTCGTCAGTGCTGATCAAGTCTCTGCAATGAATCCTTTACACTGCATGTCATGCATATCTTCTGCTTTCCTCCAAGGGTTTGGTGTAAGGGTCCACTGAGGCTCCCAATATTGGACTCTCAAAGTAGTCGCCAGAATCTCTTACATCTGCGATTAAGTCGTCTGTCTCGTCCGTCTCCTCCCTCTCAGCCTTGTACTCGCTGTGTTCTCGCCTCATGAGAGTTCTCAGTGATTAGCCAGTTTATAAAGTAAACCCATTTATGCACGAGGTTGTGGGAGAAACTTACTTTTAAAGTTATATAAGTGAAGTCGTAGTGTTTATGTAGCTATTGGAAAATTTAGCTATCCCGCATCACGGGGTACCCTGAATCATGAGGGCCCATGACAGCTGATATTCCAGGTGGAAACTTTGTAATTAACGTGTCCGCCCGCGCTTCAATTCCTCCCCAGCCCTCCTCTCAGCTTCCATGCGCTCCCGCTCCTCCCTCTTCGCAGCGATCTTGTCCTCGTACGCCCGCACGGCTTCGGCCCTGAGCTCGGCATCCTCAGCCTCCCTCCGTGCCCTCTCCTCGGCCGCCCTGGCCTCGGCCGCTGCCCTGGCCTCCTCCTGGGCCTTCACCTCCGCGGCGAGCTCCCTACGCAGCTCGGCCTCCATCAGTGCCCTCTGCTTCTCCACGCGCGCTTTTTGCTCGGCCTCGGCCTTCATCTCCTCTTTGATCCTCTCCCTGGTTTGACGTTCGGCCTGGGCCATTATCTCTGCGTGCTCCCTCCCGCGGTCCTCCTTGGCCTTCAGAGCAGCTTCGTACTTTTCTTTAGCATCCCGCTCGGCCTTTGCCATCGTCTCTGCGTGCTGCCTCTGGCGCTCGGCCTCGGCCTTGCGCTCTTCCTCAATGCGCTCCCGGGCGGCTCTCTCGGCTGCGATTTTGGCACGCTCGATCTCCTTCTTGGCCTCTTCCTGCGCCCGCTGCATCTCCTCCATCCTGATCTTGAAGGCGCGCTCGGCGTCCTCCCTGATTCTCTTCTCCATATCAGCTTGCTTTTTCGACTCTTCCTGTTGCTTGCGTTCCGCCTGCAGGAGCTCCAATTGCTTCTTCATCTGCACCATTTGAGGGTTCTCCTCTCTCGGCGCTGGAGTCTTAGGCGGGCCGGGCGCCTCGGTAGGGGGAGGCGGCGGCGCTGGGTACATGTATTGCGCAACGTGTGGCGGGATGCCGTAGTAGGGCAAAGGGCCCGAGTAGAAGCCCGGCGCGGCCGGCTGGTGGTTGCTTTTGGACTGGTCCTTGTCCCCGACTCTGGAGGCACCAATTTTGACGTTGCGGGACGTGGTGTTGTTCTCGGGGCTCTCCTGTGGCTCGTCTTCACTCTCAGAGCTCTGCTCCACGCGCAAGGTCTCTGTTGGTGGACGAAGTTCTTCACCGGTATCAGCAAGTCGGGGCCGTGGTAAGTGTCGAAAGATGGATTTGAAAGGTTCTGGTAAGTGTAAAGAGTACCTGGAAGCCGACATGATGCTTGGGCTGGGACTCCTTGCCGAGCCTCTTGAGAGCGCATGCTGGAGAACATCCCGGGCGGCCGCCTCAGTCGGCACGATGAGATCAGACGCCTCTTTCCACGACCCGAAGCTATTGAGGTCATCTAGCAATGCTTCTTTCGACTCATCATCCCGGCATATCAGATATCTGGTCAGGCACGTGCTCAAGAAGCCGGCCATGTTGTTTTGCTTCTTCTGAAGCTGGCCCAGCTGCTGGAAATACGCACGAGGGTCTTTTGTACCGAGTGCCAGCTGATTCAGGCATAGCGCTTCTGTTTGGTAGTCCTGCATATCTCGAGATGTCTTGAGTGTCACCTCCAGAACATCGCGGGCAGCCGGAGTTAGGTCTCGAGGCACCCAGCCGGGATTTTCTTGACGAATGGGGATGTAGTAAGGCAGCCCCGCCGCAGACTTGGGACAGATCGCCAGTCCGGCATAGTCTGAAAGATACGCGAACTGCTCGGGAGCATTCTTCACCACAGCCTTGGAAACCAACCATTGAATGAAGGGTCGGCTGTGAACTGCCTGGGGAAACCTGTCCAACAGTGAGTTACCGATTGGCTCGGCTAGGCGTAAACAATCTTCGGCTAGACTGCCATCGTCCAGAGATTGGCCGCTGTTGAGAGCTATGAAGGAGAGCAGGTCCAGCAATGCCAGCTCCGTAGACTCATCCGGCGTGCCTGTCTGCCAGTCTGCAACCATACCTTCTATGGGGGAGGCATGGTCCAAGAAAGCACTCAGCGCTTGGTCCGTGTCGTAGGATACGCAGGCCTCAATTAGGACGTCCCTGAAATCCCATATCCTCTGCTCAGCAAGAAGTTGCCTGTATATGCTCTTCCAATCGGCCCAGCCACTCAGACCTCTCTCTCTCAGGCTGCGCGAGATAGTTCGATCAGGTGCGAGGCATGTCAGACGCATGCCCAGGCTGAAAACCCTCAGCTACAGTGGCGAATTAGTTGTGCAATTGTACCGGGCCGTGTGTGGTGATTACTTGAAACTTGCCTCAGTAGATCCAATGCCCGACGTCTTGGAAAGACCATGCAACTGTGTTTTAATACCGCTCCATACCTTCTCCAACTCATTCTGGCTATGTGATAAAGCCATTGCTCGTACTAGCATCCAATTCATCTCAAGCGGTTCCTTGGACTCGGACTTTTCTGGATCTTTGCGGCCGGGGAAGCCTCGCCTTCCAAACACAGAATCGCCATCCAGAAGTAAGAGAGACTTGAGGTCCCCTTTATCGAGAAGCATCTCGGCATATTGTACAAATATGGAAGGGTCGCTACTCATGTATTACTTCAGGTATGATTCGAAGAAAGCATCCGCTGCTGCGAAGTTTCCCATCCGCGCCAGCCGGTTGAACTCCTCCAGCTCATCGTCTACGTCTCTGAACAGGTCGAACTCGAGATGGACGCTGAGGTCTCTTGCGTCGGCAGAGTTATAAACCGCGTCGACATCGGCAGGCAGTCGCAGGACGGCCGCATCGTCTCCCGATTTCCCTGAGCCTTTGCCAGGACGTCCTTGGTCCGCGACGGGCCCTGAACTGACAGAGGTTTTTCCTTCCCCTTGCGGGACTGTTTGAGAAACCGGCGGGATTTCCTCTCAACAGGTGCGGCAGGTGGTGGCCCAGCGCCCTGTGCTGGGGCGAATGGATTCCACATCTGGTAAGGCATCATCTCTTTTCCCTCCTCGTAGGGTCGGCGCTGCCAGTAGGGCGCCGCGAAGCGGTCCTGGTTGGGAGGCATGTAGCCAGCATTGCCATAATAAGGCGCGGGCGGGAATGCCCACCCGGCCACGCCTTGTGGACCTGGCCCGGGGAAGCCACTGTAAGGATAGGGATACACTTGTGGACCCACAGCACCAGATTCCATGTAGACGGAACTCGGCACAGACTGAGGTTGTTGCCGCCGGTGCTGGTGATGGTGCTGCTGCGGGACACTCTTTTGGTGAGAGGCTCTGTGCTTGGTGCGGTGGTCGGGCGGTTGCTTTGCAGTAGCAGAGACAGAATCGTCAGGATCGATCTCGTCCCAGTCTACCTCTTCATAATCGTCCGCGCTACTACTGGAGGATGAATCGTCCGCAGCCAGTTCATAGTAGGCGCCCCCATCCTGCGGGTTCTTTGTTCCCATCGCGGATGCGCTCTGCGCTGTCTGTTGTCGTTTGGAGCTAGTGTCATGGACAAACTTGAAGGGCTCTGAGCCTTTTTCGCTGGGCTCCGTGTATCTCGGAACTGCATGTTTGCTTGCACTTCTGATGTCAAGGATGAGGCAGCCCTCATTGTCAGCTTGGACTGTATAGAGCCATATGATCAAAATTATGCGTGGTAATTACGGGGGAGATTGGGCATTCAAGGAGTGACCCGGCGATGTGGACGAAAATCAAGGACGAAAGGCTTATGGCGCAGAGGGGATAGCTTCATAGCAGATGATTAAGGATGCTGACTCAGATTGACAAGACTCCAGATGAGTAGTTATAGATGGTAATGCGTTTTGATCAGTCTCACTGTCTTTTCCTGAGAGTGGGAGTGGGACAGGGTTTACTTAGATACTAATAGCAGGCGTACGTGTGATAGGAATCAGGACAGCAATCTAAAGTTGCCAGTGCCGTGACGCTTGCTGCTGCGAACCTCAGCCCCTCATTTGGATCAAATCTGTGCAATAATCCTGCAGGATGCGCCCCTCTAGTGCCCCGTCCCTCGTCCCATTCGGTAGCAGCCAGGCATGCCTATCGTGAAACCAGGGTTATGATAGGCGCCCGTGGCAGCGGGGAAGTAGACTAAGCAGTTCGCGCGAACCTCAGCCGCACATTTAAACAAGGCAACCTCTGCTTGACTCAAATTAGTTAGATGATCTTGTGCTGTGTAGCTAGTGAACAAAAACCTCAGACTGATTGTCTTCCAGCCGTAGAACTAGGAACCTCACGTCCTTTCCAAGAATTATTCCACGGGCTTCGTTCACAGGCAAGCACAATGCCTGGACCGGTACGCGAGCCTGAGGGTAGGCCTCATCCCAAACTCATGAGCTCATTCCGACGGTTTGGAAGGTCCGATAGCTTCAAGCCTGTGGGGGCTTCATCAGCCAGCATCGGTTCGAAATCCCTGGGCAAAATCAACATCGATTGCCAATTTCTCTTCAAAGAATCTCAATGGGGCACATTCGAAGGACGGCCTGGGGGCATCATTTATTTGAACCTGAACTTCGGGCCTCCTCAGAACTGCCGAGTGCAGGAGGCCACAGTTACCATCACCTTGGACGAGGAAGATCCTTGCCTGGAACCCTTCAACACGACCCAACGCCTTCGTGTCCTGCATGAATCCGGCATTGAGGCTCAGATGACACCATGGTTCGGACCGCAAGTCCTGGGAGGGGAGAAGAAGTCTGCGGAGATTACATCGACGACAAAAGCTGTTCCGGAGGCGAACGTTTTCGGCTACGGCGGGGGCGGGATTGGCCACGAGCGATCCAAGGTGTTCAAACAAGAGGCCCGCTGGTCCTTCTACGGACAGTTGCTACGAAGGAAACGAACAAGCACCTACGCCTCCCTAAGATGGCATCTGAACGAGAACGAGCTCGAGGGCCAAACTTTCCACAACCCAAAATTCCGTACCGCCTTTGCTTTTGAGCATTGCGGTAAGCCCTTCCTCATAAAGGTGGACATTGAGGACAGGCTCGAGAAGTGGCACCATCAAGTCAAGTCGAAGCTAAAGTTCGGCGCGAACGGGGCAAGGGAAGGTAAAGTGGTCACACTTGTCGACTTTGAGGACTACCGCAGATTCTCGCGTGATCTTGAAGCTATAGCAAGGGGCCTTCCGAGGACCATGGAGATGAGAAACCTTGAAGAGGTCCCAATGGAAGTACAGGATTCCATACCAGGTGCGACGTTCCACCAGGCTTCGCCAGCTCCTTCGAGCCAATCGGCCCCGTCTGAGGTGCTGCAGACTCCTGTTCAGCAGCAGCAGCAGCAGCAGAACTACACTTCGAGTCCTCAGGTCTTGGATCAATGCGAAGAGCAACCGCTGCTTCAGGAGTCAAGCCAGGCGCAAAGCACGGGTATCGAAGTACCACAGATCGAACGAGGAGAGGGTGAACTTTCCGAAGCCGAAAACTACAGACAACTTCTCTCAGCGCTTTCACGTCCGAAGGTGCAAGAAGTTGTCCGTGAAAATGCGATGGACACTACATTGAGCTACACGAGCACCTTGGTCGGTGTGGAAAACACAACAAATTCGTCAAATGAGACGCAAGGTTCAGGAGATTTCGATAGCCAGACAACGGAAACAGACCGAAGCCGGAGTGGGATAGTGCAGACCACGTTAGCCGCAGATCAAGATACCATGCTGAGAACCCTGGGTATACCTGGCATGCTGGCCTTTCTGCATTTTCTTGCCAGTATTATGGGTTTTCTGGGCTTCAGCTCAACAAGAAAGAGGCTTACGGAAGAGGCTAGAGGATAGAGATCTATATGAGATAAAACTTTGAGTCTGGATGCTCGTGTGAGAGGCAAAGCTGCAACAATGGAACGAATCCTGAGTTTCCTGAATCATGGGGCCTATTGTAGCTGCTGGCCCAGCTGGAAAATTAGTAGATACATGATCTTCGCGATATCTGTTCATCCAGCCGGTACACGAAAGTCGTCACAGAAGAAGTCGTTAGGTACATTCAATAACGTTGCCAAGTCCTGAGGTCTGCTTTATTTGTTGGCGGCCTTCGCAGCTTCCAAATATGCTCGAGTGAATCGCCATACCAAAGAAGTATTCCCGGCGGCTGGATGGCCTTCCGAATTCACCTGTTTCTCTTCCTTTGCGCCAAGCCCGAATGATTGCATGAGTCCTCTCCATGGCTCATTCGCGGTGTTTGTATCGCAAGAAATCTGTACTGGCCCCAAATCATTGAACGCATATTCCAGCATCGCGACGAAGGCCTCTCGCGCATACCCTTGCCGCCAATATCTGTGGTCGATTTGCGCGCCGATTTCCACCTCCAAAACATCCTTCCTATCCTCGGTTTGGTCGCCGGAAAGATTGATCCAACGGAACTCATTGTAGCCACCGAAACCAATCAGCCTCCCGGAGTCCCGGAGCAGGATCACCAGGAACGCATAGCGGCCTTCTGCATTTGCTTTCTGCCACCTTGAAATACGACCCATGCAGACCTCCGGATCATTGGAGTCTGCGCCCCCATAGGGGTTGTTCTCCCGGTCACCGCGGAGTGCGGCAATGTCTAGCGCATCCCCATATACGGCAGTGCGGATGATAAGACGCTGGATTTCGATTCTGTGTGCCTCACGTCGAGTGGGGTCTTCCATTATCTCCCAAAATTTGGTTCAATGCGACGCTCAGGCATATATGCGAGCTGGCAAAAAGGAAAATAGGTATGAAGACCCTTGGGCATGAATCAAGGAAAATGGGCAGGGCATGCAGCGGGTATTTGTACACGGTCACTGACTTGCCTACATAGGCAGGTCACCGCGCCATTGCACGCCAACGCGGACACCAGGAGTTCTTCCGGCTGCAGGTTGGTGATAGCCCTTTTTGGGAGTCATATCAGCCTAGGAAACGCACTGGTGCACGAAACACGTATCTTGCAGGATGTATCTATCCAGTTGCGGACTGACAGGTCAAAACACACACAGGAGGGACATCCATTGCATCTGAATGGGCCTCGGGCCGACTTTGTCGGTGAGCGGGCCTGATAGCCTGCCCTTCCGACTGCATCCTGCGAATATGCTGCTTTACAGACAACAGCCCAGGAACTTGCTTTGGCGCCCAACACCCATCCTCACCAAGCGAATACGCTGCCATCAAATGATGCAGTACAGGGGGCCGCAAGCCCACGGCTTTGCCCAGGTTCACGCAGATGAGCTGTGACCGCGCTCGCACGCCTATTAAGAGTGGTATCTACACCGGTGGATGTCTCGGCTTACCGTTACCTCTACGTACATACCTGACACAGGAAGGAGCCCGATCACCGGGCATGATGGTCTGGCAATAGCCAATGCATTATGCAAACATGCTCGTGCAGCGATAAGAAATGCGTTCTGCTTCAGCAATGGCCAGAAGACTCCGAGGTATGCGGAATCAAAATGCTTGAGATGAGTGGCATGGTTGCCTGGTACTCATGTAGGTACCTAGGTACCCTAACTAATCAATCTGTCCACCTCGTCCGCCCAGCTCCGGGTGAACGTCTTCAGATCGAGGCGCGACTCCTCCTCTCAACCTCGCTGTTGTTATATCTCAACATGGTGGTGATTAGGTTGCTGCAGCCACAGACTTGGTTTCACCGCGAGTGGCCTGATCTTGGCACATGTGACCAGAGCGTGGCGTAAAGCTGAGGGCAAAGGACATTCCCGTCAGTAGAAGTGGCGCGCAACTGACTCTGGGGGTTCTCTTTACTCGGAATAGGGCCGTTAGTCATTATCACTCATCCCGAGTCACAGCCATCAAGCCCTTGAGAGGTGTCCGTGGCGAAGGTAGGATTCAGCTGGTGCTCGCGCCTTAGCGATGGCGGCTAGGACTGGACGAGGTGATGCTAGGATATTTACGGCTTTCATGACCCTGCCGATCCCAAAGCATCCAATTCAGATGCGGGATGTCAGGGCAAGACTGATGGCGATGGATCCAGCCCAATTTCCAGCCAAAGTTTCAGCTGATTATCGGCGTAGAACAACTATGACATACTTAGGTCTGGGTACTTACTCAGCCTGTGTACTTTTTCAGTCTAGATATCTCAGCCTCAAGAAGTGACGGTTGAAGTCTAAGACTGGTGGTAATTCCAATGTTGGTACTTTTGAGGGGCCCTCGATCTAATGTATGAGCATTTGAATCGAGAGTCCGTAATTCAAAATGAGGGGGTAGAGGGGGGGGGGGAGAACACGACCCGAACAGACATAAAAAGGAGGCTCTGGCCCAGTGTCTTTGAATGAAATCTGGGGGTCACGGACAAGCGGTTCTGTTGCCTCCCAAGTTCCAGGTAGGGATAACCTAGCAAGTCACTTTGTCGAATTATACAAGAGACTAATTAAACTCGAGAACAGGATCTTCCGGTTTCTCAATTCGATCCTTCAATACCGACATCTGCACAGGCCTTCAAATAACAGTATGAAGACCAACAACGCGATCAATGTCTTGGTTGCAGCCCTAGTTACCGGCGTCACGTCGACGGCAATAGACACAGCAGACGCCGAATGCGGCAGCCTGGGCGTGATGGTGGACGACGGCAAGCTCCCCGAGGGCGTCGACCCGACGCGGCTGCGCGACTGCGTCGACCACCCGCTGAGGAAGGAGGCCGACTTGGAGCCGGCGCGGCGAGGAGCAGGCAGAGACGGCCGATAACGCGCTGGTCGAGCGTGCCTGTGCCTTGGACGCTTGGTACGGGTGCAGCAGTGGGTACTGCTGGGCCAGGTGTGGCGAGCAGGAGCGCGGCGCCTGGTGCTGGCTTGCGGCCAACTATGGCTACGGCGACTGGCTGAGATGCTCGAGTTGGAAAAACTGCAGTCCACATGATTCGTGTGGTGTGGCCAGTGGCAACCAGCCCTGCAGTGCGTGCGGTTGCAGCTGTTGAGTTGGGTAGCAGTCATTTGCTGGAATACTGTCTTTGAGAATTGTGCATTTTTGAAAAATGGAATGGGGCACACAAGAAATTTCGTCAGGCTTCTGAGTCCACCGGTGCCTAGGTAAGATCTAATTTTGCATTGTTGCAGCGCTCAGGGCCATGGGCAGGAGGGCAGTTCGCTCAAGTAATCGTGCTCGGATCAGTGGCTATAAAAGCCGTTTTCTGTTGTTTTCAGACACAGTCTTTACCTAGAAAACAATCCAGTCCACTCATTCGTTTTCTATATATTTGGTCTTCGAAAGTAAGTGCACAATGTGTCTACGTTTATGACTTTACGCCGATGCCACAAATGCAGAGTCGGAGCCTCAAACCACGCGGCAATCAAGACGCTGACATGGGAGTCGCATGAGCCCATCAGAAGAGGCTGTCGAATAGAACCATGCCCAACGCTTAAATGGCCACTATCAGGATGTTACAACTATGCATTCAGTCGAGTCGCCGTTGACGGGGTGTTCCCTGGTCTGGGAGTCTAATCTCGAAATGTCCTCGCAGTATCTCCTCCTGGACACAATAGACCCTTCCAAATCCAGATGGTAGACAGCTGCATCCCTTTCCCTGAGATCTTCGTGGGTAAGACTTCTGACCCTCATTCCTCAGCCCTTTCGTTCAGATCCCTCAGTATCAACATTGCTTTGGCCAAGTCTTCCTGGTACCTCGAAGGGCCAGCCCTCCACATCCAGCCCATGATGTGGACGGCGTTCTCCGCAGCCAGTAGCATTTGCACCTCGAACATAAGTGCCTGCGAGTGTTCCGTGCTCATGTCTGGCACAGCCAGAGAGATGCGCCTGGCGTCGTCGCGTGTTGCCAACCCCTGCAAATCATCCCTAGCGTAGAAGAGGAACCCAGAAATGTCTGGATAGCTGAGAGAGTCCGTCATCCCCTTCAGAAGTTGGGCAGCCCGGTCCCCGACGAATCTAGCCGTGAGCATCAGTATCTTATCCAAACCGGTTTTACGGGGCTGCAGGGCCTTTGCAAGGTCCCTAGAAGCCTCGACCGCCCCACGCTCGATGAGTGAGATGCGGTCATCTCCGAATGATGCGGTGTCACCGGCTTCATCCCAGTTGATGATTTCGAGCACTCGCGTAGTGCGTAGTAGCTCCTTTACTGAGACACAGTGGTAGTTGGGTCCGCTGACAGGTCCGTAGATGAGATATTCGTCAGTGAACCCCTCTATACACAAACCCGAGGCATACAAGTCAGCGCTGAGCCAGACGTGCTCCACCATGGACTTGGTGTCGAGCACCGCGATTGTGGAGGAGGAGTCCCAGTCAGGAGGGCAGAGTGCGAAGCTGCGGGCGAAGTCAAGGGCCGTTACCAGCATTTGAGTCCAGGAGCTGAAGTGCGTGTGTCGCACTGGGATGTTCGCGAGGTGGTCAATGATCTCGTCGCTGACAGTAGGAATGTCCCACATTTCCGTTGGTTCCTCGCCGTTCAGAAACCCATGCGGTATTATTCCATCCTTCGAATTCAGCTTTGCATCATGGCCTCCGCCAGACTTGGAGTTAAAACCTCTGAACAGAAGCCTCGGTGTGCCGCTCGCGTTGCCTACGGAGAATACAGAGTCAGAAAGGGCGCTGAGTACATATGTAGAGCCTCACTTATAATCTGGGTGTTCCAAATCCTTGTCTCGGAGACTACTTACAAAACAAAAATCTCTTTGCGTCATCCAATTCTTCCTGTGTCTCGATTTCGTCCGCCAGAGTTGAATCGCCTCTGAATTGAGGGTCCTCCAATTCTTCCCGTGTCTCGATTTCGTCCGCCAGAGTTGAATCGCCTATGAATTGAGGGTCCATGTCGCCAGCATCTCGGAGAAAAAGGGGGAAGCCGTCGGTGTCGGTGGTCAGCGTTCCAGACATCTTGCTGAGGTATACTGCCATTGGATCTTGATCGTTATCGTCGTCGTCGCTCATACTCTCATATCCGTCACTTGTGCCGGCAGTGGCAAGTGTAGATGAGGGTGAGCCCGGTTGGTAAGCGACGGTTCAGTGTAATCAGGCTGCTCATCGAAATTCCATCGTTGCTATGTCTTCCAGCACAGACATGATGGAGGCTCTTTTCGTCTAGTGCTCTTGTACTTGGGCTGGGTACCAGTGACGGCGTCGTAGTGTGCTGTCTGGCTTTGGGTGGAGTAGAGGTGATGGAACATGGATTTAGGAGGGGGCAGAGTGTATTTTACGCTGAGAAATTATGAACGTCAGTCAAGCTCAGGCAACGACGATGGCCTCGCCCATCAGTTTGCACAGTGGGAAGCCTTGGGTGTCTTGGGCGCTCACCATGCTCAGACGTTCTATGGTAGGGGGCTAGGTCAACCGGTAAAGTCCATGAAGAGGCTTTGCTGAATGTTAAAGAGGTCAAGATGGAGGATTGCTGTTTCTGAAAGAAAGGAAGCAGGGAAAGAAGTCCAAAGGCAGCGCTTGAAAATAAATTTCTGACTCATTCCGCCTGGTTCCGCGCAAACAGTTCTAATATCACTAGACTGATTACTTTTTGAATAGCACTGTGACATTCAGGCTGCACAGTGGGGCGTGTTTGGCGAGGGCGTTCAGACCATGTACGCATTGAGACGTGCTTATGGCTCATGAAGTGCAACAATTCGTTGAAAAATGGCTTGACATCACTACAACAAACTGTCACTTTCTCTCTTGCTACTTCTTGGGTAGTTTGGTGGATGGGTAGGTTTGTGGAACAAGATCACCCCTTGTGTATCAGAATTGCTTGTCTATCTCTGATGAATTTGACCTGCTGTGTGTACGAGTCTGCCAGTAAGCTGTCTTCGGGCTGCAGATGTTGGTGAACGAAAATGTCTGTGGCTTTGTAATTGGAGTGGGATACAGGAACATGTAAGGGAGCTTGTTTGTCTCATGGACTGTGCCCATTTTAATTGGACACAAGGCTTTTCACTGTTGGAGATGTGAGGTCTTTATATCCACGCGAGCACGAAGAACCTATCCTTCTTGGACCCAGTACCGGCACACTGGGCCCCCCTTGGGACGGAAGTGCTCGTTTCTCGGAGTTAAGGTGCTGGGTCTTGGGACGGGAGGTTTTGAATTTTGGGACGGAATCTGCTGAATTCGGGGCGCAAGGGGCGCGCTTCTGGGACGGAAGACGCCCGCTTATATGCCAAAAGCTTGGGTCTAGCTATATGATGAGCTCAGTAAGTTTGTTTGTCAAAGACTTGCTTGTTTGTGATTGAGTCATTCATACAAGACAATCTCTTATAGCCACATGATGCTAACAGGACAATTAAACCCCCTCGGACTTAGCCTCTGCCTTCTTCTCCGCATTCTGCAATGCTTAGTTGAAGGGTTTGTTATAATTATTCTTCAATCCGCCTTCAAGGACGTGAGACTCCAAGTGGCCCACGTGTCTGTCCCTGGCCGAATATGAACAAACTGCATTTGGCCTGTATCACTCATCGCCGTTTGATCCCTTACGTTGCTTTCTCACTCTTCAACGGCATTGAAGATATCATATGCACTTTCCACCAGCCAGTCCTTCACTAGACTGTCCATATACTGACCTGGGGTGGCAGCATCAAAGAGGAACGCGAGTGCGTCATCTTGATCATCACCCTCCAAGTCTAGTCCCGCCTGTGGAGGCCCTCGTGGCCCGTCATCTGCGAGCCCTGCTGCCCCGGACGGGCCACCGCAACTCTGCAGCTGTGAGACGTCCTCGCACTGATACCACTCCCGCGCCAACAGCCGCACAGCCCTCAGCGCCCGGTCGCTCCACGTGCACCATGCCGTGCGGAGGTCCTGCAGCACATCGACGCACGTCTGGAGATTCCTGATTCCCTGCGACCTGTTGGGATTCGACGGCTGGGCGTCTATGAGGTGGATCACGGCGGCTGCGAAACACAGGTGTACTGCTGCGATGGGAATCCGGCGCTGTAGGGCACAGTCAGCACAGAAGTTGTCGGAGTACAGGCGAATAACAATGATATTGATGTAATATGATTGAATTCCTGGGAGGCCCAGAACGTACCAAGGTATATTGGTGCTTGTATGTGCGCAACAGCCGTGCGATTTCTGCTGCGGAGTGACAACATATAGCCATATGCCGGTTCTCATAATCATCTCCCTTGGTGCTCCCATCATCGGCGGATGTATCGACGCTCGTGGAGCTCCTCCTTCCCTTGCTGCGGATGAGCGGTCTGTGTAAGAGAATCAAGTGTGCATGATACTGAATGCTGTAGTCAGGGATCCAATCAGTTTTGTTCAAGAATTAGGCGGATATCACGATGGCCTGGAGGAACGTACTGGAAGAGGCAGATGTGAGGAAGCATCGGCACTTTGGGTGAAGCCGGCAGGCGCAGGTGGCTCGGCAGCTCTCTAAAGTGTGTCCGCAATTCCAGGTCTGCTTTGCTAACGACATCTTCCAGCTGTCGGGTCGATAATTTACTGTTGGCAGCATAGCTATGTGATGTTAGCTAAAGTCTCCAAGAAACTGGCCCATGGTGGGCCCTTGTCAGTGTTTCCCTACATTATGTCCATGGCTTCGCAGGCAATGGTATAGGTTTCTGAGACATGGCAGGCTGTCGAAGAGATGTGCGAGTGCATACCTAGTGTGGTCTCCAGAGACGACGCATCAGATGTCGGCAACCAGGGCGTGAACTCCTCATTAGTATCTATGCTAGGCTTCAGACAAGAGATCGTCGATTTTGGGGTGCTACTCGGGCGGCCTAGGCCAACGGAGAAGAGTCTTTGGTTGTCAGTAATTTCTCGGCGGACTCTGGTGCCTGTTGCAAGCAGTTGTCTCAACGGGTAAGCTACTCACTTATCAACGACATAGCATCCCCACCACGTCACTTTCCGTGCTTCGGCCTCTTCTTCTGGCACCAAGGCTGTTGTGGTCCACTTTGAAGAGTCCAAGTGCAGGCCCAGATTATGTGCCATCCTTGTCGCGTTGCCTATAGAAGAGTCGTTTAGATCTAAGATAACCAAACACTCCGGCATGACGGGGACCTGTGTACTTACCCGCGTACAACCAACCTAGAGCCTCCTTCCCATCCGACATGATTCTTAAAGCCAGAAGACAAGCAGCCTGTACCGTGGTGATGCTCGGAGCCTCAGCTTCATAAAGCATCAATATCTTGGCGTGCTCGCAGAATGCATCACCGGCAGTGCTTGGATCGTCCGGCACCGAGCGTAGCTCGGGGCGGTCGGAATACCGCGCTGCTATCGCAAATATCGAGCAAAGCAAGAGTGGCGAACAGAACTTGCCGTCATGCTCCCCACTGAAGCTTTTCAAGAACGCACCCTTGTGGATCACGTAGTTCCACGGGTTCTGCCACCGCCAGTATAGATCGAGGAGATGGTTCTGGAGCTCGTCGGTGACGTTGGCCGTCTTCCCGAGCTGGGCGGCGGCAATTAGGCCTTGCATCTGTGCCTTGAGTGATGGCTCATGGGGGTCCGTCTCGCTCATAGGCTCATGGACGAGATGATATGAACTCTGGGATCCAAAATAATGCACCTGCCCATCGTCGATGACATTAAGACGGCCGACTAGACCGGCCAGATCTGATAGGGGACCTTCCTCGTCTGCCCCGGTCGAGTCATCTTCTTCTTCATACTCGGGTGCCAAGTCTAAATTGCCAGAGGTGTCTGCAGGCTTAGAGCCTAGTGATATGACCTGGGCTTCCAAGTGACGGATCCGGGCCTGCAGGGATTCGACATACTTCTTGCTGGGTGGTCTGAATTGTTGCCAGTAATTAATCTTTCAAATCTCGTCCGAGCCGTATGCATTTATATTTATGAGACATGCCGTTAAGACGACAGGGAGGTAGGGGGCTGGCTGACCTGCGCTTGTTCTCTGCATGTTGGAACTTGCACTCTGTTCCTCGACTTGCGCATGAGCCGCAAATGGGCTGCTGCCCGTCACACTAAGCCAGAGTTAGACTTGACCAAAGAACAGGGGTTCTTGGAACTCACACGCATGCGCTTATGACGACATGCGAGGCACGCGAGCGAGACCCGCTGCCTCTTCCTGCCATCCGGCTGCGGTACGGAGCTCGACATGGTATATATGTGCTGTCGATCGTGAATATGGCGTCGCTTCTCGGCATTTGAAGATTCTCTGATGGCATGTCACACGTCCTCAACATGTCTAATGAACACGATGCTGGCAAGATATTGAAGCGGAGAATGCATACTATGATCAAGCCCGTGAAGCTGTGGTGAACAGACATGGACATGACTAGGACCGAAAAGAAGACCCCGCATTTAATTACTGACCCTATCTGTCGCACTAGATGTGAAGGGTAAGCCACCTTTGATGCACAGATAAACCCCAAAGATAGCGCCGCAAGCGCTGCCATATTACTGTCCACTTGTACGTTCCCGAAAGCGAACGTGCCCAAGAACCTGCCAAAACAATTCCTACATTTACATGATCCCTCCGGCCCATCGCTCAAGGGTCGGCCGCATAAAAAACAGGTCGTGCAGGGTACTTGTTGACGCGCAGACTCAGCTGATCAGGCCGGCAGTAGTGGCCCACAATGTCGAGGTTCTGCTTCGCCTTGGCCTTCTCCGCAAGATCGACATCGGCGTAGAGGATGCACTCCTCGCCGGGGTGAGGACGCTCGACGAGCTCATCGCCCATCGGGGAGTAAATCATGCTGAATCCGCCACCGCTGCCAGGCGTGCAGTTCGCGTACCCAAAGTCCGCGATCCTGCATTTCTTCTTGCCCTCCTCGCTGACCACCTGCGTGCAGACCATCACGAAGCAGGCCCCCTCGAGGGCGACGATCTGCGAGAATCGCATGCTCATCACGTCCGTGATGTGGCCCGGCCAGTCCGCCTCCTTGGCACCGTTCTTATCGGTCGGGTGCGCCCAGAGGACGGGCCAGCTCGAGACGTGCAGGTCGACGTCCTGCTCGTACTCGTAGTACCGCAACATGACCTGGGTGTGTTCCCAGCAGTTGAGGCCGCCGATCTTGACGTCCGGGTGGGCTGTGCTAGGGATCACGGTCTGGAGGGACTCGCCCTGGCCGTCGCCCCAGTAGGCGCGCTCGACGTGAGTGGGCTTGATCTTGCGGCGATGGTGGACGATAACGCCATTCTCGTCGATGAAGGACTGGTCGAAAAGTCAGCTCCGCGTGGGAAGGGATCATGAGATGCGAGTGCTTGCCTGGGCGATGTACAAGGTGTTCTTGTACCGCTCGCTGTACCCGAGGACGACAAAGATTCCAGCTTCCTTGACGGCGGCGCAGATCCGCTTCATCTCATCCGAGTCCTTCACAAGGGAGTTTCGGAAGTATTCGTCCATGAAGCCGGCGTTTTCCGTGGGAGACCTGGCCCAGATGCTCCTTTGGACGTAAGCAATTAGCTAAACACCTAAACAATAACCCAAGCGAGGACGGCATTGAAAGCCGTGACGCAACTACATACCATGGATATCCGGGGATGAAGACCTCTGGGAATCCCACAACATTGGCGCCCTTACTAGCAGCCTCCTCGATGAGGGCAATTGACTTGTTAACGCCGCCCTCGAGGTCTTGCCAAACGGGCTCGGCCTGAATTGCTGCGATCTTAAGCTTAGGAGCCATGACTGTTTGCTTTGGTGAATACTCAAGACTATTGATGCGTGTTCAGAGTAGGGAATCAATTTGTGTTGGGAAGCCTGTGTTGCATTTGTCTCGTGCGGGCAGATTCTCTCTCTGTTATAGCATTTGAAGTAGATGGCATGTTTCGCACTCCTTCTACGGGCCATTAGTATCCTATCTGGTATTTAGAGATCTTCATCCTCGTATGCCACTATCACTGCATTCATCTTATGCACTAGGCTTCCCCAGATTTAGGACGGGTGAGCATTATCCTATCAGCCCCTCTCTCAGCTTCGAATCTCCGAAAGCTTATTGGGTTAGGGGTGATGATCATGACCTGGGCGTTTATCACCGGGTAAGCACTACCCTATCTGCTACCACCTTCAGAACTACACTCACCACCTCAAAAAAGAAATGGGAGATGCAAGCATCTGTCTCAATGTGAATCGGGGATGAATGAACGCAATATCGAATGCCTGGGAAACCCTCTACTTGCTTGATAGGAAAAGTCCTGACTTTGTAGCAAATACTTGATAAAGGGAAGGAGAGCATACCAATGGCTTGGTGGTAACAACCAGACGACACATGGTTGAGCAAGCGGTGGAGTGGATAAACATCTATATTCGGGCTGTTAGAAAAATTCCACAAAGCATTGCATAATCACAGACAACCATGCGTTCGTTCGAGCCGATTAAGCAATGTTGCACTGCTGGGACATGCGCCAGAGGAAGGCTCAATATCTGGTGTCATTCACACACGAGAGACGGCAGGGATATAATTCAGCTACACATCCAATACTAATATGTACAATCAGAAAGCTGCCTAACTAGTCACCTCTCTCCTTTTGTTTTGTGGCTTCCTTGATCTAGAACACCTAAGCATCCTAAGCAGGGACATACTTCTTCAACAGACTATCGTAGTACTGGTATGCAGTTCCACTGGGCGGCTCAAAGCTCGAATACGTGGACGCCGGCCACCAGGGCCCTGCAGCCCACCACAGCGCTCCCTGCCAAACATCCGAGTTGGCCTTCAGGTGGTCCAGAAGCCCCGTCACGGCAGAGAGACACTGGCTGTTCGGTCCCCCGGCGAACTCGCCCAGGACGCCGAGCTTTCCGTTGGCCCTAAGCCAGTTGGTGGCGCCGACGATACGGTCGACACCTATAGTGCCCGAGACGCAGTCGCCACTGGAGCCGGAGCCGTCCGAGTTCAGGTATTGGTGCATCTCGTACACGAGCTTGTTGTTGGGGTCTTTGAGGCCCTTCAGGTTGTCGTTGGTCGTGTTCCACGTCCAAGCCCCTGTCCACGAGTTTCCCTCGGCGAATATGTACTGCGAGGTTGCGCCGGTCCCTCGAATCGCGGTGATGGCGGCTTGGTTGAGGTTCAGTACCAGGGTCTGGTCCATGTCGTGATATTCATTGTTGATATCGAAGATCTAGTGTAGAAATCAACCCATTAGACCGACGCGGACTCGTCAGATTGTTTTGGCTGGTGAACCACTTACGACATTGGCATTGCTCTTGAATTGCGTGGCAAGGTTCTTCCAGAATGTGCCGAAAGCAGACGTGTCTGTAATAACTGCGCCATTGTATCTACCGTAGTTGTGGGCGTCAAGGACGGCAAATTTGCCCTTCCCGGTGATGTGAGTAACGACGCTGGTGAGATTGTTGAGGTACCCGCTGTCCAGCTGCGCAGTGATGCTTCCACGAGCCATACGCTCGAGTAAAAATGGAATGCGGAAGATGTTATAGCCCTCACTGATCAAAGTCTGGTGGAATTCTCTGGTCAGCAAGTGCGTATCTAAGTAACCTTGGAAATCATAATGAAAACATTCGGGTCGGTCGTACGTCAATCGTTGTGGTCGAGGGGAAATAGAAGTCCACGCCCCAGGTCCCGGGTAAGGCTGTCCCGAACTCAGCAACAGACTCGCTAACACCGAGCCATTTAAGCCCAGATGCAGCAGCCGCCTGAGGCACAACCGCCGCCTGCGCAACGGCAGCGACGGTGACAGAGAGAAGAATCGAAGGTCTCATGGTGAGTGGGATGAGTGCTTTCAGTGTTGGTAGCCAACCCAATCATAAGGGCCGAAACGACAGCGACGGAAATTAGTGGTTTATAAACATTTGAAAAGTCGCTGACGCCCAAGTCGAATCGTCCCCCCCCCCTCCGGAGGGTCCTTGTGGCTTTGAAGCGTACTCTACGATTCGACTCTTTGACATTTTGGCCCGTCCGGCCTTGACATGAGTGATGGCTCGGTACTATCTCCGTCCCCAAAACGGCAATATGGTACTAGGAGGCCATAGAGATTCTCCTTTGTGGGAATATGCCCACGCCACCTCACGGCCTTTTAGGGGGTAGCACCAGCCAGGGATTGCTAGTCCAGAAGTTCGAGTCAGTGGCCAATCATCCACTAGCATGATTCTTCCTTCTGGGATATCACATTCTCATGAATTGAACCGCCGGGGAAAGGGATGCTGGGTGAGCATAAGCCTCGAAGGAGATATATTACCATGTCACCCTGCGCGAGCCATGTCCTAGATGTTCACACCTCTTCGGGACTGGAGACGCGGCACTGTCAGAAAATGTGAGATCTATAGGGGCAGCTCGGCCTATTTCACGGCACATAGCGCGCCAAGACAGCGTGACAATATGGTCATTGCCGGGTCCGCGTAGGATACAACCTCCGCGAACTAGACCATTCGCGGTGGGGACATGACTTTGTTCATGGATACCATCGTACATTCGTTGCATTGGTCGAAGCTTTCTGAATTCCTGTCCAATGGTATGGCCATTTTTATTGTGAGGTGTGCCTCCGCTGACCCGTCGGCTTCGTCCGCTCCGCCCACATTGACAGCACTGCAGGGACGGCGGCAACGGCGGGCCTGATTTCTTTCGGCTCTCCGTGGTGATCAAAGACTGGTCGTCACCATCTAAGATGTCACAGAGCCCCGAAGTTCCACTGCCTCGATTGTGAGCACCACGGAGCAGCACGCAGAGGGCTTCCACTGACATGCCTGTCATGGCGGAATTGCATACCGCGTAACTATTCCAGTAGGATCTGAAGTGACTAGAAGAGAGGAGCAGAACGCACGGGAGAAGAAAAGGCAAGCAGACAAATGATATAATAGCGACCTTTACACAAACTCCTACGTAATCATCAGCGAACTTGTTAGCGCCACTGCGCACAAACGACCAGGAATGCTCTCTGGCGGAGAGGGACCTATACACTTGTCCACACAAGGACGGGAATTAAAAACACACTCGAGGTAATCTAGCTTGAGAGACGCCTTGGCGACTTATCTCATTTACGCCATGGCTTAGTGTCCCGAGCGTTTGCGCACGTCGACCTTTTCCTTCCGCAAAGCCTCAAGAAACAAGCTTCCGCAGTTCATTCACATGCCCGTAGACCTTCCAATCAGCACCTGATCTGGCTCACGATCAAGGACTGATTGCCACCTTGTACATATATATATCTAAATAGAGGAAAGAGGGTGCCAAATCAAAGGTGCAATCAAGTACATGATGAAAGAGACTAGACTGACTGTTGTAGGATTACTTTTTCAACTCACAAAGTAAACTACCACTGCTCCTCAAACGTTTTGCTACAAATCTTTCCATAAATATCGAATCGCTGATTTCATATCGTATCTGGATCATCCTATCCCACAAAGGTCAATATATGGGAAAGCCACCTTGACCGTTGCTACGATCTGATCACTAATATACTGTTGCAAAAATAAAGAGAATTAGGGACAGTTGGCGGTGGGAGGAGAGCATGGAACTTAATTCTTATTTTGAAATACACTGTTAATGTACTGGTATGAATACCAATACACTTGGTCCTTTATCTTTATGGCAAGATGGCAAGACAGAGGTTCTAATCACTCCATGGTGTGACATTGCTAATGTATGTGTGTGTGTGTGTGTGTGCTGGACCCCATTGAAAGACATATCTGCCTTAAGCATTCCAAATTTGAAATTAAGGTATGTTTTCTCTTCTCGTGTGATGTTTATGGTCTAGCTGAACGCAAACCAGCCGTATACTACATCGAAATTTCATCATGTGTCGTATCAACATCACCTTGTACAAGTATTGCAACTACGATGAGGCGGAAGTCAGACTCCCGACGGGCAGTGATGGCGAATGTACAATGGCAAGTGCAAACACGACCACAGTAAGGGGCAACAGCGCTTGCCCATATCATCTAGCCGCAGCGCAAGCGAGTTGGGGAAGAGGATCTGGTGGCCGGGAGGTTGGTTGAAGGGACCCGGGTCGCCGACACCACACCAGACGTTAGATCAAGCATTCATGAGGCATTACTATCACACGGATTGCAATTCAGGCTGACCCTTGATTGCTATTTGGTATAGAAAGTTAAGATTATGGTTAAAAATCCAATAGAATTGCAGGTCGTTTCGAATTGCAAAGGATCAGTATCCTCCGACCCACAACACTGTTCCAGTAACATCCCTACGCGTGTTCTGCCCATTTCTATCGTTGCGCAGCACTAATACATGTATTGATGGTATCCCTCCGTGCTGTATCTACTTCCACTGCATGAAACACAACATTACCGTCAATCTCCTCATCTGCTGTGAGCTCCAGTAACTTGGGATTGGGGTCCTCCTCAGTGACATGATGGTCAAAACAGATCCCCATGTAATGATTGGCCCTGTTTTCGGGACCATCAGGTCCCATAAACGCCTTCGACCATCCGAAACCCATCTCCAGCTTGGAAAACTCGGCACCAAATAGCGCCCTGCCTACGTCGCGGGTCATCTGGTTAATGGCAGCTCTCCCTTTCCGTCCAACTCTAGAAAAGCCATCACCTTCCTCCAACGGGACCATGGAAGGGTCAATGAATTTCAACAGATCCCGGTTAATTCGCACTGAGATACGAGTGGGTCCTTCCCCAAGGGGAAAAAGACTGGTCGGCGCGACGGAGATAGGCATAATGGTCGTCTGTCCACTTGTGTTAAAAGGCCAAAATTTCAATGGCGATCACTGATAGACGTAGCTTGACTGATTGTTGATGAACTGACTGTCTTGTTTTTGGCAAGCTGTCAAAACTTTTGGAAGGGTCCGAAAGGAGTTCAAGGCGTCAGTGCTGGCGGTGGGGTTCGCCTTACACCAACTGCATAACCATTTGTGCCCGGCTATTCAATGCGCATGACACGTTACAGACGACCGTGTTTGCGGCCTTCTCGCCAATGCATGGATTGAAAAATCACGCCAGGCTTCAAAGCCCTTGTTTTGTTCGACAATGTCTTTAAGGGCAATTCGATGCTGGTCTTGGTGTTTGTTGGGTCTGGAGTGGTGGTCAAGGTGGTTTATACACTGAGCATTGCTGTACACAGCTTATGAAAAACTTGGCCAGGTTCAAGTCGTAGTAAGGCAATATAAAGAGCCACGAGTGTTACCCATCTTAATTATCGGATATCTGTATGAGGGAAGGCCTCGACACGTTGCCAGGTGCCAGAGGTCACTTGTGTCTTGGGTCATCAGTTAAGCCGCATACTGAGTTATATCTCAAATTGTCCTTGAAGCCTTCAGTCATCACGATTTTGCAAGTGTCCCACGATGTCTGGCATGCGACGCAACCTCGTCTCGTTCGACTTTCGGCACACCTGTCTTGCTGATCCCTTGTGGCAACTGTTGAAGCTCGTCCGTGCATCTAGAGCTCCAAGCCTGAGATGACGGCGTGGTACTGCCGGCTTGCAATTATACTGCTCCGTCATACTACCGTCTGCCATTTTGAAGTGCTCCAGTACAAAATATGTACGAATGAAGCCTGCCTGCATTGGACACGATGGCTAAGTGGAAGTGTTCTCGTCTGCCAATCTGCTTATACAAGTCCCCCGCTTACGTTCGGCCATAAAGAGGAAGACGGCACGGTGGCGCGAACCTGTCATGTCCTTGACGCGGTGCAGCGCGACTCCACTCCTCCCCATGCTTTGCGCAGACGTGATGATTGGCTGCTCACGGATACGTCTCACTTGAAACACAGCCAATCCCCCCACCTGGCCGCCGTGTGCTGTGCACATGTGCTTGCTGCTGCACCTGCGCAGTAGTGTGTGGTCTACCGCAGTCCATGGCTTCCTGCCCCTGCAGCTGGCTTCTGCACCTCTTCCCGCCAGCCCGCCCACTCAGTACAGTAGTCTACAACTCGACGAGGAGGAGACTGCCGTTCCCAGTCTGATCTCCCCAATACATCCTCCTCTTGGTGATCCTGTGTTGCCGTCTTCAGACTTGTCAATCAGGAGAAGCAAACGTACAGATAGCTTCTAGACAATCTGCAGTCCCTTTTCATACGAGGCCTGGGTTTGCCTGTCCGGATATCGACGGGCTGAGCAGTCACCATCCTTCCGTCCTTCCTGCTTGATTATCGAGCTGCCCCTCCTCGTCCTTTCCGCGCCTCTCCCTCACTTCCAAGGCGCCAACTTGTCAGCCGTTCAGGCAGTCGATCAATCAATCAGTCAATCCCTCAGACGCCGGGGCGTCCTCCCTGCATCATTGTCTGATTATCTCCTGCATTTGTCCCATTCCAAAACAGACCAATCTGCGGCGCAGTCCAGGCGTTTTGTCGGGCACTTTTCTCTTGGATCCTTCCAACCGGCAATTTTCCACTTTACGCGATCGGCTCAATCACGAAAGTTCGCGTCACCCGTCACCCGTCAATCCGCCCGGGATTGCCTTTTCCTTCTTCCATCTTTTATCACTATCTCACCCCGGCACAAGCAAGGTCCCAGGGGACTCCACGTGGAACTCCTCCAGACCTCCACGAGATCCATCTCCGGCCCATCAGTTGCACCGCTGTAACTGGCCCGTTGCTTGCTTGTTCGGTAAGTCTGCAGACCCCGGCTGCTGGATGCTGTAGTGCGTGCAGCAGCAGGGCAGATCTTCCCCCCACCCGAGCTGCCAGCTTCCAAACCTGCCAACCTGCCCCAAGCTTCCTCCTCCTCCTTGTCGCGCGACATTTGATCCCCCCGATCACACCCCCTTCGACCCAATCAAGCCCTCACTTCCATCTCTTCCCCCCTTCGCCTCACCGCACCTCACCTCACCTGCCCGACCAACCAACCTACCTTACTCAACCTTATCGCCAATTGAATTCCTGGCCCACGATCCCAGAAAGAACCGACCGTGGTGTGGCTCTGAACCAGCTTCTCGGCCCTGGGCGGGACAAGGGAAATGCCGGTCTAACAGCGCATAAGAAGCAGGATTGTCTCCCCGCCCTATCAGGCTCTCGAACTCGAACAGCCGCCCGCCTAAACACCTGCGAGACGGGACCGACCACTGGTCGCACACCACACCACCTCCTGCTTGTCACCTTGTACCAATCCCAATCTCCGAATACTACCATACGACTAGTCCCGGGCTGCTGGCGCAGCTCGTCGCATGAAGCATTAACCGCACCTGGCCTCGTCGACTTGGGCCACCCCCCCTCTTGAGACCTCTCCAGTCACCTCGCGCCGATCTACCACCGCCACCCCTTCCCAAGTACCACACGGCAACCCGCACGCCAGCGAACTTGGTGTAATAAGACAATACCCGCCCACACCTTTTCTCTCTCTCTTTGCCTGAGGCCTTTCCCCCCTCTTCTCCTCTTTTCCAATCTCAGTTCCAATTCCATTCCAACCTGACCGATTCAATCATTTGTATCTCGGTCCGAAAGACACTGGGAAGAAAGCTCGAAGTTGCGGCTCCACAATCCCGGCCGAGTCGCTTCTCACCGGGCAGAAGTTGATCCCCTCTCATTGGCTCCACACCACCAGCGAGGAGCACAATTCGGCCCCTCTCGACCTGTCAAGCACATCAGACAATCTGCAGCTTGACGCTCCGACCTCCCAAACCTAATTCGACACCCATTGGGCGGGAATCGGTAACTTGAACATCCCCATCGCATCGTGCATCGGTCTAGTAACAGGCTCCTCCGGCTTCAAGCTTGCCTGACGTGTCCTGCGACCGTGTTTGTTTGTTTGTCGGCGGTCCGCCCCCTCCGCACAATGGCAGCTGTCACACGTCAGCCGTTTGCGCCCCTTGACGGGACACGACTGCAGAGCTTGACAAGCGCCAGGAACCAGCAAGCTTGTGAGTTGCTGCCCACCAAAGACCTGCAATTTCCTCACCCCAACCTCGCTATTGGCTTGTATTCCTGAGTGAGCTCTGCGATTGGAGCCCGTCTTGTCCTATCGTGTTGCCATCGTCGTACAGGACAGTGAATCAGTGCTAATGAATCAGCAGCACTGTCATCTCCTGGAAAGCGCAAGGTCGCTGACTTTCTCAACATCGATGATTTCGAGAATGTCGACCCTGCACTCCTGTTCTCTAAAAGGTCGAAGGCCAGCTCGTCCGATAGCTCCAGCAAAAACTTCTTCAAGCCACCCTCACTCATCATCACCAAGTCCTCTTCCACCCCGGCATTACCCAGCGGCAAGGATGGGATCTCTGCTTCAGTCTTCAGCAGTCCTCTCAAGGGCGCATCGCCACGTCCGCGGTCCATTCTGAACCCAAAGTCACCGGCCAAGAAGCTCAGCAGTCTCTCTCGCGGCTCAATCACCCCGATGTCCGCACCAGCAGGCCGCTCCCCAACCCGAGGTAACAAGCGGATCGGTATCCTCAACAGACGGCGAACAGAGACTTTTACTCGAATCGATCCACCGACATTCAGCCTCTCGTCGACACCATTCTCGCTCGAGGCTGCCATCAAGGGTACAGTGCCAAGCTATGCCGCGAAGACGCCATCCTCCACCAAGGCCGGTTCCTCTGCATCGTCGTCCCTGTCACTGTCGAATTCAGAAGATTTCTATGGCTCGAATTTGAAATCTTCGTGGGAATTCGATATTCATGAGGACACCCCCGAGCAGGAAATGACCAACCTCCTGCAGCACAGCACATGTCGGCTTGATATCAGCAGCGACGAGGAGTGCGAGCGGAAGTTGGGCCGGGAGAAGGCCGAGGACCGGGGCAAGGAGAACGTCCCGCCTGCTGATGATGTTTCTCAAACCTCGGCCCGGAGAGCGACCACAATGAGCGAGGGCGGAATGGAGTACGAGAAACCCCGCACAGCTCTCGGTGACCTGAATGTAGAAGACTTCTACGCCGAGGGCTGCGATCTTACGTCAGTGTTCATTGTCCCAGAGGACGAGGATGACGGCACAGTCGTGGATGGGGAACAGCCGGAGAAGCCCCAGGATGAGGCACGCGCCGTGCTACACGATGGCGCTACCTCAGAGTTGAGCCTCGAAATCAAGGCCGACGCTGAGGCAACGCCCGAGCCAGAGGAACCCGAGGAGCATGTGAAACTGGCGACTCTTCAGCCTGTAGAGGGCACAGGCGAGAGCTTCGACCTATGGGAGAGCTCAAGTGCCAAGGAGGAGGGAGACGGCGCGCCGAGCCCGATGCCCGCTTCTCCTGCTTCAGAAACGGGCGAGGACTTTGGTGATGAGGGTTGAATACTCGCCCTACTTCCGGTTTCTCTATTGCTTTGACTTGTTGCGTTTCCAGGAGTTATATTGGATAAGGCCAGGGGAGAAGCCATTGGAGTACATGGCTATCTCAGGTGGTATTTCAAGCGCTTGATTGATGTTTATTCTCGAAGATTTGCTTTTGCTGGGTCGTTCGGTATGGTTTGGCCGGGTCAGGATTGCCGGTCGGGTCGGTTACGGTTACGGTAACGGGAGGGTTCAAGGCGTATGAGTGGGTGAGGTGCGGACCTGCGCCAGTAAACGCTCTTTTGACAGAGCCCAAAGGGGGCTTACGCTGCTGTAAATGGTAATAGAAGATATTGTTCAGATCCAAACATTCGCTGTGTCGACCTGCCCGGGGTACCAAAGCCGACCGTGCAGTTGGGATGTCAGGCCCCTACGATGTGCTCGCAGCATCAAGTCCTGGAAGTGACGTGTCCGTCATTGCTCAACAACGGACCTGTAGGTTGATAAATGAAGGGAGCTTGGGATGCAACATGAGCTATCATTCGTATGAGAAATGGTTTCTCAAGATGTTTTGTGTGGATGACAAGGAGTAGCACTGTTCATGCCGACAGCTTCGACGCGGAAAAGCCCCACCAAGAGACGGCAGTGCCTGCAAGCGTGCTAAGCCAAGCCCAAGGAGCCTCAACCCCAACTTATAACAAGCGGTAGTCACCGACTCGGAGATCGACCAACTCATCCCGTCTCTTATATTCGGATTATCGAAATCCGATTAGTCGTATTGCTGAGAAGGAATACCGGATACTCTCCCTCTCGCGCCTCTTTATCCCCCTCACCAGCGGTATTCGACCATGGCCGCGACGAACGGTCCCGCCGCGTCTGCTTCATCGCTACCAAACGCGTCTTCTGCAATGGGGTCCTCGTCCACCACCACAACCCCTGTGATCAGCACCGTCAGCGATGCCACGGTCCCCTCAGCGGGAGGGTCGCAAGGGTTAGAGGAGCAGGAGGGCCCCGCTGTCGCGCGCGGCGCGTTCGTCGTGCTCGAGGGCCTGGACAGGAGCGGCAAGACGACGCAGGTCAAGCTGCTGCAGAGCAGGCTCATCGAGGCGGGGAGGAGGGTGCAGCTGATGAGATTTCCTGGTGAGTTTTTTATGTGTTCTTATATGTGTGCTGGTGGCGATGGGTTCATTCTGGAGCGGTGGTGTCTGGCATGGGAGACTCTAGGATGCACATCGGACAGATCAGATGGGACTGGCCATACGGAGTTGAATATTCACTGACCGGGATTGTGGTTGAAGTAGCTCAAGTGAGCAGTTCTTCTCAAATCACCCATTTCAAGAAGCTGAATGCCTCATTCATCATCATGTACAAGTCCTGCGATCCGTTCCAAGATCTCATCTCGGCCCTCACCGGCCCGGGCGGGACCAGCTCACTGACATTCTTCCCAGACCGCACAACGCCCACAGGCCAGATAATAAACCAGTACCTCTCCTCCTCGGCCACCCTCCCAGACCAATCAATCCACCTCCTCTTCACCGCCAACAGGTGGGAGGCCGCCCCCACCATCGCCGCGCTCCTGGCGCAGGGCGTCACCGTCGTCTGCGACAGGTACTACTACTCGGGGATGGTCTACAGCGCCGCGAAAGGCAACCCCTCCCTGGGGCTGCCCTGGGCGCGCGCCCCCGAGGCGGGGCTGCCGCGACCGGACGCCGTTGTTTTCCTGGACCTGGACGAGAAAAAGGCCCGCGAGCGCGGCGGGTTCGGTGAGGAGAGGTATGAGACGGCGGAGATGCAGCGGCGGGTGCGGGGGTTGTTCTGGGGCTTGAAGAAGGGTGATGTCGGAGGGGTGCCGTTTGTTGAGGAGGCCGAGGACCTGGTCGTTGTTGATGCTGGGGGGAGCGTGGAGGAGGTTGCGGAGGCGATTTGGGGGGCTGTGAGGCCGAAGGTTGAGGGGGTCGAGAAGGGGGAGTCAGGGGCGGAGGTCAGGAGGGTGTCATGACGCATCGGCCGCTTGTGATCAAGATGGCATGGATTCTTGGAGGTCACTGTATAGACATGTCGGTCTTGGAGCACTACCAGACGTGTTCACGTTAGATGGCTCACGAAGTATGAGCACGCGTCTGGGGGCACATAGGAGTGGTAATATTCGCTCTGAGGGCATTCCCAATTGCCGTAAAATTATGCTTTTGGATGAGTACAGGAGGAGTTGAGCCCACAAACGCCAGTCTTCCGCACAGCTAGCCGACCCCCATTCCCAAATGAATGCTTCGATGTTGAATACCATAGGCGGGCATGATGAATGCCATGTTGCGCCCGATCTACCGCCCTGTCCGAATTTTCCCAAACGCCGAGATTCGTATGCAAAACCAGACATGCTCAATGCTGAAGCGCGAGCATGTTGGGGCGTTGCCGCTTCTTGTAATGAGTTGATCATCCAGCCTTCCCACCGAAGGCACCTTGTACACGTCGTATACCATGAGACATAACTGAAGGGAAAAAAATGCCAGCTGCCACCTCTCAATTACGTCCCCGAACGCCACAAGATTAGTTCATTAGACCCGGCGGTTGACGCTGATCAGGTTCAGGAACTCATTCCTCGTCTTCTCCTTGCGCTCGAAGCAACCCAAGACACAACTCGTGATGGTGCTCGTGCTGGTCTTCTCGACACCCCTCATGACCATGCACAGGTGGCTGGACTCCATGACGACCGCGACACCCTGGGGCTTGAGGACTTCCATGATCGCATTGGCGACCTCCTTAGTCAGCCGCTCCTGGATCTGCAGCCGGCGGGCGAACAGCTCTGCGATTCGGGGCAGTTTCGAGATGCCGATGACGGACTGGTTTGGAATGTACCCGATATGCATCTACCAACGGGCGTCAGCTCCCCCTATTCCAAGAGAAGCGCATATACACCGCCCACACGCGACCAATGGACCCCGGAGAACTTACCTTCCCGGTGAACGGCACCAGGTGGTGCTCGCACATGCTGAAGACCTCGATGTCCTTGACGATGACCATCTCGTTGTGGCCCTCCTCGAAGATGGCGCCGTTGACGATGTCGCGCACGTTCTGCTGGTACCCCTTTGTGAAGAACAGCATGGCCTTGGCGTACCGCTCCGGGGTGGCCAGCAGGCCCTCGCGGTCGGCGTCCTCGCCCACGCACTCGAGTATCGTCCGCACGGCGCCGCACATGCGGGCCAGCCGCTTGTCCGCCTGCTCCTTGGTCTCCTCCAGCCGCTCGCGCGTGCCCGAGCTGGGCCGCGACAGCCCGTCGAAGTCGATCACGGGGCTCGGCGACCGCGTCACCGTCCCGCTCGTGGCGGCGGCGGCGGCGCCTGTGGTGGAGGTGGTCGTTGTCGTGGTGGCCTCGGTGGTGGCGGTGGTGTGCGGCGTGGAGGACTTCTTGGACTTCTTCTTCTTGGGGCGGTCGGGGATGTCTCGGGGGTCTCGCGCGGGGGCGCTGATGCTGTCTCGCCTCTCGTGGGCGCCGTTGACCTTGTGGTGTTTGCGCTTCTTGTTGCTGGATCGCTCCTCGCCCGAGTGGTGCGCGTTGCGCCGCCCGCCGGAGGACGAGCTGGTGATGCTTGCTGTGTCCATTTTTTCTGCGGATGGCATTGGAAAAAGTCCAGCGTCTGCCTGTCTCCTTGTCCTGTCCTGTCCGCCTGCCTATCCTGCTGGTATATATATATATATGTATATTCGCTATTCGTTTGCTTTCATGCAGGTCTGAGAAATCGTGAAAGAGAAAAAAGGAATCAGGCAAGCATGTGCTATTTGTCGCTTGACAATCGATCATGTAGGTACAGAGACAATGGGGAGCCCCGTAGAAAGGTCAATTGAGGGCTACAGGAATGAGTCGATTCCCCCTCGAAGGATTGTTCGGCCTCCGATGCAGCTGACCGAGGAGAGGGAGAATCGGTCTAATACATCGTAGTCGCAGGCAAATTTGCTGCGATGGCTGACTGACACTGACTCTCGGCAGTCTGGCGCTGGCCGCCGCGGTCGGGGCAGCTTGTCAGGGTCCTGCAGCGGTGACTTAACTGGAGCTTGCCTGCCCGCCCGTCCTTATCTTATCAGTCCTGGTGGAGCTTCCAGCAACTCCCAGCTGTCCGGGGTTGTGCTACTGCAGCAGTGGGCCATCGACTGTCGACTCGACTTCAACGCTTCGGCGCAAACGTCACCTTTGGCATCTGCTCCCTCGTCGCGACCTCTTTTTGTTTCTCACCCCATCAACAGGTCCTTCAACACAACCACTTCTAGCTGTCAGCCGACTCGCAACGGCCTGGCCTATCTTTTCATTACGGGGCCGACACACGACGTAATTTCAGTCACATTACGTTGTCAAGATGAGCTCGCCGCCGTATCAAAGCCAAACCTCTCCTCCTGCGCACTCTCCTCCCTATCCATCGCACTCCCAGCTCCCAACCCTCAACACCCTCGCAAATGGCGCCGGATCATCGAAGAAGCGCTCGGCTGGTGATGGCGGCCCTTCTCCCTCCATGAAGCGCAGGAAGCCCTCCACAATGTCCGTCACTTCAGTTGGCTCCGCCCATCCGCTCCGACAAACGTCCTTTCCGCCAGACGAGTCTCCTTTCGCGGCCCGATCACCGAGTGTGGGGTTCGACAATGACAACGTCAGTATGGTTTCCGGCTCCGCTGTCTCGGTTAGTGCGCCCGCGAAGAAGAAGCGCGGTCGTAAAAGCAAAGCCGATAAGGCTCGCGAGGCTGCCGAGAAGGAGGGAACACCTAGCGCGGTCGGAGGCAGGGCCATGACGGCGGCCAGTGGCAGGAGTGGCGCGGGCAGAGGCGCAGCGAGCGCTGTGGGGGATGACGGCGCAGATGACGAGGAGGAGGATGACAAGGATATCAAGACCAAGATGGGAGTGGCACAGTTCGAGAGGAGCAGGGAGGAGCGAGAGGAGGAGAAAAAGCTGCGATTCATGCTCGTCCAGCAGATGGATAGGGACCAGACTGAGAGGTACGAGATGTGGCACGCCGCGAAGTTGACCGAAAGCGTCGTCAAGAGGGTAAGCACTTGGGAACCAACAACCCGTTTCCTGCCAATTTTGTCACCATGGGAACAAACACTGATTATGCCTACTACAGATCGTCAATGCTGCTGTCTCGCAATCTGTGCCCGCCAATGTCACAAAAGCCATGCAGTCGGTCGCCAAGGTCTTCGTCGGCGACATCATCGAGGAGTCACGAAGGGTGCAGTCAGAGTGGGTAGACAAGTCGGGCGAGACACAAGCCGAGGAGGGCGTGTCATTTCCTCCATGGCCCTACGAGGAAGAGGAGCACTGGGATGAGCCTGAGGACGGCCGGCCGAGAGCGACACACCCCAAGGTCAAACCCAAGGAGCCGCCCAAGGGTGCTCTACGTCCAGATCACGTGCGCGAGGCATGGAGACGGTACAAGCAAGGAGCCGAGGGCGGTAATGTTGGTGCGCTGGGTTTGTGGCACCTGCAACAGAGCAGTGGTGTCGAGAGGTTTGGTGTGAAGTCCCGTGGCCGTCGCTTGTTCAAGTAATCAGCTTGACAAGGTGGACAGTCACGACCGCTTGCCAACAATTGTGGTGTTTGTTACTTGGTCAAAGCACCAATCACTTAACACGCACATTCACGTCCAGGTTTCCAGTCATACAGTACGACATCGCGCAGTTAGAAGAAGCGCGTTCTCACTTCGCTCCCGGGAAGGTTGCGAGAGTGCGCCTTTTCAGACAGTCTCGGGGAGACGGAGAAAGCAGAGCCAGCAATGATGATACCCAGTCGGAGGCCTGTGAACTCCGAGATAATTCAGCAGTGATTACACCGAACAAATTGAACAGATCACCTGACAACCCGCGGTCCAAGGGATTCCATCTGGTGTTTTGGCTTGAGTGACGAAATATGGCCGGGCCAACCTGATCGCGAACGATCAGCTGCAGATACGAGGCCGAACATGCGCGCGATGTACTCCCAACGGCGGGGACTAATGCGTAGAGGCTGCAGCATCCGCACACACACCGAGATGAGATGGATCGCATAGTGCAAAAGAAGGGAGCATTCGTCATCTCCAGCAACAATGTTCCGTTCCCACCCTCCACTTCGTGGCCACTGCCCCAATTCCCCAGATTCTTGGCGGACCTAGCCGCTCGTGGGGAATCAGACTATGCCTCGGCGAAAAGCTGTCCACATGCCACTGCAAGGGTCGCCGTTCGGCAACGGCCAACTGAGGCTTGAAGGAGTGGTGTCGTGCAATTAGAGTTCCCCGTATCCACCTCTGCTAATCCCTCCCGGGCGGTCCCATGCGAGAGTCCAATTTTATCTGGGTCTGGGGAAGGGTAACATTGCGAAGATCTGAGATCTACCGGGTGAATGGGCTATGGACCAGGGTCGAATTGGCCTTGTTGTCCAGCCCGCCTGCCAGCGTGCTTGCTGCGTGTCACACACGACGATGGTGGCACTCTGCGATACATGGGCGTGTTGGCACGCACGAGTTTTCCTTCTTGGACAAGTCTCGTCACCCGTTTCATTTTATTTATGGCGAATGGCGGCGGGAGGAGGCGGGCAAGACAGGCCCGAATGGGGAAGAGGGCGCCGACTAACACAACTGCGGGGGATCGCCTCTGGGGGGTGCTTGGACGATTCTGACTGGAAGTCTACTGCAGTGCCGTCTACACATGCGGTAAGTGAAGCGTACCGCAGTTTCAAGAATCCCACCCTATCCTGGAATCGAGCACAGCTCTTGCGCGAGGCTGGCCAACACAGCTGCCCGGCCTGTCCTTTCCCCCTCAGCACACATCATCATATGCAGATCCCCGGCCTACCAACAGGATGACCGGGTTAATAGCAAAACCTGCTAAGCCTCTCCTCCTTGTTTCGGCCTCTTCCAGCGCAAGAGTGCAGCGCGCCACAGCGATTGGTGGTTCACACATCCCGATTCCCTGCGCCGGTGCTTTCGACTCACGTTTCTTTGCTTGCTTGCAACGTCGGGCGTCATCTGGAGGCAGGGAAATCTGCGCAAGACTTGGTATCGAATGACATGCTGTCACCCCTTCTCTGAGACTCGCATGAGTTCATCCCTCTGGATGTGCCCTCGGACCATCGCAATTATCGAGCTGTCGACCTATTACCTAACAACGTCACAGCCAGTGGCATCCCCTTGGCTTGTATCCCCGTACCTCAGATCGAGCTCTGGATCCTTCTCTGGCGGTGTTTGGCCCGGCGGGCCCGTGTTGACGATGCAGCCATCGGCCATCTAGCCCGCTCTGGACTGTGCAGTAGTCACCTGTCAGCTCAGGCACGGCTCTACCTGCCCTCCCTCCCGAATGGTGAGGATGGGCTGGAAGCTCGGGGAAATTTGGATTGGCAACCCCCCGTTGCCTCAACTGTAAGGTCCTTGGCTACTTGCAGGCAGTCTCCAAATGTGGACGCTTGCTTCTGAGGGTTTCAAGGATGCCATCTCCAGGAGCCCAGGGTGGCGGAGGTGTAAGTGTGAGACGATGGCTGGCTGGGATGGGCCTTCCGTCATTCCCATCACTCACATCACAGCAATGGACGAGGGTATCGGCCGAGGGAGTGGCACACCCAAAGCTTGTGATGGGCTCTGTTATGTCTATATGAACTGACGTACCCCCCTCCAGCCATTACTCCCCGGCATAAATCTGGAGTCAACCAAAGGGACGAATTCTATTGTCATAAGTTTCTTACCAACCCAGTCTACACAAACCCAACACTCGTTGTCGACGGAAGTCAACCCTTCACATATTCATCATGAAGTACTCACTCACCCTCGCCGCCATGGCCGCAGGCGCATGCGCCACCAACCTCCCGAGGGTCGTCCTCGAGCGTGACCTGGCCACCATCCAGGGTGTGATCGGCGACGTCTCCACCAAGCTGACGGCCCTCAACGACGCGGCCCAGAGCTTCAGCGGCGACGCCGGCGCCCTGACGTCCGCGTCCAGCGACCTGTCCAGCACCATCAAGTCGGGCACCAGCACCGTGCAAGGCACCGACCAGCTGACGCTCACCGACGCCGTGTCGCTGCAGTCGACCGTGCAGGGCCTGCAGTCCAACGCCCAGACGCTCGTCGATAACCTGGCGTCCAAGAAGTCCGCCATCGAGCAGGCCGGCCTCTGCGACACCGTCCTGCAGCAGTCCCAGAGCCTGTCGACCGACTCCCAGTCCCTCATCGACGCCGTCGTCTCAAAGGTGCCCCAGGAGGCCCAGTCCATCGCCCAGAATCTCGTCGCCGGCTTCACCGCCAGCCTCCAGCAGAACCAGGCCAACTTCGCCCAGGGCAACTGCACCAACGCGAGCGGTGGCGGCGGCGGCGGTGGCGGCTCCGCCCCCTCCAGCACCGGCAGCGGTGGCTCCTCGCCGTCCAGCAGCTCCAGGTCTTCTGCAACCGCGACTGCTACTAGCGGCGGTGGCTCCTCCGGCGGCGGCGGCAACGCTACCCACACTGGCAGCGGCGGCGCTTCCCCGACCACGTCTAGCCCGACCCAGTTCACCGGTGCGGCCGTCGCGAACGGCGTCCCCATGGCCGGTCTCCTCGGTCTCCTCGCTTTCCTCTTCTAAGCGACGAGCTACCGTTTGGGGTGTATGTCATGGGAAGTTGAGAAGGGGAGGAGAGATGGTCTGTGTAGGTTAGCAGAGGCATTGTTGGTGATTGGATGTTGGGGGCGGTCTGGCACTGCATCGGTGTGAGAGACAGAGAGAGAAAGGGCACTTTTTAACTTCACAAGTGTTTCTAATCGTCGGTTGACCAGGGTTGCTCTAATGGGATCACTTGCGGCTCTTGGGCGCCGTCTTTTTATTTTGTGAAAACGTAAATACCGAGAATACACATACACACACCAAAATGATTCTTACTGCAGAACATCAACGCAGATCGCCATTGCGCGGTGCTCAACTTGCGCGTTCATGCGAGTGGCCGTGATGACTTGACCGAAAATGGATGCCGAGGGGTGGGCTGGTGAGTGAGATTGTCGAAACACTTCCTGCAGGGTCTCGCGACAGTACTGTATCCGGCACTTGGCGCATTATGCCTCCCAATGCTACGAAGGGTAAGAGGCCTACTGGGGTGTTGTTAATTCTAGACCTTGTGAGCCACAGTGCTGTCCTTTGAGACTCAATGTGCTGGCGTGCTTTCTATGCAACCGTAGCTCTACAGGAGACTGGCATTAGCTCAAAACTTTCTTTTATGGAAGCCATCTGACACACTGGCAGTGGTGGAAGTCTAATTCGTTAAAGCTACTTGCGCCCGCATTGCCAACTCGTGCAAGCCTGCCAAGGTGGCTGGTTTCTACCAGGTTTACATAGCTTCCTATATCCTTGGCATTGAACGACAGCTCACCTCAGCCTGTTTTTGACGGAATGTTGTCTTTCTATGAAGGCAGGTTCTGAGCTGAAATCGTCACATTTTAGAACCCGGCCATGAGCTGGCTCCTACAGTATCTATGAGAATCAAGCAAGACACCTGGCTCAAATCATGATTTGCGCAAGCCAACATCAAATGCTGGACGAGATAAAATACTGATGACTAATTCGACGATAGAAAGAAATCTGCCCGCCAGTCGGACATCAATCGCATCAAGAACAATAACACTTAAAGCCCAAGACAAGCCCTCCCTGCGCTCAGGACAAGCCTCCTGTCTTCTGACGATTATTCAAGTTCGTGCACATTGCTGCACCTGGGCGACCCAACGGCTTCCCAACGTCATTGTAACGCCCGCGCCACCCCAATGCTGAGGCGGCGTAGGACTCTATCCCACAGGAGGTTTATCCCCCATGATGTTGTCCCGTAAGAAGCTATCCCACAGGGGGTGGAGGATTGTCCCACAGGAATTTATCCTACAGAAGACTAGTGTCATCTAGGGTCGGTGGTAGCTGTGTTCAAAGTTAGAGATTAGTCATTCTGGGCCAAGATTCATGAACAACTACTTACACATGCTGACACGAGACTGTGCCTGCTTCCATCTCGCGTCTGTCTCGCGCCCAAGGAAGGGCTGGGAGGCATCCGGACCGTGGTACTCCTCAACGTTCGACCGCGGCACGGGGTTGTATTTCCTTGCGCGCCTCTTGCAACATAGCCTGCAGTAGTTGAACAACGTTAGCCAAGAATCTCACGTCCAGAGGGATGCGGCAGCACGTACCAAATGCCAGCGATGACACAGACAATGAACGCGCCGCCCAGGCCAGCAGACAGCCCGATGACGAGCCTCTTGAAGTCCTCGGACATTCCATTGTACTCGTCCTTGGCATCATCAATAACACCCGAGATCCCATCCCCGATACTTGAGCCGTCAGTCTCGACGGGAGGCACAAAGGAGACGGGGCTGCCGCTCGAGCCCTTGAGCTTCTGGACGGCCTCGCCGAAGGCAGAAACGGCGGCGACTGCGGCGGTCGTCGCCGTGGCAGGGAAGACCGGAGCCTCCCCCTCGGCCACCGACACGATCGCCGTAGAGGTCGTGGTCACTTGGACCGTGGTCTGCAGGGAGGCCGGGCAGTTCCTCAGCCCCGCCTGTTGGCAGACGATGTTGGTGATCGTGACGACGCTGGTGGCTTCGGTCGGGGTCAGGTCGGCGCGCTCGGCCAGCAGAGCCGGTGCTGTTTGCCTCGCCTCAACGGACGAGGTTGCAGAAGCCGGGTCGATAGCGCAGGCAGAATACAGCGTGGTGTAGTAAATCTGGATGCTCGTGTTGGGCGTGGGGCCCCATTTCTCGTCTCTGAACTGGACGAAAGCCCCCGCCAGGGCGCCGAGGCCGAACTCGTAGGACTCGACCACTGGCATGAGGCAGTCGTCGTCCCTGGTGGCCAGTTCCAGGGCCTCTGGCGTGGTGATGTTCGTGGTGAACCGCGCAAGGTCGGCGTACACCGTTGCCGACGACCCGGCGGCCAGCTTGATGAAGTCTTTGCCGAGGTCTTGAGACATGTTCAGGCCGGCGGTGACGCCGAGGCGGAGGGTCGCGTCGAGCACGATACCGCTTGAGCCTACTGTCACTGGGAGGAACTCAAATGAACCGCCCGTACTGTGAGGACGTTAGTGATTTCGTGGCGGGAATGCATGTTGCGGAGGGGAAGACTCACAGTGTGATGCCCGAGACATCACTGCCAAACATGGCGATTTGCATTGCCAGACCGTCGTCAAATTTGACGTGCACACCTGTGCTGATACTTGCCTCTGTGCTCAACGTCAAAAGCAGTTCCAGAGTTATGACAACGCCAACCAATTGATCCCCAATTTTTATTCCGGCTGGTTGGAACCACTCTGGAGGATACAAGTTGACCTTGTAGGTCTGGTCTGCGTCCAAGGTGGCCTCGAGCTCCAGGTAAAGCTCCAGGTCATCAAATTCGAGGCTCAGTGTTGTTTCCGGGATGTTGGTCAGGTTCATCTCAAAATCCACGTCGAGGGTGGGGAGGGCGTAGGCACTCCAGTCAATATCGAGCTCATCGAAATCGCCGGTCTGGAAGAATGAGACGACGTTGTCTCCGACTGTGTCGGTGACGTTATCGGCAACGTAATGAGACCAATTCTTGAACTGGTCCCAGACCTCGATGCTGATATTCTTGACCTCGGGCCAGAATTGATCGTGAAACTCCGTCAGGGCCTGGGTGAAGTTGAAATCGCCGTCGACAACCAGGCTTGCGTACGCTGTGCCCTTGACGTAGCAGCTGACGCATGATATAGACAGAGATTTACTTCGTAGTTGAGAAGAGGAGTCAGCGCGTGAGGTCGATATAAAAAAGGGCGTCACACCTCCCCCTTCCCGGCCCCCAAACAAAAAAATAGAAAAAGGAAAACAAAAGGAAACTCACTAGCTGAAGAAAGTCGCGTCGTTCCACATCAAATCCAGAGACCCATTGGTCTTGTAGAGTTGAGTGTCCGAATCACGCTGCTTGAGACCCGCCGTTACCAGATCTCTTTGCAAGCCTTGCAGAGCCTCATTTCCAATGGGTGCCACGTCGCGACGGGTCTCGAGAACTTGAACCGGAGCCGAGGGACTCTGAGGACTCCCTACGGCGAATTCAAGAGCGAGTGCCACAACTGCGGTAGAACTCCAGCGACAGAGCATCTTGAAAATAGTTTCGACTGATGGCTGTTGTCACCTGGAAGTAGAGCAGAGACCCGTCGAGGTCCAGACAACAAAGTCAGGCTGATGAGGACGACGAGCCATGGCGACGCTGAGGAGCTGGTATGGGAGATATTATACCGACCCACCGGAAGATTAAAGGGCCTCAAGGATGCAGTGGGCATAAGACCCGAGATGCACGTTGGGAGGGCTGTACGCATGTGCGAGGCGCGGGTGGGCGCGGGCTGGGTCCGAGGTGGTGTGCTGCGGCGTAGAATATGCAGTTGGTTCTAAAATGTCAACACATACAATCCTATTGTCACATCCGACCATGGTTCCATCCCAGCCCGTGTGCTTCAGCCGCACTGGATTTTGACTGTTGGTTGTCGCGTGCACCTTGTCCCCCAACGCGTGAAAAGTGATGGCATTATTGTCAAATGCCTTCCGAGGCGCACCGGATTTCGGATATCTCTTGAGGTCTTTGCGACAGACGGCCGAAGCTGCAGTATTTCAACCTTCACACGCTTGTATTGAGACAGGTCAGTGAGGTTCTCGATAAACTCCTCCCCTGCTGACTCTCTGTTAGGAACAACCCGGTATGTGCCAGCCTATTGTGACGTGTAATTGCATCATCTGCAGAAATGCACCTCACATAGCTCCTGGCAGTCTTGGCCAACTGTGACCTACATTTAGGATTCCCAGGGCTGCTGAAGCTGAAAGATCAAGTAGAGTTTGTGAGTGATCATCCCAGGGATTTTGCCCTTTTTATCTCAGCAACGTGCCAACGGAAATGTCTGCAAGGGTGTTAACTTCGTTCGTGACTCACGCCACCGGTCCCTTCTGAGCCAAGAAAATGGGAATTCTGTTGGTTTTTGCTGTGCCTTGCAGCCTGCTGAAATACGTGGCTGCTAGGTATCAGTCTGGAGCACGAGCTAGTGTGGGAGACCCTTCGCCTCACCCAATTTAGATCATCCTGGAATGAGAGCCGTGTGTCTTGTTTATTTTGACTGGTCAACTACCAGCATCACTCAGTCGCAGCAACCTCCCCTGTCCTGTGATAAGCCGTCCTCGGCCAGCCTCTTCTAGTATAACCTCTTCTGGATCACCCTCCTCTGGGGTACCCTCTTCTGGGATAAGCCTGGGAAGACTTCCTCTGGGCACCCTTCCGTGTGATAATCTCTAGTGGGATAACCTCCTCTTTCCTCGAGGATAGCCGAGCCCCCGCAAGGACCATCCCCTTTAGGACAACCTCATGTGTGTCTTTCTCTGGATGCTCTCATCTTGTACAGGTCTCTGTGGGAAAAAGAAAGAAAGCACAAGCGGCCTCGTACTTTGGTCTCGAGTCCCGGCGCAACTCCATGAAGCACTTGTTACATTTTTACACAGCCTGCGAAACCCAGAAACAGACTCGTGATATTTCAACCGGGAGAGTCAAGGAGACAGTGCCGCCGGAATTCGCAAAAACAGGCAACCATCGAGTCTCTTTTCGGAGGTTTCAGGACGTGTCTGCACTCTTATTTGAAGGGCAATGCTGTCCCTACCCGTCACTGCTTTTTCATGTCCTTCTCCACCCAGTGCATATCACCCCTGTTCGGCTTGCCATCCTCGCCATGGTGAGCTACGACACCCTTGAACCGTTTGTTCTGGTTGGTGATTCCTCGAATGTGGCCGGGGTTTTCCCTGGGCTTCTTTTGATAATTGCAGGTTTGGTTGTCCGAGAACACTGGATACTCGTACAGGGAAGTGGTGCTGCTCGGGGCGCTATCGGTTCTGACCAGCTGCGAGATCTGCGTCTCTCCAGGCTCGTTGTAGAATTTGTGTGGATAGCCGGACTTTCCAGTGTCTCGCGGGCTTGGTGCGTTGGCTAGCTGTCTGGCGATGGCCTTTACTCCGACTCGGTTGCCTGACTCCTTGCTCACTAACTTGGTCTTCGCTTGGTAGTACTGTGTTCATGAGATTTCAATGAGAATCGCAATCGAAATATAAGGAAGAAACGAGGGTGCTGTTTGTCCAGGGGAGCTTGTGACCACTGATGTACATCGTACTTACCTCTTCATTAGGGTCAGGCACCTCGTTGTTCTTGTACGGATTTGAGGAGAGCTTCTGCTGGCATGTCTTCTTGGGAGGTGCCATTCTGAACATTCAGGTCATTTGCTGTGACAGCTTCTCAAAAAGCAGTGAGCGAGTGTAAGGCAGGTATTAGGCTGCTGTTGCAGTTCGAAAAGACCCATTTTGAGACATGGACACTGACTGCACAACCACTTACTGGTGAATCAACTTCCAGTGAATGAGAAGACCGTTTGTCTGTCATTGATGAGAGGCCGCAAAACGTCTACCTGAGTTAACCAGCAAACGGAATTCATCCCAGTGATTCATACCTGATAGCAGTTGCGATTATGGGTCTTTCCAAGTGAAAGTAACCTGAGCAAGTGCCCACTCACAAACGGACCCTTCGACTTCGACCCAACTCAAAACGCCTGCGACCTGCCTCGACCAGCAAAATTCTGGTTCTTGCTTCTACAACTCTCCCACAGTTGCCAATGTCTTGAGAATCGACGACACCAGCAACATCCTCTAGCCCCGAATTGTGGTGCATTCATTTGAGAACAACTACCCATCAAAAAGTCCTTGTCACTGTCAACTACCCGCCAGACATCATGGGCCTCTCACTTTCTACAAACCGACGCCCTCTCAAGAAGCACCCTCTAAACTTCACCATCGACACCCTTCACAACGATGACGACCCATGGCCTATCGAGTGGATGATGTTCAACATCCTTAATGATTACCTGCAGCCTGACAGCAAACTCTCTGACAACGAAGCTGCGCGATGCCTTGATGCCATCATGCCCGAGAATCGACCTGATCAGCTCAACGAAAAGAAGGAGCCTGCTGACGACTGGATGCTCGAGCTCTCCGACCTCATCTGGGACATCGCCCAGCAAATTCCCTGCGACCATGAGGGCCAGGACAAGCTCGTCCAGCTTCTTCATGCGCTGAAGCGACTCCCTATCACCCAGACGATTGAGAACTACCAAGGAGAGCAACTGCCCGCATGGAACGGATTCAGTCACTGGGATGACAGCATGCGCCACGCCCACGGCTACCCTGAGAAGAGAAGGGAGCCCAACAAACAAACATGCGACCAGTACGTCAACGCCTCCGCCTTCGCTGCACGAGTCCACGCGGCAGGGATGCAGTCTCCTCTCCAATCCCGTGCCTTTGTCACCATCGGGATCGCCGTCGAGGGGGTCATCCCCGACGATGAGCTTCTACCTTGTCACGTCATCGCCGGCGCTCAGTGGATTGTCCTGGCAACTGAGTGGCTGTGGGGCCTCATCCGATGGGGAATGGTCGACTACCACAAGCTCAGAGAGGACGGAAGTAAGTACTTAGCATTTCCGCCTGCGCGATGGGTGCGATGGCTACACGGATTCCAGGAGGCGGCGGCCACTGGCGAGGGAGATGAGGTCAAGTACTGGGCTGGTCTGGCAGTCGCAAAGATGGAGGGGATGATACGCAGTCAAGGATTCACTGATGAGATGATGGAGAACTGGGATCCAGAGAAGCGATCGCTGCGGGCTGACATATGGACGGATGAGAAGTATGCGCACCTGTTCAAGGTTCCGGAGAAGGACTAAGGACTTTGGTATCGGGAAACATTTTGATTTGTGCCTGGGGCAGCCAGAATTATGCGACCAGAGCAGCTTGACGGATATGAGAACATCACTCCTGGCTTCCAAGTGACAATGAGGGCACGTATGCGCAGCGGTATCTAATCCCTTTCCACCACTCCGTGATGAATATTGTGTTGTGTGAGCTCGTTGCGCCAGGAGCGCATGATGAATGGATACTGTTTGCCCCACTGGCACTGGTCTTGGTACGGCATCAACAAAGCTATGTTCCTCAGAATTATTCAAGACCATACTCATTCTTGATCATATCGGCGAGCTTTTACCGAAGATGTCAGCGCGTTTTCTAAAAACACCGATGGAAAGGGCAAGACTCTTACCATCTCCGCCGAAGCGTACACCGTCGCACTCGGGGCCCCATTGAGCGGCATGGGCCAGAAGCTGATATCTGCAACTCGCAGGCCCTCGACCCCGTACACCTTCAGCTGATCATCAACAACACCCCCAAGATCCTTCAGCATCATCGCCGCAGTGCAACACTCGTGTCCATTAGAAGGATTAAAAGTCTGTCGAACAGCCTCCTTGATCTCATCATCTGTCTGCACCCCTGGGCCCAAACGGAGCCACCTCTGTCGGCCCCAGCACCCTCATCGACGGCGCGTCCATGATTTCCCGTGCCTTTTGTACAAGAGCCACGGCCATGTCTAGGTCAGTCGGGTCGGTGGCCGCGCGGAAGTCGACGAGGGGGTTCGCCAGGGGGTCTGTCGAGTTGATGTTGACTGTGCCGCGGCTGAAGGGCTTGAAGAGGTACAGCGTGCCGGTGTCCGCGGTTCCCCAGTGCAGACCACCGATGGAGACGTCGTTTTCGAGCTGGTCGAGCATGATCTCTCGCTGCCTTGTGTATCCTGCGACCACGGTGGGGTCTGTGTCTGGTGGTAGAAAAGCACTGGGGCTCCCAATGTTGCGAGCGGTTTCGATGATGTCAGCATAGTCTGAAGTCAAGTTTTGCAACGGGAGAGATATGAAATTTGTGCTAAGTGTTCGTGTGATTGTGTACGGGCCCTGGCGGGAAGCGTTGTAGAGGGCAAACTGCTCGGCGTCGTAAGTAGCATTTCCGAGCAGGCTTTTCCAGTTCGGCTTCACGTTGTTGCTGACTATCAAGCTGTCAGCCTTACGGATCTCAACATCAGACAATCATTGGATACTTACAGTTGTACGACATCGTGATGGTGGGCTGATCCTGGAAATTCTGTCCTACTCCAGGCAGGTGGGAAATGACATCAATGCCAAAGCTGGCCAGCAGAGACTGGGGTCCAACTCCAGAGAGCTGAAGAATCTGTGGTGTATGAAGGCCTCCTGCCGCCAGTATCACCTCCTTCGATGCGCGAACAGTCGTGGAGTTTCCTCCCGTCGTGGGTAAGAAGTCGATGCCAGTGGTTTTCTTGCCTTCAAAGAGAACTTTGGCAACGGTAGTATCTGGAAGGAGGTGGTAGTTGGGTCTTGAAGAAATTACTCGGTCGTAATGGTTGATTCGAGCGTGATTCCGGTGTCTCGTCTCGGCGTCCTCCGAAAGGCGAAGCCAAAAGATGCCTTTGACGTTGCCAGCATTGGGATCGGGGCATGGGGTGACTCCAGTATATTCTGCCGCCGTCCACCAGTTCCCTAGACGGTATCAGAAACCCATTCGACATGCATGGAACAAAATCAAATTTGTTTGGGCATTCTTACCACTGCCAGGGAAGAAGTAATTCGGATACGTGTTTTGAACAGGACCTTCGAAACCATGAACAGAGTCAATCCAAGAGATATTTCCCGCAGCTGCGAATGCCGCATCGGGTGCAGTGAAGTTCTCGCTCTACATCATCTAGTGGGTCAATACCATATGGCTGTCTTGCAGTGGATGACAGACCTTCTTGAAATATGGGAGCAGGCTGTCCCACGACCAACCCTCGTTGCCCAAAGCGGTCCACCCTTCATAATCTTCAACATCACCTCGCAAGAAGATCATTGCATTGATAGTACTCCCGCCCCCTACAACACGCGCACATGTTGCGAGGCGGACGCTATTATTCAGCTCTGTCTGAGGCACCGAGACCATCGGCCAGAAATACGTGGCTGGGTTGTAAGCTCCTGGCACAAGGACGGCGTTCTCTCCGCCATCCAGTGGGCCGGCTTCGACCACCAGGACGGACACTAGGAGTGTCGAATAAGCTTCTAGTCGACGCAAAGGCTCGGTCACGAGTTCTTCTGGATTACTAATACCGTCTGGGTTCTCTGTCAAGCGATCTGCAAGCGTGAGACCTGCGATTCCGCCTCCGGCGATGATAAAATCATAGCTCTTGGTGGCATTGGCCAGCTCTCGAGAGATCACTGTTGCGTGGTGGGGGAATGCCTGCGCCTGCAAGACGAATCGCCTGACACAAGCGATTAACGCAAAAAGATGGAAACTGAACTTGAACGATGGTGTCATTTTGGCGACTTGTCGCAGTTGATCCAAGATGCGTGATCCAAAGAGGTGGATTGAATCATGGGCAGAATGTCGTGGATATGGAGCATCGTAAGATGACAGAAGCCAATGCGACTCTAATAAGCTAGTCCTGCTTATTTGTTTACGCGATGCAAGCTTCTTGCATATCGAGCTATCCCATTCAAGGACGAGCTCCGAGGCTTGAAGTGGACCGTAAGCTGATGCAGCAAGCCTCGGAGACGCGGCCGGACGTTAGGCTGTTGTCGAACCAGTGTGACAAGCTTTGCATACTGAGAAGCACTACTTAAACATACTAGTCCTTGCTCTTCAATGTAGACTGAATAAGGTCGCCGGTGGTCAGACATCATAAGGAGCTATTCTCTTTTCAGACTGCGATTTCCTCGAAGTTGTTCGAGCGGTGCATGCACGTGGGGTCAGGGTGGTTTCTTCACAAGATTTTCAGGGTTGAGACCATTCCCAACCAAAACACCGCAGGGCTTATAGTCTCATTGATTATTCAATTTCATGAAAGAAAGGGTAGTTGATACGGCATGCCTTAATTCTATCGCCTGACGATAATCCAATATACATCGTTCGAATCGCAAATCGTTAAATGCGTTGACAGAAGTGGACAGTGTGCTATTGTCTTTGTTAGGTGGCTTGAAATACTGATATGACCACACAATGGACATTGTGGGACATCCCAAACTTCTTAATCTCTCAGGGGGGAGTTACGTTTCATGTGTCAAAACTGTAGCAAGAACGAAGCCAATGAAGCTTGGCGATGAGAAGTAGAAGAGTTGTGATGCTGTCTTCAATTATCTGTGGATATAAAATGTAAGATCCAATAGAATCAAAGTAAACATTCCCTCCTCCAAGCCAGTTCAAAGTGCTCATGGACACAAATTGGTCCTCATTTGAGCAAAATATTGTTTGAATGTAGCTAAAGGCTCGAGCCGCCTTCTTGCCAGAAGCCTAATAAATTCAATACCGAGAAAGAAGCCAATAACCCTTGCCTTAGTTTCCCTTAGCCGGAAATTTGAGTGAGCCATAGACAGTCCTCCGTCTCTCACGCATGAGATTCGGATCATCCCATCTCCTTTGCAGCATTTGCTTTCTTGACCTCCTCCGATTCTGTATAGTCCCCTGCATAGCCCTCCTCTCGCTCGCGTTCCGCGCAGGGTACATCTGGGAGTCACGCTCCCGGTATTCATCCCCTGGGATAACCCTGACGAACGTGCACAGCAGCTTACATTTGCGCATGAGGAAACTTTTATCGCTCAAGCCCTTTCTCCACGCCTCGGGAATCGCGTCATAACCAAGGTAGGCGCCGAGCAGGGCGCCCGCGAAGGCAGCGTTGGCCTGCGCCGCGCCGCCCTCTTTAATAAGGGCATCGATGAGTTCTGCGAACAGGACCTTCCGCGTGTCCTCGCGCTGCCGGCCAGAAAGACTTTCGAGGCGGGTCATGACGGTGCGGAGGCAATAAACTCCCGCGCCCAGGCACTTCCATACATCTCCTCGGTCTTGGCCGCTGTCGAGCTGCAGGTCTTGCAGTGACTTGGCAGTCAGGAGGCGGCTGAGCTCAGCGCTATTACTGACTGCAAAATATGCCCCACGGTCGTCGCCAGGGTTGTCGACATTCCGTGCCCAAAAGTCTATGTGCCTTTTGCATCTCTGGATGAGCGGGTTGATCTGCTGCTCTGTCTGCACCTCTTGGCGTAGTAGTCCACGAAGGAGCGCAATCGCGATCACGACAGAGACGTTGCAACGCGAGTCCACGTGAGTGACTCTGCAGTTGTCAGCTGCATTACTCATGGTCCAATTCAGGTTATGTTCAATGGCAACTGTTGAGGTTCCATGTCAGCCCCCGAGGTTTGTGCAAACACGATTATTGGATCCCGCCCGGACAAGGCACAATTATCTGGAGTCTAAGACAACTGGGAAAAGATTGCTTACCGGCCGCTACAGGGTGAATTCTTATAAGCGGAGCATTCGATCCGTTCCTGTCCCTGATGCCGCGCTCCTTGGCCCTCCACCGTTGCAGCGCAGCCCCTGTGGTGTCGGATATATAATTGGCGGATTCCACGATATCCTTTGTCGGCTGTCCCAAGTCCAGAGGCAACAGACCATAAGCTCTGTTTCCATCGCGCGACAACTGACGTAGCCGCCTGGGGAGCCGGCCGGGGTTGGGATCGTGCACGTAACTGAAAAGAGAGCAGAGCGCCATCTCGGTGACCTCCGACCAGTCTCCATCCTATACCCACTCAGGTCAGCTATTGAGAACCGCATGAGCGATGTTTGCGGAGGGAGTTCTGGACGGGCGGTCCTTCCGCAGCGAGCTATCTCACAAGCAAAGGCCGCGGTGAGAAGTCTCAGCCGGCCCCCGACGTATCATGCGCTGTGCTTCCGCCATTGCGAGCCAGAAACTACTTACTTGGTACTTCGCCCGGTGATCATCGGGATAATGGACCGTGAGCTCGTTGGCCTTGTAGCTTGCCAGGATCCTGGGACGCCCATACACAGTCTCGACCTCGGCCTTGGTGAGACCATCAGTGTATATCCCCGCGGCATCTGCCACGGCCGACCCAACCATCATCCCCACGATACGATTCTCCCCATCGTTGACAGCTGCACTGGCAGTGGGATCTTCAGCCATTTTTCGCAGTTGGTAGGAGCGGTTGCGCCTGCTGTTTGATTCCGAGATCCCAGTTGTGGCGTGTGTTCTGTCTCAGATGGACCGGTATCTTGCTGGCGTATTCAAAATTTGACGGAATCGGATCGAGGCTTGAAATGGGAAAGATCGGGCTTTGTTTCAGACACTACTAGTACGCCAGCGTGTTTGTCTGTCAGTAACATGCACATGCAATTCAGGAAAACAACAAGTGGCGAGCGTCCGGATCTGCAGAAGTCGTGTCCTAGCACTTGGCATTGCTTTGAGGTCGAACAAAGCAATGGGTTCAAATACGCCGGAATCGGGACTCATATAACAATTCTTGGTGAATGAAGTAAGATAGACCAAGAATTTACATTTGACGGCTAGACGCACGGGCTGGCGGCGGCAAATGCACCTCGTGGAACCTGCAGATAAAATGTCCCAAAGTGGCTGCAATCCCTTCTCTGATAGACTCGTACCAGTCAAGAGTCTTTCCCTGTATATTCATATGCAGTCAAATTAGATACAAGCAGATTGTTTGACCCGCGTCCCTGCATAGCATCTAAGCCGCCTAGATTGACTTCAAGCAGTGAACGGACCCTATGAATCTCCCAACATTTCATCCTTAATCCGCCTTGCTGTATGTGTCCCCCATATATGGTGACCTAGTAAAAATTGTTCCCATAAGCAGCACGTTTGATTTCATATCGAAATTGCATCCCCGCTCGGTTGTTACCACCACGGCGACCTGTCAGTTTCCTTCACTCCAGGCACTTGAAATGCTCGTCGGTATCGCAATAGTGATTCATCAGCTCGATGGTGGCTGAGGGAGGTACGGACTTGTCCGTGATGCATCATCTAAATCCGGCGTGGCCCTTCCGTGGATTTCTGTTGCTATTATGGGCTGACACGGTCCAAGAGTAGAGGGCCACACAAAGGCAGCGAGCAGAACTCGAGGAATTCTCATGATCAAGTAGGTGGTATAATGAGCGTCTGTGCGCGGCTTCGTTGTCGAAAGATGCAGTTTTCTTTTTCACCCAAAGGAGTAATGTGTTGTACAAGAGATGTCCTGGAATTGAATTTTCAACGAGAGACGTGGCTGATTTTAAATATTTTGGTGGTTATCTACGACTTGATGAACTCAATTGTCGCCTGTGGTATGAGGTTTCGCTTTGCATTACTCGGTCCCCAGACAGCAAACAAGCTCCGTGTCAACCCAGAAGGTTCACATGTATCAAATCAACTTCCTGCCAAGTTCAGCTGACGCTCGGGCAGCCCGAGCGACTGATTAAGCCCAGCCCTGTTCCTTAGAACTTGCTGGTCTCCATAGTCCCACATTTGAACATATACAGTGGTGCCGAAGCTGCAGTGGTCCTTCATACTATATTACAAGTCTTCGAAGGGAGTTCGGACAAGTGGCAACCTTCTCAATCGCTTTGAGATGCCAAGATACCAGGGTTTCAAGCATCTTTGCGCACGTTAGTCGGACTGACCAGTACGAAGAAGCTTCCTGGGGGCCCACAGTTTCAGGTCAAAACTTATAACATTTACGATGAAGTATTTCGGGCGATCTGGGCGCTCATCTCCTCTGGAGTAAGGCTTCAGCTGAAGAAGGCAACCGTTCATATTTATATCCTTTAGATGCAAATACGAGCAAGCCGAATAGGGCACTTTGTTCACAACTTTTTAGAATCAAGGTTATTATGATCTGGACATGCTGATGTTTTTAAAGATGGCGACAGTCTTTCACTCAACCTTCAAAGCCCGAAAGAGTGGTCTTTTTGCAATAAATAGGTTCTCAGGAATTTACAGGCCATCCCCGGATTTCCTGGATATGGATCAGCACCATTCTACAAGTCTTGGTTGATACTAAACTTCATGCATCTGATATTAAGTATTCAAATTATCAAAGATAGAATGCTAGGCTCTGGCTTCTCAACAACGTCGGTTGCAACATGGCGTCCCTTCCTCTTGACAGTGAAATCACGGAATGGATTCAAATAGTGAGCTAAAGATGTCTGGTCCGTGATCATTCAGCCACAATCATCTATCACACCCGATCAGCCGCGAGCTGGGCACATGATCCAGCAGCCTTCGGCTCTTCTTTGTCTGGAAGACTGGACGTGCTCACACTTCTGCGTGCTGCAGCAGGCATCGCGTCCAGCTCGGCCTCCAGAGGTTCACGGTTGGCAACGAACGGGGCGCCTTGTCCAGGGATGTAGTACATCGTTTTCGGGACGCCCTTCGACAGTCTGCGCTGGTGGACCTCGATGCAGCTGCGGACGAAAAGGACGGAGTGGAGGATCCTGTCAAAACACGGCGTGTCAGTCGTGGAAGCCAAGATTTCTCAGGGCCATGGTCAACTTACATCAAGGCCACCACAAAGATGATGATGAAAGCCTCGACGACGAAATTGCGGGGCCTCTTGCGAGAATTTGCCATTTCATCGCCGTACATTACCGCGGCAAACAGATAAGCTGGCGGGAAGAGGGTGTCGAGAACTAGGTGCGCAATCGGGTGGATGCCGCGTTTCTTGGCCCTTCGAATGGCGAGGGCGATAAATTCTGTGACAGTCCAGGCGACATCGGCTATCACGATCGGCCCCAGGCCTATTGCATATATGATTGACAGGAAGCATAGGCCATAGGAGAGGGCACAAAGGCAAATAATTAGAATACGAATTATGATCTTTGCATGGTGCCATCGCTGACTGTAAGGGACGAGGCGGGCGGCCGCCGTTTCGTTCGGGGATTCGTAGTTTTGAGACATTGTTTTCGATTAATTTCGATTTACACCTCGACTTATCGAGGAATTGACTTCGGTTCGAATGCGTTTTATATATAAGAAAAGGGAGATGCTTTTTTGGCTGACAAGCTCCGATGTTCCAAGCTGCACGGCCAACTCAGGCTCTGGTATCCGGCCGCATAATCAGGCAGCACAATTCTTTTCGGGCGCAGACACCGCTGATCATGCTGCGGTCCTACCACCATTGCCATAGTGTGAGGCACACTTGAGTCGTACAGGTCGAGCACCTCCTCACTAGAACGGCTTCGCCTCGTGACCCCTTTTTTCTGGGGCCTTGGTGCATGCTGGCAATCCTTCCGAGGTCAGAACCCGAGACCATGCACCCAATTGGCCAACACGAGTCTTGACAGCTTGGTGTTGACTTATGGGCTCGGAGTGTCCACAGCCTAATATTCGCGCGTCAGCTGTCATATTTCCAGTCTTGTATACCGGCGCTTGATGGAAGAGACACAATATGACACTATGATCCACCACAAGGACTGGAAGCCTTTCAAGAAAATCCCGTGGAAAATTCCGCGGTCGCGAATCACAACTACTACTTCACAGTTGTGTGGCAATACTGCTGTATCCCGTGGAAGATAATTTTACCTGGTGCCTTGCCGTGCTTAAAAAAAAAAGCAACTGAGGGTCCGCCTTTCCGTAATTCAACAACATGCCTGGAACGAACGGTCCTGAGCGAGTCTTATGCCCTTTACGGGTTTGCCACCGGGCCGGGTAAAGAGATGGAAGGTAATGATTTGCAAGGCACTGCCTGCAGGCTTAATCAAACATGATTTTCAAATTTCAAGTTGCCGAGACACGAATGCCACATGCCACATGGAGGAAGATCGCTCATAATACGAACTTCTACTCCATCGCTGGCCCCAACCCTGTTAAAAGGAAGGCGGGACGATTGGAAGTATTTGGGTCACATTCAGCGAGTCTGGGAGTCAGATCGTCCTGGAGATAATTGCTTGTGCGACGGTTGGCCTCCCTTGTTGATCTTGCCTCAACATCTATCAGACCTCAACTGGTGGATGTCTGCCTCCCACGCAGTCACGGTGCAGGTCTACTGGGAGCTCACGAGGAGCAACAGAGCGGCCCTGACGGCATACAAGTCTATTGAAATGGAAAAATACAACCAATCAAGATACGTGAAATTTGCAGGGGTTTCTGCTCTTCTGGCAGCGAATGCTTTCAAAGTCGAGGATTCAAGAATCTGAACGCAGACTCATTACGTCTGGCTTCACAGTACTTTGCTCAGAGCTGTATTATATATAGGTGACCTTTTGTTTCCGAGATATCATTTCCTGGGGCTGGGAGACATATTCCTGTACTCTTTTTTTTTTTAATGCTCGATGCTCGTATTTAGGGGCTCGATATGACCTCTCAAAACATCCACCAGAGCATCATGGTCTGACGTTTAGGCAGCCACTTTCGAGGCAGCAGAAGCGGACATGATCTCCGTCTCGCAGCACCGGATGTCCGCATTGCACGTCACACTACCACCTCGGAGCTCAGTTCAGGATCAAATTTAGGGATCAATTTTGTCCTGCCACGCTAATCCTGCAGACCACGGCGTCCTCATGCGATGCAGTTAAACCAACAGTTCGGCAGAGAATACCCTGGGCCTGTTTCTGCCTTTGCGCGATCGGGACTAGCCAGAATTTCGACTTCAACGAGCCAGATTTCTGTGCGCCTAGATGGTTTCTTCATCTAGCAGAAAGGACCTTGAAATCAAATGTAAGCGGGTATAGGCTGGAAGGCCCGCATGCTGCAAGAGGGCATTTCTTACTGAGCAGAAGGCCAATGAACTTTCTTCAAACTCTAGATAAGAAAGCTCTTGTTCGACTCTCTTTCTGTTTCGACGATGGATTCCTCAGCTCACAGGCGCCACTTTACCAGCCATCTCGTAGACCGCCTTCTCAAACTCGAGCTCGATATCGACATAAGTCGGGTCACCACTAGGCAACAACGCCGCGCCAAAGAAACCACATAGGCCCTTCTCACGGTCAATAAACCACTTGATATTCGGCGCACCACCCCACATGACCGTCCCCCTACCCCTTCCCCAAGGCTGTCCCTCGACGTCCACGTTCCCGCACAGCGAGTGGTCCATCGTGCCCCTCTTCACCCCGCGGGCGGCGGTGCGCTCGAACGGCGGCGCCGTGTACATGAGCCCGTTGTTGATCGAGGTCCTCTGCTCCGGGGTGAGCTGCGCCCGGAGCATCTCCGCCGCCGCCGCGGGGCCGAGAAGCTTGCCGTCGTCGGCCAACAGGCTCCGCAGGACCTTTATGGGAGCGCCGCCGCGCACAAACCCACCGTGGCCGCCGTAGCAGAAACTCTCGCCCTTTGCCGGCAGCGGCGGGATCCCCTGGTCACCCGGGGTAAACCCGCCGTCCTCGGTGCGCTGCGCCATCGTCGCCACGCGCGCGGAGGCGGGGAGGTCCAGCGGGAAGAAGGTCAGGTCTTCGGGCTCCACGCCCGCGGGCGCGAGGATCTGCTGGAGGTACGCGCTCAGCGTCGTGCCGACTGTCCTCTCGACGGCCAGCCCCGCCCAGTCCAGGCCGCACGAGTACTCCCAGGACGTGCCCGGTTCGGAGATGAGGGGGTAGCCGAACCTGCTGGGGACGTCGCCGCCGGGGGTGGGGTGCTGCATCTTCCATGCTATCGTGTGCGGGTGGTGGAAGAAGTCTAGCATACGTGTTAATCACCTGCTACGGGACCCAAAGTAATACATTCTGGAGCATTGCAAAACATGGCAGACGGGGGAACCGTGAAAGGACAACAACAATGGTGCTTACAGGTGAGACCAGACGTGTGCGAGAGGAGCTGGCGGTAGGTGATCTTGCTCTCCGGGTCCTTGTACTCCCAGGGCGGCTGCTTGTTGGTGAGGATCTTGAGCGCGGCAAGCTCGGGGAGGAGGGCGTCAACTGCGTCATCGAGGCTGAGGCGGCCCTCCTCAACCAGCTTCATGACCGCGATGCTGACATAGATCTTGGTGGATGAGGCTGCCCAGAGGTAGACATCTTCAGTGAGGGGTGGCGAGCCGGGGACGGGGGACGAGGAGCCGAAGGCGCTGTGGTATGAGAGGTCGCCCGTTGCGTCGCTGGCGTAGAGGATCGCGTTGGGGATTTTCTTTGTGTCGACCAGCTCCTGAAGATGTCTTTCGAGATCAGCGGCCATGGCGATGTGATGCACGTGACACACGTGTTAGTCTCCGGTATCCCTTGATGGTGGAGTGTCTGCGCAGATAATTGAGAATGGTTCAGTTCTTGGCTGAACGAGAAGACGATGTGATGAGGCCATCGCCAGGAAATATATAATACCCAAGCTTAGCCTTGCCCTAAAAAAGACATCATGAATCCTCTCGCGGCGAGCCTGATTCGTCACGGCGAAGGTGGTCAGCCCGAAGCCGCCCAAGGAAGCTAGCGGTAGGATTTTCGGCGTGCCAAAACGGGATACAATGCTGCCCTCTTGCCAGGATTACGACCATCCGTATTTATTGTAGAGCGATGAGAAGTCCGAGGATTGTTGCCTACTGCTCAGCAGTGGGCTAGGATATGTTCGCTCGCAGTATCAGCGCTCGAGGATTTACTGGCCAACCCTGATGCGAGCGGGCGAGTTCAGCTCCGAAGTCTGCTTACACTAGCCCGTAACGGCAGATCGCCTTCGCAGCTGTTGAAGTCAAAAGAAGATCGTGGCATCGGCGACAACATTGTCTCACATCGTCTGCGATGGACCAGTTGAGCAGCTCCGATGAAAGAATACGCAACATCTCGTGATAGACAATTGTCGAGCTGAGCGTGAATTTTGAGGGGCATATGCCACAGGGTTGCAGGTGTCAGGTTGTGTGCCAGCCTCGCGCGGAGACGTCCGACGACAACTTCAGCAGTAGAATCACGGGCAGGTTACAGACGCGGCCATATCGGCGGCTGCAAAAGAATAATGAGTAGATAGCCATGCTACGCCTATTGCTATGCCAAAACCAAGTAAATGCAGAACGCCATGCCCAATCCCATGCCATGCTGTGTGTCTCTCGCTGCATGCAGTCTACAGTGTAGGAAACGAGAAAAAGGGTTCTGTGGTCCCAATAAAGACATTAATCCAACGGCTCAAGATGTCCGGCCCTCATCCCAGTCGCTCCACCTCTTGATAGCCTCGTCGACCCTCATGACACCATTCTTAGAGGCATCCACCTCGAACCACTCCTTGTGTTCCCTCCCGCAAGCCTCACACGGGCCCCTAGAGGCGACGCGCAGGCCGAGGCCCTCGAGCTCCATGTGGATCAGCTTCTCGACCTTGTGGCTGTGCGGCATCTTCCTGGGCTCCACGACGGAGCCGGTCTGGACGTAGGGGTAGTAGCGGATGAGCGACAGGTCGTAGCCGCACTGCCGCTTCCACTCGTTCATGCGCCGCTGGACGTTGTTGGCGCGCCCGATCTTGAGCAGCAGCGTCTTCTTGTCGTCGCCGCTGCTGAGCCCGCGGCTGCGGGTCGTCGTGGGGCTGCGCGTGCCGATCGAGTCGGCCTGGTCCGCGAAGGAGCGGAGGATGTCGCTAGGTCTCCGCTCGTGGCCGGTGGGACGCGCCGGGACGGATGGGTCCAGAATCGAGCGGGTGTTTGTCTCCGTGTCGGGCAGCGCGCGGGCAGTCTCGTCGAGGAAAGAACGGGCCTTCTGCGTGGGAGGCGAGGAGAGCTCCGACTCGGGTTGCAGCCAGAAGATGTAGATGTAGCCCGCTTCGTCTCTCTGGGACAGAGGCTTGGCAAGCTCGCCCATCAACTGAGACGCCGTCTGTGGTGGGGCATCTTGTGGGATGAGCGAAAGGTATTGCGAAGTCTGAGAACCACCTGAGGGTGTCTGACTGGCCAGACTCGGCCGGCTTGATTTCGATGGTTTGGCGGAAGTAGGTCCGAGATACTGGTTCGATGAAGGCTTCTGAGGCTTCGGAGACCCGGACGGCTGCACGGGGTAGGAGTGAGGTCGAGGCGGTGGCGACGGCTCTTCCTCGATGAAGTCGAGAGGAATGCGGAAGCAGCAGAAGGACAGCTCCTTGGAGGGCTTCTCGGGCCGCCCGGAGGAGCCAGAGCTGTTATGCGGACGGGAAGGCTTCTCGGGACGGGACGTGTTCGTCGACAAGAGGCCAAGCCGGCCAGTCAAGGTGTCTACGCTCGTCCGCCCTTCGGGGATCGGCCCGTTGGCCTGCGGCCCTGGGCTGGAAGTTGCTTGGTCTTTGTGCCGCCAACAGTAGCTCTCCGGGTCGGAAGGGTCGGGGAGAGCGCGTGCCTTCTTCCGCGACTTGGGCTTGGGCGCAGGCTTGTCAGACGGCGCGAGGGCATTCCTGCATGGTCGTCCGCTGGAGGTGATGCCTCGACAGGTGGTGGAGGGGTTCTTGGAGTCGGTCCGCTTGACGAGGGACTCTGGTGTGTTGGCTACGAAGGGCATGGCGATGGGACGAAGGTCAGGCTCGAGCAATGTCGTGGCAGTGGGCCCTCGTGGGGAGGAAGCTATTGGGAGGTCAATTGAAGTGTCGGCTGCTTCGAGAAGAATAGTCAGAAAAGAATGAAGTGAAGCAGGAAGAAGTCAACGGCAGGGACGGCAGAGCGGTGGGTCAGAGGGCGATTGGTGACGACCAAGGCCAGCGAAGCGAGGTCGTCGACGTGGGCCTCGACGTCAGAAACCAAGTCGTGTCGTGCTGGGCGTGTCTTGTCTTGACCTTCTTCGCTGGGCCCCTGAGAGCCTGCAGCGTGGTACGGTGCGGTGCGGCCCCATCTGCATGGGCCACCAGCGCACGCGCGCTGTCAGGAATAGACCTTGGAAACGACTGGCTGTCATGACTCCATTGTCGGTCGAGGGTCGCGAAATGGGTGGGGCTGGGGTATGCATCCGCCTCAAGCAAGAACCGCATGGCCGGCAATATCGTGAGGCTGGGGCGTGGCTGCCTGTCCCAAAGCGTGCGAGACCATCCCCAAAATGGAGGTAGGCACTGCCACAGCCTGCAAGTTGCCTCCAGAGGCGAAGCGGCAGCCACCTGTCTCAACTCAGCATCGGCGAGGCAGATTGAGGACAGAGCATGGTCTGAAATCAAAATGTCATGATTCTTGAAGCCGACAATGGCTCTAGGTCTTGGACAGGAGTTGTGATGTCGTTGTGGTGTTGTGCCCAGTTTAACGTGCAACGGCAGAGGGAGAAATCCAAACAGGGAATTCCAAGGTTGTTAGTGCATCGATACACAAGCCACCTCCCAGGCCCGCGCGACGAACTCGACGTGACATCGGTGCCGATCCCTGCTTCCTGACCTTGTCTACAATTTTCTTCTTACGCAGCAACTCACGATGACTGCCCACAGAGTCGTCACTGATTCTGTCCCTGACATGTCCCAACCGGCTGACCTACGCATCTTGTAGTTGGCGACCCAGCTTATTTCGCCTGCAGCTTTGTATACCCACAGCTTTCTCCCCCATGCCCTGCATGTCATCCCATGGCGTCTTATCCCACGGCGAGTTAGCCTATAGTAGGTTATCCCACGGGAGGCTATCACACAGTAGATTGTACTGCAGCAGTTTATCCCACAACCAGTTATCCTACTCCGAGTGACCTGTAGGTTATGATCTTGTCGATTTCGACCATGGTATCGTCCGAGTCGGTGGCACTACGCTCTGTGGTGTTCGGTGTATAAACTAAATCATCTCGACCATGCCCATGGCCCAACAGACGCTAGTACTCCGTACTTTCTAGATAGCTTCCCATTCCCAGCCTATGCGCACATTTATTTTGCACTCTGAGAAATTCAGCCACTGCACTCGTTAGTTAGAGTCATTATCTTGAACCAAGCTTTCACAATGGCATATACTTGGGTGACATCACCTCCGGCCATCGTTGGGTTCGTTTTGAGCCATGTTGCTCGAGAAGCAGCATTGGATCACACCCTCGCCCGGTACGCTGCAGTCAACAGGGACTGGCGGTATGTATTCGAACAGTTCACTTTCAGAACCCTCAACCTTGGCCAAGACGACCTACCTGGATTTGAAGCCATGGTATCGATTCACAGTGAACGTCGGAAATGGCTCCGGTCAGTGTCATTCCATGTCGTTGACTGCGGCTGTGCTCAAGTTGACGATGGACCTGCAAAACCACGACCGGAGCACAAAGTCTCTCAAGCTGTATCCCCGCTGTTGCGCCAGCTCAAGAAATGGGATACGGATGCCAAACTACGTCTTGCACTCTGCCTTTCTGCACCCGCCGCTCGCAGTCCTGGAAGTAAAAAGGGTCCAAGATTTCATCGAAATCTGCTGCCCTCCACTCTGTCGACAGGCTTCGTCAGCCTGAGAAGGGTGGTCTTGGTCACATCGTTGGCCAAATCCCAGCAATCAAGAGCTTCTCGATTCGATACCAATAGGAGCAATTAATCAGTTCTTGCGGAGTTATTAGCCTATGTTCGAAACTCCCTGAACTGGAGGAGCTCTGCCTTCAAGATGTGCATTATCACAACGAGCACACCAAACACCTCCAGATCGCAGAACTCACCCCGAGACTCCCTACCAACCTGAGGCGCCTGCATGTACTGGGTCAAGGCGGCAGAGATCCCAAGGGCGTGTGTCGATTTCTCGTACAACGCTTGGTATGGTTCGGCGTAACGACACGACTGCAGGAGCTCTCTATAACCACGAGCGGAAATGCTGCAGAGGAATTCTTCGAATGTCTCAGGAATTTGGTACCTGGCTCCTCGGCCAGAGGGACCTGCCACTGGTCGGCGCTGCAGTTCCTCACCCTCACTTGTTCTCTCCTGGAGCCAGGCGCTGCGCACGCTGCTGTCAACCGCCTACTCCACCAAGCTGGAATGACGGCTCTTGGTCTGCCGAGATTGCGGGAGTTGCGGCTGTTGAGCTACAATATAATGGAATGGGGTGAGCTCGATGGCTTCTTGCGATACGTCGCCAAAGGGCAGGAGAAAGATGTCACTACATACTTTGGTGAGTCAGCGCAGTATAGTTGAAGAGCGTGCCCCCTGTCGCTAACAGATATCATAGCATCTGAACATATTCGTATGGGGCGACTGGTCACGGACACCTGGAGAAATGTCGCATGGGAGAGCCACCGGTCCGTATTACGATTGTCATCGAGCGCAACTCCCCCGTCGCCATCCCTTGCAGTTGAAGGCCTCTTTGGTGAGCATGGAGGGTCTGCGTTTGAGAACACTCAGTACCCACGGCCCCATTGGACCGCAAGTGAGGTCATGTGGAACCTATTAGGCGCTTTTGTATTCTTTGTGGCATTGGTTTCGTTGTTATCACTGCTGGTTACGCAGATACCATCAAAAGTGTAGGTTGGGGGGAACAGCGTAGCGCACAAGTGGCGCGGATGGTGATGGGGTTCTTCATCTCTAGACTATATAGTTCACCATGAACTATTTGTATCCTTTGAGTTCATTTACTAAGTCAGAACAACAACGACTGTCCTAGCAGAGAAGAGACCGTATTGTAAGCAGTTACAGTCGTTTTAGCTTTGCAAGGCTTTAGACAGTGATTATCCAATCTTCTGCAAACCTGTTCTCATGATTCCCTGTATTCAGGAGTATTCACTTTGGAATGAGTCTTTACCAGACTGCAACCCTGTCTTGTGGGCTGGCAGCCGGCAACCAGACCCCTTGCCTGAAGCTACGGCCCTGAGCCAAGCACTGGCCTGTATCATGGCCTGAGAAACTGCCTCATGAAAGTCGTCCCAGCTGCATTGGAGATTGCGATGAGCATTTGGTCTGCAATCAAGTAAGACTACTGAAATCAGCTTGGTTGATGTCAAGCCGTCGAGATGCCTCCGAATGACGAAGTGAAGTTATGCTGCCTGGAGCAGGCCTTACTTGTTTCCAGATTTGTGCTCTTCCAGCATGTGTACCAAGTAGCTAAAATCCATTCAGATATACATAATGTACGTACTTGTGTTATAGCTTACTATGAGCCATACAGGACGCAAAAGTCTGAGACATTCGGATTATGATGGAGCTCCGTCAGTGTTCATCAACGGCCGAACCAGATGCAGCAGTGAGGTCCCTGTAGTGCAGCAGGGCCGAAATCTGATCCTTCAAGCACGCAATCTGCATGTTGGACGACGCCTTCAGCTAGAGGACCGACATCCGCGCACGGAGCCGCCGACCAGGCTCTCCCGTGGCTCTGTAGCACTGCAGATGCAGAGCTAGCGTGCGGCAAGTTGCCCAGACGGTCAGCACCGGAGGCGCATGGCGCACCTGCCTTGACGTCACAGGGATCAGGCTGTCTTGTGGCTTCTGGATGTCGCAAAGCCGGATCCAGTAATGATGGGAATCTCAATCATTCACCTAAAGGCTGTTGTCAGCTTTTGGGGTGGAGGGTTTCTTTGCTGGTCCCTTGGCGTGTCTGCATGTCTGCATGTGTGGAGCGGTGGAATGCCCCAGCTTGCGTGGGCCCTCCACACTTCGCCCCATCATCAATCATATTGCAGGATTCTTGTCAGGTCAGGTCAGTTGCGTCCAAGGCCAAGAGAATGGCTGCACGTTGTGCCCCTCGCTTCCGTACTGGTAAAAAAGCTTGACGGAGCTTGATCTGAGATGGGCCTTCTTGGCTGTCTAAATGCCGTCTTGGTCTCTTTTTTTGTGACTGATGACTGGTGACGGCTGCACAACGTCAACCGAGCTATCACAATCACCACCGAATGGGAATTGGTACAAAATCTCATGGACGAACTGCACTCACAGGATGGATTTTCAACGGAAACGGAGTGGGTCGGCAGCACCTGCACTGCACCGCGACGGGGCCGGGCGATGGACATTGCATGCATTTGCTTCTAGTCAGGGCCAGGGTCCTACCGGTTCTCGTCCGTCCCCATTCTAGCGCTACGCTCTTGCTGAACCACTGTGACGGAGCATTTCACGGTGGCGAGTGGGGTCAAACCTTAGCAGGTGCCAGAGCCAAATATTGTACTGCATCACCCTGAAGTGGTGCACATCTACTTCGGCCGGATTAGCAGGGACAGACAGCCGGAGCAGGTCCATCGGCGCCAGCACCACCTGGGCAATCCCGTGCATGACGCCCGAGGCTTTCGACCACGAATACCTCTCAATTTACGTGGTACAGAGAAGTGAATGGTTTGGTTCGCTTTGGGATCGCCTCGCACAAGCGCAGAACAGGCGCAGGTGTGGGGCACGCCTTGCTTGCCTTCTAACCCCCACATTCTTCCGCATCCTGCTCAGCCCGGAGCCTTTTTATCGACGTTATTTATCGACCTGAATTGATCGAATTAACTCGGCTCCCTCACTCACTCCCAGCGTCACATTGCCTCCTGCGGTTACCAGATCCTTGGTGCCACCGCCCATCCCATCCATACCCATGTCCTTGCTCTCATCTCACCCCGTGCCGCTTCTCCTCCCCTTGGGACCTAAAACTTAGGTAAACCCTACTACTTACTTACTTGCTTCTGGACTTGATCTTCTTCCTCTTCCCGACCCGACTCGACTGGAACCGCCTCCTTCTCATCGCTCATCCTCGTAGATGACCCTATTACTATTCTCTTTCCCTCCACATACGCCAGACCAAACGTCCTCTCTGGCCCGGCCCGTCTGGACTCGGTCTGACTCGCCCCAGTCCATCTCCTCGGACGTTGTCAACAGCAGCGGGCGCGCTCATATCCTTAGGACACGCCAGCTCCTGCCCCGCGTATCATTCTAGCCCCGATCCCGCTTACTCAACGGACCGCCATGTCGGGAAAGCTATCGGACCGGGACTCGCCCCGAGGGGTGTCTCCCGTCGGCAAGAGCCACGTCGACCGGACCAACGTCGACGTCGAGGCTGCGGCGCCCCGAGGTTTCGCCCAGTGGTTCGGAGGGCCCAAGACCACCGTCGGCCCTCGCATCGGGCCCGTTCTGGACAGCATCACCATCGCCGCCGAGGACTCCGATGACAGCGCGAGCGCCATCTTGCACAGGCAGAAGGAGGCTGAGCAGGGCGCTGATATCCAGTATCGAAGCTGTAGTTGGCAGATGGTATGGCCCTCTCCCCGAATCGCCGAAACCTCCTGGCGCACAATTCCCGGGTGTCCTGGCTGGTGCTAATCGTGACTTTAGACTGCCGCCCTGCTCTTCTCCGAGTATATATGTCTGGTCAGTATCCCCAACCTCCCGCGCAGCCATGGTGCTGCTCTTGTGGCCCCCTATCTGAGCAACAGTCTCAAGTGGCGCAGGGCCGCGTTCTGTATTGGCGTGCACAAACCGCGAAACACCGGAGCTCTTGCTGACCGAGCCCCCGCAGGCTATCATGAGCTTCCCTTGGTCATATAGCATATTGGGACTTTTCCCTGGGTGAGTCGACTTTTTCTGCAGCCACATACCCTGCCATTGCTGACTTGTGCACAGCCTGCTTCTCACCGTGGTGGTGTCTATGCTTGTGCTCTATACGTAAGTTGCTCGATCACGCGGCCCAATCTGGTCTCTAACAACGACTGCAGTTCTCTGATCCTGTGGGAATTTTGTCTCCGTCATCCCGAGGTTCGTGATGTTTGCGACATAGGTCAGATGATCTTCTGGAATCAGAAGTGGGCATGGTGGTTCACGGCCGTCATGTTCCTGCTGAACAATACTGTATGTCTGCTGTTTCATGCCCTACCGACTCTTTTCAGGCTTGGTGAGGGGAATCTCCGACCAAAACTAACTCCCGCTAGTTCATCCAAGGGCTCCACGTCCTGGTCGGCGCAAAGTATCTCAACACCATGACGGCCGCCGATGACAACGTCGCCTGCCGAACCGTCAGCTATTCGGTCATCATGCTCATCATCTGCTGGATTTGTTCTCTGCCCCGAACGTTCGAGGCGCTCTCGAAGCTCGGCGCCGCTTCCGCGGGGTTCACGTTCATCTCGGTGCTGCTAGCCACCATCTTCGCCGGAGTCGAGAAGCACCCAGCCGGCTACGATCCCCGGCCCACCTACACCACAGCCGCGGGCAAGGACGCTGTCGGAGGTGACCCACTCTGGACTGCATTGCCTGTTGCTGGGACCACTTTCGTCGCTGGCATGAGCGCGTTCCTTAACATTAGCTATACTTTCATCGGCCAGATCACTCTGCCTAGCTTCATTGCTGAGATGAAGGAACCAAGGTATGGACAGCTATGGCATTGTGTCTTTTCCACTGGCTGACACGCGATTGTAGGGATTTCCCCAAGGCGCTTTGGGCCTGCACCATTGCCGAGATCATTGTCTTCGGCCTGGTCGGATCCATCATCTACGTCTACACGGGCAACCAGTACATGACTGCACCCGCATTCGGCTCTCTTGAGGACGTCTACAAGAAGGTCTCCTTCTCCTTCATGATCCCAACTCTGATCTTCCTTGGAGTACTCTACGCGTCGGTGTCAGCTCGATTTGTGTTCTTCCGCATCTTCCAGAACTCCCGCCACAAGAGCGAGCACACCCTCATCGGTTGGGGAACGTGGGCCTTGATCCTTCGTGAGTCTACCTGAGCCCCATGCGATATTAATACACCTCTGATGCTAACTGTACATGTAGTGATCACCTGGATCGTCGCATTCATCATCTCTCAGATCATCCCCTTCTTCTCCGACCGTAAGCTACGCCATATAATCAACGCAGATGAAATCCTACTGACAAACAAACTCCAGTTCTCTCCCTCATGTCTGCCCTGTTCGACAGCTTCTTCGGCTTCATATTCTGGGGCGTCGCCTACTTCCGCATGCGCAAGGTCGACGGCAGCCTGGCGCTCATGAAGCAGCGCGGAATCTGGGGCTACGCCGAAGCAGGCTTGAACATCCTCATTATCCTCACAGGCATTCTTTTCCTCGGACCTGGCACGTACGCCAGTGTTGAGAGCATTTTGCTGGACTTTGATCCCTCGTCAGGCGGTGTCTTTAGCTGTGCCAGCAATGGACTATGAGCGATCCCAGCGTCAAACAGATTTGGTATTTGTCGAACAGCCCAGTTTGTACCAAGCATATTTTGGAGATATTAGTAATGGAGGACGGGACAGGATAATCAGATACCCTTTTTGTACTTGTTCTGGACATATTCTTTGCGGAAAGGTCGGCTTCGGAGACTGAGTTAAGCAACTTCGGCTGTTCTGTTGGCGGAATGTTCAGGACCAATCCAGAAATATGAGGCTATGAGCACTTGGAGGTCAACTGAATCACCAAAAGAGACTGGTGAAACGAGGCTACACACATGCCAGTCAGCGCTTCTCGCGAAGACCGACTTGGTTCACGGACGCAAGAGAAAAGAGAAAGCATTCAGCACCATATGCAAACACCTCTGTGCTGGTCATTGAACATCGCACCGTCCAAATCTTCCCTCCTCCAGACAGTCCCTGGAGGGCATCTTCGCTTCACAAGCTTATATTACATCAGATGCTCAAACACCAGACGATGACAGGTGCGTCATCCTCCAAGCTCTCCTTTCCTCAACACCATATCACGACCGTTTAGATAAGTGAATGCGTGTGAAGGTGACTTTGGTTGAAATGGTACATGGAGGGCGGCGGACCCAACGAAGCAAGCACATCTGTCTCGGACATCGCTAGGGGGGCACAGGACATGCTAGCAGAAGGTCTGACTGAGCCTCTGCCGAAACCAGCATTTGGACGTCCTGCCAAATATGGGCAGGAGTTGGAAAGAAGGTTTCCTAGCCATTGTGATTGCACAGCGATTTATGACAGCATACCCGTTTTATGACTGTTTACATGACTCACATTGTGACTCAGTATATGACTGACATATGAGTAATTCTGGGCTGTTACAAAGTTATAAAAGAGGAGAGCTTTCCCCTCTTAATGGTCACATAGAAGAATGCAACTCATCTGTTTCCTCTCGACGACGATTTTTTGCCGATGTATCAAAATGTAGGTCAACGCGTATCGACACGTGGCTTAGCGTGGCCTCAGGGCAAGGTGTGAGACTCTTCAGCTATCGCCTCAGAAACAACAGAGCAAAAGACACTTCCAAACCTTTCAAAGGCATTACAGACGGCCGTTGAGAGACTTTCCAGCACCTTGTTTGCCTATAACCCCATCTCAACAGCTCCCTCCCAGATGATAACTCTGGTAGCCGTGATGAACAGCACAGTTCTTGTGTACGTTAAACCCCGTGTATCCCTCTAAGGCCTCCCAGAACGCCATTCCCGGTCTAGTTTACCGTTGTCACCATCACTTGCCCATAACCGATCACAGATGCTCAGCGATCTCGTCAAACCACACGCCGACCTTCTCGGCCACCGTCTCACTGTCTTTTATTGCTTGTATCCAAGTTAGCACACTGGTCCACACTTCGTTTGATTGTCCCAGGGAACAGGCGACGTAGAAGGCCGCCGAGAAAGGAGAGCAAGACTTACTGGTACAAAAGTCATGAGGCAAGTTTCCCTCGTCGATCTGGATCCTCGTGCGGGCCCTCTTGTGTTTCGGTGCGTCTTCCCGCGAGGCGTGCTCCTCCCGCTTGACGATGAACTCGTCTCGGTACTTGTTCGCAACCCAGTGATCCTTCTTCCCGAAAAAGATATAGAACTTCGGCACATCAGTGTTATGCGCAACGGCCTCGTCGCCAATCTCCCACAGCTCCTCCGCCCACGCCTCCTCGGAGATGACAGCCATCTCGTCCATGCCCAGGTAGAGCGCCTGGTGGACGCCATCGCGGCTGGTCAGGAACCGCGTCGTGACCGCGGCGGCGTGCGGGTCCATGCCCAGCACGCGCGACGTCACGAAGCGCAGCAGCGCCGCGGGCAGCAGCGACAGGAACCCCCTCGCGACGATCGGCGCGTACCGGCCCACCAGCGGCGTGCGGCGCATCAGGTCCAGCTGCACGCCCTTGGGCGACTTGGCCAGGTGCGCGACGGTGGCGAAGAGCAGGACCCCCGAGCGCAGGTTCAGGCCCGGCATCGCCGAGGGGTCGTGCATGTGCCGGTGGAAGAGCTCCAGCGCCAGGTACGTGCCCAGCGAGTGGCCGACGAGCACGACGTCGTCGAAGGGCTCGCCCGCGCGGGGGCGGCCGGCGGGCACGGCGTTGGCGGCGGCGAGGTGCTTCGCGCACGACTGCAGCTGGTGCTCCACGTTGTGCGGCGGGTTGTCGCCCGTGTTGAAGGGCCGGTCGTGGTCCGCGTCGTCGAAGCCCGCGAGGTTGCGGCCGTAGACGTGGAAGGCCACCTTGTGCTTCCTCTTGGCCTCGATGGCGTCCAGGTGGCCGCGCAGCTGCCGCAGGAAGGGCTCGTAGTAGTCGATCAGGCCCGGGTTGCCCGTGAGGAAGTAGACGAGGCACTCCCGGGTGTTGGCCCCGTCCTGGCTCGCGTGGGGGGACGGAAATGAGAGCTCCATGGCCATTTTGAGGAACGGGTGCTCCTATGATCCACAGATTGGGTGACACAGCTTCCTGGTTGTTCTTGGGATTTCTGGTTGGTGGTTGTTGTGGACGAGGATGAGATGTGTGAGCTCGGCTGGAGGTTGGAGAACAGATAAGTACTAACAAGGGTTGAACCCCCTGATTGGCCTTACCTGTTTGGGAGGAGTCAACTATTCCATACTAACATGGTGGACAGGCCCCTACGAACCTGCAAAATTCTGGAGACACCTCTGCACTCTTTGTAACTCTCTCGAAGCAATAGAGAGGAATAGAAGAGAATAAGTGAAGATGTGAGGGAATCTGCCGGAATGCCACGGAAACCCGGTGAATTTTGTTAGTTGTCAGTGTTGACGAGGATCTGACTCGGCACTTTCTCCCACGCCTGAACACAGGGAGGGTGGACCTCGCCAGCTAATCCTCGTCAGGGACTAGCCCCCACCGTAAAGCCGGCCAGCAGCTTGTAAGTGAACGGTCTTGCACGGAGGGGACAAATCAAAACAACACACAAAACTCGATACAAGAGTTGAGCTGCCAGATTTTTTTTCTGTTTTATTTCAATGGCAATCGACACACACACACACACAACATACACACCCGCTCGACAGACACACACAAACACACACAACTGTCACTGTCATCCAAGATGGACCCTCGCGGAAAATACCAACTTGACCTATGCGGTTCTCCAACTGCAACCTTGCTTGTGTCCGATGGAGTTGTGCTTGAAAACAATCCATTCTACCCCAGGCTCGAGATCGAGATCCAGCAAGAAGATGCCCAGCGTCTAGCTCAAGGCATGTCCAGGAGGATATTCACCAGTCACACGGAGTTGCGAGCTATCCTCGACAGACATGAGGAAACTATCCAAAAGCGATGGATCAAGAAGACCAACGCACAGCGTCAAGCCATGCTCCTCAAGGTTTGGCCTAAAAGTAAGTACCTTCTAATGTCATCCTCAGTCATCTCTCGGTCTACATCTCCTACATCCAATGGCTGTCTAACGGCGTGCCCAAAAGCCGTTTGTTGGATGCATTTTGTAGGGAAAGCTTAAAGGAGTTGGCATATAAATCAGCCCGTTCTGGAACAAATTTCTTAGTTGGTATCTGGTTGGCTGACTCTGAGTACCGCAAAGTGGCTCTAGAACGCCATGCAGACTTCGCTGCCCTCAAGACCCTTTGCCGACAGAGACGCAATGACAGATGGGACAAGGCCAGGCATAGAGACCCCTTCATGTGGCCATACATCAACCAGGAAGACCTCTCCAAGCCCAAGGCCTTGCTGCTGCTCCTGAACGCCCGCGGCCGTCACAACCCCTGCGACTTTGCCGCCGCCGATGGTGAGGCACTCCGGCTTGGCAAAACCTCAAATGCCATCGTTCCCATCTGCATCAAGTCAAATACCCTGATCTTGATTGGAGCTACCATAATCCCGAATGGAGCTACCATGATCCTGAATGGAGCAACTGGACCGGACGAATACGGCAGATTGTTGGCATGGCAAAAACATCCTCACGTCTTCGACTGGTTGAGAAGTGGAAAACAGTTTCAGCCGCAGGAGGGGTTCATGATCCTGGAGGCACAGGAGGGACTCTTGTCCTTCTTAGTGGACTGCTGCAAGAACATATTACATGACATTTCGGAAGACGCTACCGTCAGCGACAAATACCAGATCAAAGAAGAGCCGCAGCTCAAGAGCGAGGCCGAAACAACAGGTTTCGACTCTCTCGCTGTCATGATGGCTGAGGAACCCTACCGCGTCCCAGCACACCTTGATCTCGAACGCATGGAGGTTCTACTTGCTGCCAGAGCTTCAGCTGCCGAGGATCATCTCTGGGCACTCCGCGAGGACCCGGGCTACTTCACAGAGACTCTCTGGGATATCTCGGAACATCGAGTGGAAATGTTCAAGGACGAATCGCGCAGAGCCCATCCAGCGCTCGACAGGGAGAACAGGAGCATCTTCTGGGCCCGCGTTGTCGGTGAAGTGCTCTTCAATGCGTACTATGAACTTGAGATATTCTCAGAGCTTCATAGGCAGGCGCAGGAGTTGCGGATGGCACAATTGAAGCATGCCGACGCCATATCACCGACAGAAGACCTCCCCACAGACTACCTCCGCGCCATATTCAAGTTCCGCCACTTCTTGGACAGAGCAAGTATGATGCCTATAAGTCAACTTCGGGATTACATCAAGGTTTCTCCATCTTTCCGGAAAATTCACTATTTTACAACAACGGGTGACGCCATGTCATCTGAGGGGTGGGTAAAGGAGAGGCCAGTCAAGAAGACCAAGTTTGAGAGTGAGCTGCTCCACCTGTTGAAGGCTTTGTGGGAAGAAGGAGGTCAAATGTACAGTACCATGAGAATGTCAGTCGTAATGGATGAATTGGAGCGTCTCCTAGATTCGGACCCAAAAGCAAAGGATCTCGTCTCTCAGTGCGTCGCTGGCGTTATAGGCGACCTCTCCATCCTCTCACAGTGCTTCAAGCAACTCGAGAGCTACCAGCCGTGGGCCAGGGGCTTCGATGAAGCCATGCCGGGCTATATGGACGGGATCATGAAGGATGTTGAAGCCAAGAGGCAGCCGTGGAACGCTTCAGCTTCAGTGGAGCTCCGCGCATTGAGAGACCAAACAAACATGAGCCAAGCGCTCAGAACTGGTGATATCTCTGGTGGAAGGCTTGCGTACCCCATCGACAAGCGACGTACTAGGGAGAACGTTAGGGTTTTGCGGCAATCCGAGGCAAGCCTGGACACATTCTGGGCCTTCGTTGACCGGCTGTACCATTATGCAGCCGGGACACCAAATGACTCCGCTGTCTCGAGGATGCTGTCACAGAAGCGGACAATGCAGCGCACTCCAGAATGGGTGGAACCCATCAAGGAGCCCAAGAAGGCGGAAACTTCATCGGCCACTGACCAGGATGTCAAGGCTTTGCACAAGCCCTTGTCTGCGCTGTCATTTGGTCCCACCCCCAGCAAATCCGATGTCGCCAACGAGAACCTGACGAAGACTAAGGTGAAGACCAAGGGTACCGCCAATGCACCACCAGCCGCTGCAGCAGATGATCCCCCTGAGGACCCAACCGCGTCCGACTCGCAACCGACCATCCCTGTTGATACGCGAGCCCTCAAGGTCTTCCGCACCATCTTCCATAACCCCTCATCTGCGACGGCACAGGGCGAGATCCCTTGGCAAGACTTCCTGCATGCCATGGCATCTATCGGCTTCGCTGCCGAGAAGCTATATGGCTCGGCTTGGCAGTTCCGCCCTGTGTCGCTGGATGTCGACCGAAATATCCAGTTTCACGAACCACATCCGCGGGGCAAGGTGCCCTTCCTGATTGCGCGACGAATGGGCAGGAGATTGAGCAGGGCCTATGGCTGGAATCTGGAGATGTTCACCTTGAAGGGGAAGTGATTGTGGCATAGGAACCATGGGTGGATGTGGCTACTTATCCAGGTAACTTATCCGGGCAGCTTCTCCGGGTTGTGGCATTCGGGGCTGTGTTGGTGTGCTATACACAGGCACACTGTGGTATTCCCGGGGTGTAGGATAGGTCCTTGATTTTGTATCATAAAAGACTCTCTATGTGGACATCGTTCTTGAGGACCAAGTTGTTTGTGAAAGTGATTCTAAGGTTTGTGCGGCGGGCAGTGAGCTTGACTTGAAACTGCTCACTGAAAGAACGACGAACTAGTTCTGGGTAGTTCCTCTGAAAGGAGCGTCGTCGTGGAATTGACTTCGTCCCATATTTGAGCCATTTGCCTCACAAAATCTCTCGCTGTATGTGGCTCACCATAGAATCTTCGTCATGTCCCAGATATTTGTGCTAATCACCATCTCCTCACATCACGTTACAGAGGCTGGCAGCAGCTCCCCCGACACCGCCAACAGCACTGGCTCCTGCGACAGACTTGCACAGAGAAGAGCAGGCACCCTTCTCCAACGCCTTTCTGAAAGTGAGTTCTATTCCACTTCCAGTGGATTTATACGTCGTCCTGTCCAACACCTTCTCTAAGTCATGCAGTTTGCTCCCCACGAACTCCAAGATGCAGGCCATGCTTTGATCTGCAAGGCTTTTTCCAATGTCAGAAGTCAGAAGGATAATTTGAAAATCCAGACTCTGGAAACAGGACTGCTGACCTCGGTCGTGGAGGACTGAGCTCACGAGGCACTTTCGGTTAGGGCATGTGTATTATGTAGGGTGGAGGGGACGCAAGCAAGACCTCTGTTTTGTCCTTTGGGTTGAGTGGGAACACAATCTGATCTTAGGAAATGCAGAAGCTTTGGAGGAATTCCGAATTCTAACTTGACCATCTATTCTGTAATACTGCGTTCTAAAGAGCAACTGGAATTAAACCAACTGTACTTTCCAACTAAAGCGAAAGTCTCCCAAGTTTCTACTCCTCTGTATCTCAACATCAATAGTACGTGCAAAACTGCGCGGAAAAATTGCATAACACGCTGATCCGGAATCAGTAAAAACTCAGAGATATCGTCTGCAACTTGCTGTGTTCTAGAAACTGCAGATCAAAGATCCTAGAGTATCCCGTGAGGACATCCGGATATGCCCCGAGATACTTGAAGTATCAACCATGATTTATCGAGTCCAGGAAGTCAGAAAAGACATGTAGAGTATGCCAAAAAAAAAAAAAAGCCTTCCAGTCATCCCTCGGACGTTGGTGTGCGAATTGTTGTAGAACTTAGCCCTGCGCGGAGGGCACCGGCTTCGTCCCGTCGTACAAGTAACCTCCTGTACCGGGTGGTGCTGGTTCCAAGGTTGGTGTCAAGGATTGCGTGCCATTGTGCGCGCCATTGTGCATGCCTTGGTTCGTGCTGGATGGTGTCGGCCTCACTGCATCAGTCGGCAGCGAGGGGACGCCGGTAACGCGGTCACCACCGCGCCGATATGGAAACGACGTGAACCTGGAAGACCACTCTTCTGGTGGGGGGCCAATCGCAAGGAGGTTCGCCAGGCTATCCATGTCTGAAGAATCAGTTTCGTTGACCTCCATCTTGTTCAAGGTGTCCCAAGCAAGCCAAGGGATAATGTGCCAGAAGTTGAAGGTAGCTCCCACGACATCAAAAGCAGCCTGGGCAGGAGAGACAGGCGGTGCAGGGTTGCTCATGCGCTCGTACGGCGGGGAAGCAGCACTTGCGATAATCTCGGAGGCGGCGTTGATGGCGTCAGATCTCGAACCACTGTTGGCCGACATAGCAGCACCAACGGCAGCGGCAGTGGCGCCCAGGGCATCTGTGGGAACACCTGCGGCTGAGAGAGCCGGCGCGAGTGATGAACCAGAGGCACCATCCCAAGCCGCACCAGCGGCCAAGCCCGAGGGGGAGGCAGCGTTCGAGATGACATTGATCGCGTCAATGACAGGGTCGGACCCGGAGGCCGCGGCTGCTTGGATCGCTTCGGTCACGGCCGCGGCAGTGGCGTCCGCAGCAGACGCAGGAACACCAGCGGCGCCGAGAGACGCTGCGAGACCTGGGCCGGTAGCACCTTTAACTGCGGCTTTGGCTGCCTCAGCACCAGCCATGCCTGCAGAGGTGACAGAGCTTGAGATGACTCCTAGAGCAGCATTGTAGGCGGGCCTTCCAATCCAGCCTTTGCCTGCTGTATTGACAGAGTGAGAGACAGCTTCCGCGGTGGATGAGACGGCCTCGGCGGGGACGCCGGCCTTCAGCAGGGAATCAGCTATCTCTCCGATGCTCGATCCGGGAGTTGACGCCACCTGCGCGGCCGCTTGGACACCCCACGAATTGAGCGCCGAAGGATTCGCGAAGGACCTGCCGGCAGCAGCATTGACCGCAGACTCAACCCCAACAGGTTCGTTGGCCATTGCAGCCTCTGCCGCAGCCATGTCGGCCTTGAAGTTGTTGATGATCTCGGCTGCCTGCTCGCCCGTGTTACCGTTTCGGCACAAATCATCGTACCACTCGTCGACGGACTCGGCCACCTCGCTTTCTGGGGTACCCCCTCCAGGCCGACCTGGAGCCCCAGGACGACCTGGGGGGCTGAAGTTGAAGTGCGGAATCATATCCATCTTGAAGGTCGTCAGGGCCCGCATCACCGAGGTATACACCTTGCTACTCTTCGCAACTGTGCTGAGCGTGTGGAAAAAGGTGCCCAACCATCGAACGAGACCAGCGCTGGGGATTCCGGCACCCAAGCCAATGCTGAGGCCCAGTGCCAGGTGCTTCTTGTGCTTATCGTCGGGCCCGAGAGCATCGACCACGGCGGTTAGGTGGGGATCAAGCTCTTCCGTAGGGAGTCCATTGGCATCAGTTAAGCTTGTTTTCGATGATGCTCCCGGGCTCGTTTTTGAGTCCGTGTTTGGTGTTAAAGATAAAGCCGGGCTCGTCTCGGGTTCTGCTAAGCTTGGTTTTGATGGCGAAGTGATCCTCGTCTCGGGTTCTGCTGAGCTGGGGTTTGATGGTGAAGTTATACTTGTCTCGGGTGCTGCTGTGCTTGATTTGGACGATGAGGCTGTACCAGTCTCGGATGCCTTGTTGGTCCTAGACGACGACGAGTCCTTGAGGCCGAGCGAAGTGGAACCGGATGAGCTAATGGTGCCAGAAGATCTTGTGACGCTAGACGAGTGGGTGCTACGGACATCAGAAGAACTGGTAGTGCTGGGCAAGCTGGTGATGCCGGATGGCACCATGGTACCAGAGTGGGTGGTGCCGGGTGAGGTTATAGTGCTCGAGGGGCTGGTAACGATAGGCGAGCTGGTAGTGTCGGTACTTGAACGGGACGGCGAGTCTGTAGGTTGTGCCGCGGATGATGTAGGGCCAGGTATATGAAACAGACTGAACGAGTGGGTGGCGCTAGGCGAGATTGTAGTGCTCGGGGAGCTGTTGACAATGGGCGAGCTGGTAACGACAGGCAAGCTGGTGGCAACGGCACTTGAATGGGACGACGAGACCATATAGTGGGCCTCAGATGAGGTGGAGCCAGGTATATGAGACGAGCTGGACCAGTCGGTGGTTGTTGCACTCGAATGTGATGTCGGGACAGGGGTCAAAGAGGAGGTACGAGGTGTAGAATAAGGCGACGGTCCTGACGAGGGTGTTATCAGGTACGGTGAGGAGGTAAAGGGGACCGAGAAGACTGGGTGAGAAGAAACCACTGTCGCGGTCTCCACAGTACGCGTCTCTTTGGGCCACGGCACATCGTGGCTCGTTTCTTCGGTGGGCGGCACATCGGGGCTCGTCCAGTTTTCAGGATCATCTGAGGGAAACGGGGCCGGAAGTAATGTCGTCGACGGATCCTCTGAAGGCTGTTGTGGGTCTTCAAGAGAATCGGTTTGGCCGATATGCGGCACATGACCACCGATAGTAACATAGCAATGTGGGATGCGGCGGCCTTTGGACTCACATTCCACGTCGAAGTCGGGGTCCAGTTCCGGAAGAGCTGGGATGATGACAGCGTGCTCCTTGCCCGTGACGTGACACTCAGGACGGAAGGGAGGAAACATGTTGAAGGCACAGCCTGCTTGGATCTGCTCTTGAGTCAGGCCGCCTAGTTGGGCAACCACCGGGTCTGCGAAGACAGGGACAGACCCGTCAGGGGTGAAAAGAAGTCTCTTGGCCATCCTGGCGATGTGTAAATGCAGTCAAGAAGGTTGGGTGCATTCGTGGTCGGACGGAAAATTAGAGAGAGGTAAGGATTAAGAAACAATTGTACATTGTGCAAGCAGAGGACCCATAACATATATGAAGACATTATTTCTTGCAATTCATTCTATTCTGCTCAATTTTCTTTTTCAGTGAGTTGCACTATCCACCAAGATGAACTAAAGTCTTTTTCACCCCAATACTATCCTCCCGCTATTGTCTTTGACATAGTGCTTGATGGTGTCAAGCTAGTTGACTAGAAATAGCTTCGACCTGGATATCTTGATGGCCTGACAGCGCGGACACGAATGGGCACGGCCTGGCGCTAAGACTTTTGCTGCAAAATGGTAGCTTCTGACACAATACTGGTATAGAAGATTGAACAGTCACTGTCTAAAGCCTTGTGCAGTGTAATTATCTATCGTCATCACTTGTCCCACTAGGATAATCATTGTTGTCGTAGCTTAGTCAAGGAACTCAAAGAATACAACTAGTTTGGACTTTCTGATTCCTATATGAAATAGCCAAAAAAGATTACGCTAGAGTGGCTGTAGCTTACAAATGTCATCCAAAGCCTATTTTACAAAATGAAGAAAACATGAAAGTTTACTCTGTGTGCTCTGCTGGCCGTGGAAATGTGTTGACGGCAAATGTTGCTCATCTGTTTTTCGGACGCTTGGTTCTCATGACACAGAAATCTTTGAATGGCGCGCTTCTAATTACATCCCTATTAAAATGATCATATGCTCTTACGTCGGTATAGTATCAAAGTCACCATGGCAGACGGCAAACCTCAATCCATAGATATGTTCCCATCATGAACTTTGCCCATTCACAAACAAGTTCTTAATGGCAACTTTATATAATTTATGGAAATGTAACTTTGGGGCCACCTGATATTTGTTAGAATCGCTGAGTTGCAAATTTTAAATTTAGAAATGGGAATACAGCCCGTGAAGCTGTAATAACTGCAGTCGGCCACCCAGACGTTAGGCAGATCATAAAAGCCTTTCAGGAAAGGGGTCTCCATGTCAACTCCCTACACGGCTATCATGAAACGGTGCTCAATGCGGCCATCGGATTCGATGATGAGCTTTAATCTATCTTCTCCCTCAGGGCGCAGATTCAAATTATTACTACCAAGGTATGTCACCACTCAACAACGCAGCCGTAGACCGGGAAGTCCTAGCATCAATACTCACTAAGCTCCTTGCACACAGCGCCAAAACGTAGCAGCATGCCGCCTTGCACTGGGCAGCAGCAGCGGCCCAATCTAGAAGGCAAGTATATTGCTCTCGTACAGCATGGGCGTGAAGGCGCTACGAGAGGGCCTTACGACAGGATCATGATGGCAAAAGGATTTGCACTGCAGAGGCGGTTAGCTCGCACTGTGCGAAGGCAAGGAAGCAGAGGCTGAGTCCGATGGAATAGGATTGGGAAGAGCAGGAGCAACCTGTCAAGTTGCTGCCCAATGCGAGAGCTGACCCACAGGGCAAAGACGATCAGGGGAGAAGGCCGGAGGATTGGGTGGTGAATGTGCCTGGCTTCAAGGAACCCGCGTGCAAGCGTTTAGCGAAGTCCGACGGGACCACTTTTGACGAGGAGAAACAGATAGAGCAAATCAAGACGCTACTGTGGAACGTGAAAAATGACAAGCCCGATGCGAAAGAGGCTTGATGGTGGGTACGAAGCGCGAATATGTTGGTTGAGTCTTCGTGTACATATCATAGAAATGTCAATTGAACCATGATTTGCGCCGACTCTTTCTATATGAGCCCCTACCGAGCTTGAATAACGCCATTCCATATCCGTGAGCGTATACGAGCATCAGGTTTTCCCCAGCTGCTATGGCTGTGAACAATATGATGTTGTCAAGTGATGGACCACTGGAGCCAGATCATCCTGTAGGCGATTACCAAAACGCTAACGAGACAGGTTATGGCTGCGGAATTAGAGTGGAACAAAGTCGAGAATTCATTCCAGGTCGTTGTAATATGCAGGTTGGTTATGTAGTTAGAGCACATTGCATTTCTGGTGTCAGTGGCTGCTTACTTGCATACATGGCGGGGTTTGCGGCCTGATGGCTGAAGTCAGCTTCAACCTCTTTTGTCAACGACCTGTTGGTTGGTATCTTCTAGCGGTTATCGCAACCAGAACCTTGCTTTCCGCTTGCCATGGCCGATCTTGTGGATCATGAGAGAACAATTCAAGGGGAGGCCAGGGAGTGCCGAAACTTGTTGGCAGACACAATGGCCCATCTATCACGACATGATCCCCTCTCCATACATATCGAGTTGCAAGATGAGTTGGGACGATTCAACCTGTGGGCTGGGAACATTGGCGTGTTCGCCCCGCTGCAAGCGTCTCTGGACTTTCGCCTCATCGATGTTCCTGATATCAGGGCCCAATTCTTGAGGCAGCTGGACACACTAAGCATAACTCTTACCCAGCGTGCGCAGGTTCACTTCCGGCCCCAGGAACTCGAGAGCTGACAAAGACGTCACAGTAAACGAAGCAGCTGTCCAAGCCAGCACGGATGAAAATGAAGATTCACACGACGAGAATGCCACTAGGGAAGCGGACGGTTCACTGGTATCGGAGCATGACATCTTCGACCTTGTTCAATCTATCCATGTGACCATTGATTGGCTTCACAGGCTCTCTAATCTCGTACGAAAGGCGAGCTTCGGCAGCCAGAATCAGAGAGCCGCCAGGTTCCCCCTGGAAGATGAGGCCGGCAACGACATCACCGAATGTCTAGCAGAGATGTTTAAACATCTGATTAAACGAGAGTGTTGTGATATCTCGGACCAGATCTTAAATCGGCTGGCGCAGACAATGATCATCAGACGTCGTCGAGTGCTTTACAGGCGGTCGCGTCAGAAGCGTTGGGTTTTGCAACAAGAAGCATATCGACCGCGACATTTGGACCCACCAGCACAGCTAGCCCCGTTGCAAGAAGAAGAATATTCCGGAGAGGACCACGAAAGAAGTGAAGTGACTGAGGAGGTCGAATTTGAACCCGAAAATCGTGTCAAAGTTGCACCCAGCGGGATGACTGTCACAACTCTTGATCAGCAAAAATATAGAAAGCTGGCAGCCCCTTCTCGGATATCTCGCGCAACAACCGCGCCACTCCAGCACGATGAGAAACTTCTTGTTCCACCGCGGCCCCATCTGGCGAAATATGGAAAGGAATTTGTTTGTGACTACTGCTGCCTTATCCTACCCAGCAGCGAGGCTGCCGATCAAGACACCTGGGCGTAAGTGGTCACTCCATACAGAAGCCTGCACTTGAGTTGACTAACTTGTTTGAATTCAAAGAAATCATGTCAAAAAGGATCTGGATCCTTACATTTGTGTATTCGATGACTGCACACAGCCCTATCAGATCTTCTCGTCCAGCAAAGAGTGGCTGGCACACATGCGGTCGGAACACCGCATGAGCTGGCGATGTGTTGTCAGAGATCATCCTCCGCAGATATTCGAGACCCCCGAAGCTTTTTTGAATCACATGACAGATGCCCACCCGGGAAAGTTTCGAAAAGATCAGCTGCCTTTCATCGCGGAGAGCAGTGCGCGGGCTCTCAGCCCTACCGTGCCTGCGTGTCCATTCTGCGATGAGGACTCCGGCGACCTTGAGAATCATGTGGGAAAACACCTCTGTCATTTTGCACTCCAGTCCCTGCCGTGGCCAGACCACTTGTACCAACACTCCGAGATTATGAGCGAGCCGGAAATGAACAGCTCCAGCTCCGAGGATGTCGAGCGAGAAACTATCAAGGACGACTTGGACGATAGCCTCGGTTTCATTGACGTTGAATGGATCCATTCTCTCGATACAGAGCCAGAGCCTTTGTTGGATATGCCTGTGTCTTGGCCCATCATTCAAAAGACTTTCCCCGAGCCGGATCAGGTCTTGAGTGAACTCGCAGCGCACGTCGCCAGACGCGCGACCATTGGCGCAAAGGACATCCATGGAAAGCCAGAGACACTTGATGAAGAGCTTTTCCAAGTCAGAGAGCAGCTTCCTAACGTCGTGTTGATCGGTGCTGACACGGATACCCGCGCTTTCTCAACCGCCGTCTCAGGAGCCTTAACCACCTATGCCGAATCTCAAAGACCAAAGCCGATAGGCCCTAGGCTCGGGAGACGCCCTAAGCTCGGGCCAGGCCCGTTTCCTGAGAAGGAATGGTTGTCGGCGTATTTGGGCCATTCGCAGAGCCATTCGGAAGGCCATTCGCAAGACCGTATGCTTCGTGCTTCACTGCGAGGACCCTGGGGTTTCGAAGGGGAGCACATTGTGCTCAATGTCGAGGTCGCTGTCCCTGACGCTTACCCCGAAGCTCAGGCCCCCAGTTTCACAATTGAGGAAGATGAACATATGCCTGAAAGGATACGTGACATGTTGCAGCGAGATGTCCATAGGATTTGTCAACTGTACTTACAACGAAAAGAGGCTTGTCTCGGAGCGGTTTTCTCGTACTTGCTAGGAGAGCGCGATCTGACTTCCATCATCGACATGTTCAAGAACGAGAGGGGACATGCGATTCCGGTTGGAGATGTGGACGAGGATAAGCCCCCAGCTTCTCCAATCTCACAGACAGACGGACTCAAATTCGCAAAGGTCGCCCACAAACATGGATCAACGGAACCGAAGACGGAAGCTCAGCCCAAATCTGGCTACTTGGCCAAGAGAGGAAAGAATTTCGGTGCCTGGAAATCCAGATTCTACGTAGTCGAAGGCCCGCAACTGGAGTACTACGACGCGGCAGGAGGAGCCCAGCTGGGATCTATCAATCTCCAGGGCGCGCAGATTGGCAGGCAGCAACCTCGGGTTGACACACAGTATCGCCATTCTCTGTTGATTCTGGAGCCCAAGAAAGGTTCCAGTACGATAAGACACGTGCTGTGCGCTGAGAGTGATGAAGAACGCGATCTCTGGCTTGAGGCTTTGTTGCCCTGGACCAACCACACGGATTCCGGCGAGATGCCCTCAAGCGAGCATGATCCATCCGGAGCGTCTGAATCACAGACGGCCATTCCCCAACTCCACACGTTTCTCATACAAGAGAATGGGAAATCGGGTCAGTTTCGTCCAGTCGACCTCCACGCACCCCACATCAGCATTGCGTCCGCATCCATTGGCACTTCCCAGATCGATTGCCGGCTTCACCCCTCCAAAAGCAGATTTGGAACCTTAGAGGGCCTGCCAGCGGGTGTTATATATATGGATATCTCTATCGCTATTCCACAGAGCAGTGTACAAAGTGTCACCGTTACGGTAATCCTCGATGACGAGACGCCCAAGCTCCATCAAGCAATCCAGGGTGAGCCAGGCCGCACTTCAGGGAGCTTAGCCAATCCAGTGAGGATGACGGAATTCTATGGGCCCAAAACCATGGTGATAAGTGGAGGTAAGGATGTGGAGACTCGAAGTCCACGTTCCAAGCTCGAGGTCAAAGGTACAGGCATAGCTCTTGGGGGGGGTGGAGCTGAACCGCAAACAAGTATTACTACAGAGGCTCAAGCATGGAAGTTTTCAGGCCAATCCATTCCCGAAAAGGATTCACCGCTACATCGCACCCTACGCTGGCACCTCTCTAGCAGTTCAGCTGTGCCCTTATTGCGCGACATGTGTATACATACCGGCTTCTTGTTTCAGGGTACAGCCGAAGCATTCTTTCTGACTGCTGAAATCGAGGGGAAAGCTTCGAAACTCTCAGATCGCATCAGGCAAGCATCACAACAGCTTGGAAGAGCCAGTCGAAATTCATCTAAGCGGGGAAAGATACTAGTCAATATGGGCAATGAACACCCATACCGGCGGCTTGACGAGCTTGCAAGGACTTTACCCGAGGCTATGTACAGGGCGAACGAGCTGGAGCTTCATCTGATGATCCCTGAGGCGCATTCCGTCCAGCCTAGTGGTATGCCAAGTGGGCATGGACTGGACAGATACGTGGACACCCAAGAAAACATCGATCCCAGCAGCGGGGGTGCACTGCGCCATGCCTTCGACGGGACATCCCATGAATCTCAGCCTCGGGAAAGCGTCAATGTTGATGACACGGAAAACATTGGTCCTAGCAGTTCAGTGCAATACACGCCGCCGCCGGAAGATGCTGATTTGGTCGACCAGTCTGCCGGCCCTTCCAGCAATGCCAAAGACAGCCAACAACATGGACACAGCGTTGACCGTGATTCTTTCACAGCATTGCCAGTGGGAGGAGGGACGTTGCGCAAGGGCTCCAAGAAAAAGGGCAAGGACAAGCACTCCCAATCTCGATCGGAAGTTGTGAGACTTTGGACATGTGTTCGTGCCCCTTTGCCCCTTGATTGGTACTATAACTCTAACAGCTCTCCGTTCTTAGTGTTATTGCCACAATGCAGGTAACTCATTAAACGATTACGCATGTTACAACTGTCATGTCCAACGCTGCAGCAACTGTGTTGCCTACCAAACTACTGTATACCCTAGCCGTGTTCGGAGGTAATCCAACGTACCCGCACTGTTTTTTAAGGCTGTTCAATATTATATTTATCAATTCGAAATATTCTTTAAAATGAGAAGTTTACGTGGTTAATGTATAGTTAAAGTAAATTACGGTAATACTCGACTTAGATTAAATTCAATCTTTTATAAGGTTTATATTTTCCTGTATTATATATGTATAAATACGTTATTTCCTGTGTAACTGCTACTTTCCTGCACCTAGAAACCAGACAAGTTTACAATTATGATTCTTACGTGCTTAGTGCAATGAATCTGTTGGAAGGTGCGAGGGTTGTATGCCCATACGCTAGCGCTAGCCTATAAATAGGCTCCTTCTAAGCGTTTAATAGCGAGGAGATTTCTCTCCTTAATAATAATAATTAACTATTATTTGCTTAATTGCTTTATTAAGTTATAAGCTTAGCATTGCTTAAAATATCTTAAAACGTTAGGAAATATTAATACCTTTATTTCTATAATTATTTTTATACCTAAATCATTAAGATTTTAATATTGCTAGCCTTTATTTATATAACATGGTTTACCAGGAAGTAGCGGATATTAAGAAGTAACAGATTTTTACAACTTTAGCCAACTTTAGCTAGCCATAGCACCCACCTAATGTAAAAAGATTTATAAGATTTAGCACTAATTAATACTAACTATAATTAAACTCTTATTTTTAATTAATTTTATTAATTTAAAGACATTAATGTAATTATAATGCTAATTTAAACTAATTAACTTTTAATAAAAAATATGCATTTAGCATTATTTAATGCTAACTATATCCTTAAAAAGTTAATTTACTATAAATTATTAATACCTATATATTTATATTAATTAATGCTAACTAAGCTAAATTTACTATAATATAATTAAAATTTAATTAAATAAACCCTTTTTTATCTTTCTTATAAGTTCTTATATTATATTTAATCTTATTATAATTACTATATCATCTTTTAATTAATTCATTATAAACCAACTCCTTAATATTATCATTAATTTTATTAACTAATTACTTTCCTTTTTATTTTTCTTAAATAAAAGCATAAAATTCCTTAATAATAAATACTTCTTTAAGCTATACTTAAGTTCTTTTAGCCCTTTAATATTTTATAAATATTATATTAACCTCTTAAAGTATATAAATTTACTTACTTATTATAATAAGTAAATGCATTATTACTTATATACTCTTTATTAATTAATTAATAATATTTATAATTAATATAAAAAAGCTTTTTTAATAAGCAAAGATTTTATCCTTAATAAAACTTAATTATTAAATAATTTATTAAGCATTTAATAATATTTAAAACTCTTATTTTTAAAAAGAAATAAAAAGGGATTATATAAAAGTTTATAAGTAAATATTAAGCTTAAAAATTATAAAATTAAGGTCTTAAGAAGAAATTTTAACTTTTTTAAATGCAAACTTAATATTTTTTATTATAAAAATCTTATTATAGGCTGCCTTAAATATAAGAAAAAACTTAAATTTAATAATATAATTAATAAAGGCTTAAATAAAAAGATTAATTTAATTATTATATACATGCTTTAAAAATAAATATAATGCAATATTTAATAGTTAAAGTAAATAAGATAAATATAATAATATATTAATAATAATAATCTTATTATCCTTATAATATTAATTAAACTTAATTAATATATAGCTTTTATAATTATTTATAATTAATATTTAATAATTAGCATTTTTCTTTAATTTAATATATTTATTAAAGTATTAAATTTATTTTAAATTAATCTTATTATTTATTTATTTATTAAAAATAAGCTTAATAACTTAATTATTTAAAAAACCTAATTTTATTACTTAGCTAGTAAAGTAATAAGCGCCTTAAATAATTATAAATAATAAAATCTATAATTTACTTATATTAATATATTTAATAACAATTATTTATTTTTAATTACTAAGCTAATTAATTTAACCTTTTTATATTTATTAATATATATAATAATTATTAATATAGCAATTATGCTTATTATAAAGCTAGTTTTATTAAAGTTATAAAGGTTATTATTAATAATTTAATATTTAATTATTATATTATAAAGTAATTTAAATTAATTCTTAATAATCTTTAAATCTTTATAAAGGGCCCTTTAATAATTATAAAAATAATTAAATTTAATCTTAAGGCTAAATTATTAATCTATAAAGCATTAAGCTTAATGCTTATTAATAAGTTTAATATCTTGCAATATTAATAAAAGGTTAACTATATCCTTTATATTAAAAAGTTATAAGGGAAATCCTTAAATATCTTAATTAATAATATATTAAATAAGCATTTACTTTTTAATTTAATTAAGTTTATGCTTATTAATATATAATTCTTTATATAAATATTATTAATTTATCTTATAATGTAATATAATTTTAAAAACGTTAAAGATATTAGTAGCTTAAATTATAAGCATAAGTTTTATATTATTTTTCTTTAAGTTTTTAATTACTTATATAGCTAAAAGAATTTTATCTTCTTTAAATAAAGAATATATTAATAATTATTAATTTTTAACGTATTAAATATTTAATTAAGCGAATTAAAGTAAGATTAATGTGAAAAACTAAGATGCGATTTGCATTAAAATAAGTCCCCCTTACTAAAAGTTAATTATTTTAAACTTAAATATAACCATATTAATCCCTTTAAATTAATTAAATTAATTAAAAATAAGGTTATCAAAACAATTAGCATTAATTAATGTTAAATTCAATTAAATTATTTATATTAAATAAGTGCTATGGCTAGCTAAAGTTAGCTAAAGTTGCAAAAATCCGCCACTTCCTAATATCCACCACTTCCTAGTAAACCACATTACCATTATTATACCTTATAATAGCTATTATAGCTAATAATAACTTATAATAATTTAGCATTCCTACCTTATTTAATATTTTAACTACTTACTCTTTTTTATTTATTTACCTATATTAATTAATGCTAACCACTATAAATAAATAAAAATATATAAATATTATTTAAAATATACCTAAAAATATATAAATATTATTTAAAAAATATTAAATATACTTAACTTTAAGCTTAATTTATTATTTCTCCTAAAGTTAAACTTAAAAAGGGAAAACTTTTTAAATTAAAGGATAATATAAAGTTATGGCTTTTAATTTATTAGCCTTAGCAAATATATTATAAGCATTAAAGAATAATTAAATAAAAATATAGCCTTTGTAAAATAAAAAAAGCTTAATAATTAAGCCTTTATTATGCTTTTAAGCTTAATATATCTAAGCCTTATAATATTTATTATATTATATAGAAAATTTTTTAATACTTAAAAAATATTAATTAATTAATTTAATTATAATATTAGCAACTTAACTATTTATTTCTTTTATTAATTAATAAACTTATAATATAAGGATAGCTTTAACTTATAAGGTTATTTAAATGCCTTTTAAAATCTTTAAATAAAACTTTATATTAAAACCTTAATATTAAAATAATTAATTAAAAGGTTAATAAAGTTACTTTTTAAAAGTAATAAAATTAAAAGCTTCTTTTTCTTAATAATGCTATTAAATATTATAAATAATATTATTAATAATTTAAGCAGTTAAAACCTTATAATGTTTTTTAAAATTAAACCTAAGATAATAAATATTATTTTTTATATAAAGATTAAATAATTTAAAACCTATTTTACCTTTATTTAAAAAAGGTTAGCATTAAAAAGTATAAAAAAGGCTATAAAGTTTATATTAATAAATATTAACTTTATATTAAGTAATAAAGAATATATTTAATGTTATGCATTAAACTTTATATTTATTAACTATTTATATATTAATTATATAAAGCTTATTAAACATAAAGTTAATTAAAAATAAAAAAAGGGTAAGAAATAAGCTATTATAAATTAAACTATAAATAAAAAAGTTATTAAAATTTTTAATAATAATAAGAAAGATATAATAGCATTATATATTAATATTTTAATATATATAATAAAGCTGCTAATAATTATAAGTACTTTAATATTATAAATGTTTAATTTTAATGCTTTAAAGCATATAATAAAATATATAAAAGACTTTAATTTTTTTTATAATTATATTTAAGTATAATTATTATTATAAGCAGTAATTAACTTATTATAAAAGGCATTAGCTTTATAAAAAAATTTTTGCAATTATTAAATGAATTAATTATTAAAAGCGTCTTTATTAATGTTTTATATAATTATGCGTTAAGGAATATTTATTTATTTAGCTAAACTATAGTTTAAAAGAAATTTCAACTAAATGTATAAGGAAACGATATCTTTTTATTATTAAAAGATAATAAATTTTATAAGATATTATAAGTAAAGTTTTAATATAAAAATTTTAAAATTTAAATAATAAAAAATAACTTTGCAATATTTGCAATATATAGCGAATTTTATAAAGCTTTTAATTATAGCAATTTATTAAAATTAATTGCTTAATGCTTATATAAAAATAAAAATGTTATATTAAATAAATTAATGAATTTTTATTATAAACCATACTAACTTATAAAGTTTATTAAGAAATGCCCGCAATTATTATTAAAATGATAATTCATGTAGCCATTTAAGTATATTTAATTTAATTTATTAAGTAAATTTTTAATAGCATTATTAAAAGGTTCTTAATACTTTATTTTATTTATTAATAATTATACTTAGTTTTATTAAGTTTACTTTATTGCTTAAAAGGATAATATTTTAAATATTATTAAGAGATTTTTAAATATAGTTAAAATTTAATTTAATGCAAAAGTTAAGATATTTAATTTAAATAATAAGGGTAAATATATAAATAAGATAATTATTATAATATTTTAAAAACGCGGAATTATCTATAAGAAATTACCCTTTTACC